CACCAAATCCTCGACCTCAGGGTGGTATCAACAGTCGAAGCTCGCCGGAGATGAGCTATCAACAACCACCAAATCACCGACCTCAGGGTGGAATCAACAGTCCGAGAATGCGGCCGGGAGGCCCTCCGCGAGGTCCTCCGCCGCCGATGAACAGAAATGGAGCTCGTCCTGGCTTTCAGGGTGGAATGGAGGACTTCAACTCTCGGGCAAACCACAATGCTCCAGGCAATTATCCGCCTCCAGATCGTCGGGCAAACAATTATGTCCACGATGAGGGCTACGCCTCAGACTTCATTCCACAGTCAAGAGCGCATATCTCACCAATAGATCGTCCTCCTCAAGGATATGGGTCCAGACCTGCGCATCAAGAGGATTACCATGCCGACTCGTACCGAGGGTTTCCTCCGAACGGCCACGCGGAGACCAGCCAAACGAGAAATAGTAACATACCAAATTTTGATGCTATTCCGACCGGTGTGAATGAGAAGACCGAGGACCAGATGATTGCAAATCAACAGTCTGGGTTTGATCCGAAGATCTATCAGAAACCGACTTATCAAGTACCCGGGGCGTTTCCTGGTCAGATTGACACCAAGCAGTCTATGTCTCCTCCAAATCAGACCACTTCTCCTCTCGCCGAATTTTCATTCGATTTACCTAGCTCCTCTCAACCTGGGACAGCTGGTAGAAAAGACAGTTCTGCACAAGGTTCATCCTACCGTGGAGTCTACAATGGCCAGGAGACTTTTGGCGCTGGAGCAGCTTCAAGGGGTGCATACGGGGACGTCCAGCTTCAGAATGCGCCCGGCTCGCAGTATCCGCCGCCCCGTGCTGCCAGTCGGAACGGGATAAAGCCGTCTACGGAAACTGACGCCTCGAGACCTCCTTTGCCAAACGATCGCCAACCCTATCGATCATTTAGTCAGGATCAGTATCCTGCCCGGCCACATACAAGCAATGCGCAACGGCCCCAGCAACAAAGTTACGAGACGATGAACCCATATGATCAGGACTACGCAGCAAATAACAGAGCTCCTTCAGCGCCCGCCGCACCTGCAGGGCCTGTAGCGTCAGATCAAAGCTATGGCTACCCAGGGCAGGGCCAACAGTATCAACAGCCGTATGGACAGGGCCCACCAGTGCGCAAGGCATCTCAGGACAATTACAACATCGGCCCTGCCAGGCCCAACGTTTCGAGCTCCGCACATCCCGTACCCGTCAGGCATTATCCAGCTCCAAATGCAGATTCCAACCCGGATGCATTACCTGCACACCCTACTCCAGTGAGAGCTGGACTCAAAGACAGCAACGGGTATCCATCGAGTCAAACTCCCCCAGCTCCCCCGAGCCAGCGGCGAAAAGTATCCGAGACTTCGTCGCCCGTTACTACCCAAGAGCTGAATAGCCTCCGCGAAATGTACAGCAGGAATCCAAGCGACCATGCTCTCGGTTTGAAGCTGGCAAAGAAGATGGTCGAGGCGGCTCGTGTGCTTTCAGATGAGAATGGGTCGGCAGACCAGAAGACCACACAAAAGAACCGTGAAAAGTACATATTTGATGCACACAAACTGGTCAAGAAATTGGTGGCAGCTAGCTACCCAGACGCAATGTTCTATCTAGCCGATTGTCACGGGCAAGGAATGTTGGGACTTGCTGTGGATCCGAAAGAGGCCTTCTCTCTCTACCAGTCGGCTGCGAAGCTCAATCATCCTCAAAGTGCATATCGAGTAGCGGTGTGCTGTGAGTTGGGGACCGAGGAAGGTGGCGGAACTCGACGTGACCCCCTGAAGGCGATGCAATGGTACAAACGAGCAGCAACATTGGGAGACACCCCAGCCATGTACAAGATGGGGATGATATTGTTGAAAGGATTGCTTGGCCAACAGAAGAATCCGCGTGAGGCAGTGTCGTGGCTGAAGAGGGCTGCTGAACGTGCGGACAAAGACAATCCACACGCGTTGCATGAACTGGGTCTCCTTTACGAATCTGCCTCGTCCACGGACCATATCGTGCGCGACGAGAAATACGCTCTTCAACTGTTCCAGCAAGCTGCAGAACTGGGATACAAATACTCACAGTTCCGACTTGGATCGTCGTACGAGTACGGGCTGCTCGGCTGCCCGATCGATGCTCGTCAAAGTATCGCATGGTACACTCGAGCGGCTGCCCAGGGAGAGCACCAGTCCGAATTGGCGCTGAGTGGTTGGTACCTGACGGGGTCTGAACCGTTGCTTACGCAGAGCGACACGGAGGCATTCCTGTGGGCACGGAAAGCCGCCAGTTCGGGTTTGGCGAAAGCAGAGTACGCGATGGGATATTTCAACGAGGTCGGCATCGGCACGCCGGTGGACATTGAAGAGGCCAAACGTTGGTATTACAGGGCAGCTGGTGAGTTACCGATTCCATTGTCCAACCCCCTTCTCCACTCGCGACGTCGTGACTAATTGATGATTTTCACAGCACAAAATTTCACAAAGGCCCGAGAAAGGCTCGAGGAGCTGAAGAGAGGAGGTCCCAAGCAGCAAAAGACGCGCATGTCGCGGTCGAATGTGAATAAACAGACGGATGGGGAGTGTGTGGTCATGTAGAAGGAAACAAGGAAATCAGTGGAGAATGACATTTTTCAGCCTGATTCCCGTTCCCCATGGGCTCTCTATATCTGGGATTGTGTCACTGATGGTAACCCCTTCCCATCTCTCCCCTTGAATTTGATCCACGGCTCCCCTCGCCACCTACCGGGACCATGAGTTTTGGAGCCATCTCCAGGCTGGGAGGTTTTTTATGTAAAATATTACCCACCGAGGGAGGAAGAAAGAAAGAAAGAAAGAAAGAAAGGAACGGGAGAGAAAGAGTCGAGATACTTGGAACGTCCCGGGCAATAATAATGATGAATCGGGGTGGCGTGGTCCTTGTGGTGCCGACCCCCCGGTATGCATGTATACATGTGTGTGTGTGTATGTGTGTGTGCCTGTCTAACGTATGTAATGTTTTGAACCGAACTCTTGGGACTTACTTATCTGATCAGGGCAACTTTTGAATGATATCAATGTGACCCTGACCAGCTACTTTGAACTCGATCCTGGACCAACCCAGCCGCTCACCACCCATGAAGTCCTCCCACCCCGTTCCAGTGCCTCGTACACCCTATGACCCCCTCAGTGTACCTCGTAGAGGGACGTACCGGTACCGATACCTGGATATTTAGAGTAGAAACCTCGCAAAGTACTCACCCAAATCCGGCCCACTTTCCAGGGCCGTCGCAAAGCCCACAATGCCGTCCGGACGGATGACGACCACGGCGCCCCGTTCCACGCTGACCCCATACCTGTCATGCGCGCTCGAGTCGTGGTCGTAGTATGCGTCCCCAAACCGGCTTACGCCCAGGGCTTCGTCGGCCTGGGGCTTGTTCCCTGCGATGATGGTCAAGAACACCATTTTATTGGCATGCCTCTTGGTCATGCTGTCGTCACCGTCAAGATAACCTCTCAGATCCCGCACTTTCTCCCCAGTCAGGAGCGGTTCGCCCGCGAACACGACAACCCAGAATAAACCCACGTTCTTCATGACCGTCTGTAGCCTCGTGGGAATGCTCGCGCCGGGTGCGTGGACGGCGACATCGGGGGCGCGCCGGCCGCAGGGGAGCGTGGCCGACTTGGTGGTCACGTTCAGCGCGTTCTTGCCATACCCAATACCCAGGCCGATGGTGAACTGGATGTTGTCCTCGAGCACCTTGGCCAATAGCACATTCGGGTCCATCGCGAGGCCGCCGCGCGCGACGACCAACTCAGGTGGAACAGTTCCAGAAATCAGTTTGGAAAATGTCTTATCCAAATCGATCAGCTGCTGCGCGATGGGCCGCCGTTCGCCGTTGTACGTCTCCAAAATCGAGGCGTGGTACCATCCCTTCAGCACACCGGCGAGTTTCCATGTGAGGTTGAACGAATCATGCACGCCTGTGTTCATGCCCTGCGCCGTCCCCGAGGAGTGGCTGTGGCAGGCGTCGCCCGCGAGGAGGATCCTGTCCTTGACAAAAGTATCCGCGAGGGAGTGTCGCACGCTGGTTTTGCAGAGAGGATTTTCTGGTCAGCGTTGTGTGATCGAAATGCCCGTAACGAACAAAATAGCCTTCACATCCGGGGCCTTACTTGTACACTGTATACCAATCCACACATTTGAAGTCCAAAGTAAACGGCTTGAGGGCTAGTTTCGCCTCCTCGACAACCTGCTCCAGCGTCATGTTTTCGCCGTATTTATCCATCAACTCCTGCGAAAGCGAGAATCCCACCCTCGTAGTGCCGTGGTCTAGCGCAGCGAACAGCACTTGGCCGTGTATGGGAGATTCCAGCGTCGCAAACCCTTGGCGGGAGTCAGGCATGTCGGTCTCCACGACGCCGTCGATACGTACCCAGCGGAGGGTAGAGCTATCTTTGATCGACGCGACCCCGGAGAGGTGGCGGACAGTGGAGCGGGCACCATCGGCGCCGACAAGGTAATCTCTGAATAGTTTAGTTTCACCATTATTCAACAGCTTCCGCCGCGCCATGCACAGAGGTTGGAAAGCAGAGGAACGGGGACTGCTGTTGCAACTCACCCAACAAGTGCCCGCGTCTCTAGAGTATTGACATTCTTGACTTCGACCTTGACCGGACGCCCTTCCCCCCTTTGATCGATCTGGGTGGTCAAACCCATCACCTCCCACCCACCAGCAACAAGTCCACCGATTTTCTCATACTCGGCCTTCACAATGTCCTCCGTGTACTTTAATCGGATGTTAAGCACATAGTTCAGAAATGTTTGACCTTGCATGGCGTCAAAGACGGACCGCAGGCCCCGCGTATTGTCTCTTCTCCCGTCCTTATCGTAGTTGACGCCACTCCTCGTCACGAATCCCTCCTGTCTTAGGTGCGTGAGAAGGTCATACTGGTCGAGCATTTCCAATGTCCGGGGGAGCAGTGTAGCTGCGCGGCCATACATGGGCAGTTTCTGCTTTTCGAGTCGTTCTTTCTCCACAGATGTGGAATTTGGCAAGGTTAGCGAAGAGAAGAAACTGAGAAAGGCGGAGAGAAGTAGTCCTCTCTCAGCCCTAGCAACCTGCAGGCAGAAGGTCGCTCTTACCGACGACGCAGGTTTCGATGCCCATGCGTTGCAGGCCATAGGCCGTCAACAAGCCCACTGGGCCTCCGCCACAGATTACCACGTCGTAGTGATCCTTGAGATCAGCCATTGTAATGTTGTCGAATGCAGAGTCGATTGAAAGGATAAATCTTGAAGACAGGTTTGGGTTATTTGGCTCGAGAGGAAATGACCGTGCTGTCAGTTATATGGAACCTAGCGAAGAGCATATTGTCGTATCCGCGTATGCGTATGCTCATGCCGACACTGGCCAGCCCATCAGTGGAGACCGTCGTTGAAATATTTCAGAGTCATCTTGCCAGAATTCTGACTGGCACCAATTCGGTCGGACCTAATGAATGGCCGGTAGCGCCCATGATTTCGTCTTGTCATGTTGTATGGCAGAAAATATGTGAGGATGCGCCCTATTCTGTCGACCTCGTCCAAAACTGGCACGACGTGGGAGGCCCTGGACAAGCCGGCAATTGGGATAGTCGTCGCAAGCACACATGGTGTGGTCAAGGCGAGGCACATTTCCACCGAGAGATGCGTTGCTTGTACTAAGCGAGCTGCAATGGACGGAATTGAAGAATGTCTGCAGTGACAGACTCGTTGCCAGCAGTGAAAGATTAAAGGAGCTTTCTCATCGGCGAGACGGCGGCGTATGCTAAGCGGCTGGACAGTCAAAGAGAAAATAGCAACAGCTTCGCGCAATGATGACTGACAATAGAGTAATAGCGCAAGCGAGGTAGCGGGCGTATTATTAAATGCTCTAGGGACGCATGAAGGTTGCGAAGGGTGTGAGTCTACGAGAAGAAGAACATCTCCACCCTTCCCACTGCGGAATCTGCCTTTTCCTGTTCCGTATTACATTCGACGTGATGCTATTAATTAATACTAACAAGACCAAAAAAGGTTCCCCTCAACTACGCCTTCGTTTCTGGCTTGCCCTTTTGCGCCTTGTTTTTGTTGTCGCCCGTGTCCTCGTAATCGCCTCCAGCTGCTTCATATCTCCGTGCCAGTTCGCCGGCTTTCCAGGCGGACCATGATCCTTTACCTCCACCTGGCGTCAAACCACAGGGCGTCAGCCATTGAGCAAGGCGAAGTGGATGGTGGCGATGGAAACCCCGTGGAACAGGAAGAGTACAAACCTTTCTCCATATTCTTCACTTCCTCTTTGATTTTCTCCCGCAGTTCAGGATCTGTGGGGTTCCCCTTGGAGCTGGGCATAGTCCTAACTTCGTGTAAAAAGTGAACCCAGATATGAACTACTCAGTCGTTGTGACCCGTGTCGATGTATTTCGAGCGAATTGATGATGACGGTGGCCACCCTAGTGTAAAAGGCAGAGGATGATGGTGTCCCTTCAGGGCCTTCACACCAACTGGATTGGTGAGATTGTTTTTGGGAGTTGGCACGCCACCTCTTGGATCTAAAAGTCGTGTTGGTTCTCCTGAGGTTGGCCCCGGCCCAGTCGCTACCGAGGAGCGAAGGAACTGAACTTCCCCGAAGTGGACGAGGACTGACTACTTCTGGGAGTCGACGTCCTCGAACTCGCACCAGAAGTCGAGGTAGTAAATATCGAGCTTGTTCTTTCTTTGGTCTGTCTGACTCCTTCCTGCAACGACGGGTCTGATGAAGAGGCTTCAGAGGCTTTCTTTAGTATTTGACGCAAGGACTCCTGTGCTGACGAGGGGCTTTCAGGATTTCTGTCAGAGCGGAAAGTTGGAAAACGGATCATGGTTGCAAAGGGATTGGGGAGGCTAATGGAGGATATGGCGTCAAGTGTCGGAAGGAATTATACTTTGTGCTGGCTGCAGGGTCGATGTCGTTATCGATCTGGCTTTGAGCTGGTTCTAAGATTGAGATCGGGACGAGGTGTCAGGGTCAAGATATCGGGCACGCAGGTGGGTGCGATATGCGATGTCTCGGTATGCGATATGGGTATGCAGCCAGGTGGAGACTCGATTGAATGATGACGAGGTGGATATCCAAATCCCCGAACAAAGAACTGCTGGGTGAAAGGCAATCGAGGAGATGTATACGTCACACGAGCGATAAGTATCTGTCGGTTGTGTGAGAGTCGATCAGCCGCTTTGGTGCCTCGGATTGTGTGACCGGGGCCGTGCTGCAGGATACTTTGCGTGCGACAGCAACAACCAGAGACAGATGAGACCTGGGAATATATGTCTATAATTCAGTGAGAGGGTGGAGAGGAGAACAGACTAGAAGCACAATCTGCCAGACTGAGGCTGAGTACTTGTACTCGGATGTTTCATGCTGGTGGATGCTTCTTCTCCTCCACCCTCCCCCATTATCCTTTCTGGACTCGATCCACCTCATCGGACGAGGGATCGCGATTGGAGAGGGCGAATCTGCCATGCTCCGGTCGCCTGATTGGGCATAAGCACGACGGTCTTGCCTCAGCGGGAGATGGCCACCCACGAACCTGACCAACTTGACGAGGGAAGTCTGTCATTTTCGGCTCGAAGATTCGGCCAGTGGAACCGTGTTCCGGCCAAATAGCAGCCACGCCAGACACCAGCCTGGCCTTTTCTGGCTGGTGCGGGATGACGGGCCCGCAGTCACTTGACAGACAAAAAACGCCAAAGAGACGACCCCATGATTCTCTCTCCACGATCGAGGATGGCGTTGGTTTGCAGATTTTGCGAGGCCCCATGAACTGATCTGATCTCTTTGATCCCCTGCCGTCATAGTGTCGAGTGACTAGGCAAACTCCATGAGATGGAGAACAAAGCACCAGACGCCCTGCCAAGTAAAGGGTGCACGAGGCATGACAGACTGTTATGACCTCATCCTTGCCCAGCCTCGTGTGTCTTTCCACGCAGCCAATAGCACGGCGCGAGGCTGCATGTCAATTCTTCCAGTCTAGATACAGCATCTCGGTGGCGCCTGGGTCACATCTGGACTGTTCCCGACTTTCTTGATCAAAAAACACGCAGCAACAGAGTGTGGCGAGCGCCTGTTGCTGACGAGAAGATGAAGGAAGTTTACAAGTACCAAGTGGCTGTGCAACATGTAGCCCCGTGATTGGTGCTGGTGGTGGCGCTGCGACAGGAAACATCGCACCAAAGGGCTTGTGGGCTGGTGGACTCGGTATAGGCGAAACCCGTCTCCATGCGACACGACCATGTGGAATGGGGTGCCACCCATGTCTCTCATGTTACAATAATGGAGTTCTTCGTCATGACAAGCCTGGATTTGAAGGCATGTGCCCACATTGCCATGCGACTTTCCAAACACCATGGCTTTCTCGTTTCGCATCTGTACCGAGATTGCACAACGCAATGTGTGCTCTATACTCCACACCGAATGCTTTCAATTTGCAGTATGTGCGATAAGATGAAATGTCTAATCTGCTCTCTCCAGCCACAGACAAACAAAACGAGAACCAGTGTCTTGCTCTAGATCTGAGGTCTGAAACTTGGAAGACGACTCTTGCCGGCACAAGAGAAATGGAAGCGTCCGACTTGCTAGTACCTGTAACAATACCCGAGTCATCCTTTGAAGGGAATTCCAGAAGCATTTGATCTTGAACGGATGGCAGCCGCTGCCCAGCATAGTGACTCTTAACACAGTCCCCCATGCTCACTTTTGCCTGTTTTCCTGTACGACTCATGTCGAACGACCTCAGGATCGTTCCTTATAGCTTGTCTCGCTCAATTACAACTTGGCTTCCACCTTCTTCTCCACACCCTTCGCCGAGTTCTCGATGTCCTTCTCCATGTCCTTCAAGGCAGCGGTGGCGCTGCCTGTTTGCGAGCTCCGATACAGGAAGATACGGGTGCACTGGATAGTACCTACAAGGAAGAGGCAGAAGTTGACAGCGGCAAGACTGTTGGTTTGGCAAGTTATTGTCAGTATTGACCAGTGTACAGATCATTGACTTAAAACCCATGCATATGCTGGACGTCCCATGGATCTGTGAGGAAAATCGAGACTTACAGCATGTTCTTTGGTCGAATGACGAAGCACCATCTCGTCCAGATAGAACCTGTAGCCATGAGAGCCGCGTTCTGTGTCAACGATAGCTTTTCGGCTGGACGGAGGAAGTCTGATGCGCCGGCAAGGACGACACCCCATTTCATGATAGGAGCCCTAGGACAGTAACCCGCGTCAGCATCCGTCAATTCTTGATCTACGCTGAGACCACCCATATCTCTAGGTACTGAAACCCAGGCAAACAATCTTCATATGAATGTGCTAGAGTCATACCAGAAATGCACCGTCCTGATGCCGACCTCGCTGGTCCAGAGTTTCTGAAACAGAGACTGCGGCGGCGCACCTTCGACGGCTGGGTTAGCGGCTGTGCCCTGCCATCGTCGAAACACAGGGTTTCTCAATTGAAAAGGCGCTCTTGACGTGAATGAAGTTGTCGACTGTCGGGCGGTTTGCTGCGCAAAGCGCAATCCGAAGCGGGCGGACATTATGGGGGTAATCGGGTGCGCGTTCTGCCACGGGGCGAGCTGTGGCCCTGATAGTGCTACAGGAAGGTGTTGACGCAAGGTCTGGCGACGGAGGTGGCAGTAAAAGAGTGGAGATGGTCGCCCTTGAAGGAGTTGATGTCGAAAGGATGAAGAGGTGAGTCAATTGCTGGGGTTTGTAACGGGGGCAGATGGATGAGGAGAAGGTCAGATCCCCGGCAAATCGTTTTCACAATCTCCGGGTCCCCAGCGCCGAAGTCACTGTGGCCGTGTCTGACAAAACAAAACCAACATTTACTGCCACAGCATGGAATCAATTTTTGTCAGACCATGATATTTCCATCTTCAATACCGCCAAGGTGCAATTGGTCCCCCAAGCGACTCGTAGTGTTCCTGCACTTGCACTACCAAAGGTTGACTTCATGCGCCAGCAGCTCTCTCCGGACCACAGTTGATACTCGGTTAGACCTGGGGTGTGCCCGCAATGGCGACCAAATATGCCTTTACTCAAGGCTTGAGGGAGTTGAGATTTCACCTGAGCAATTCGGGCCAGGGAAGCGATGCCTGCAGGTATGTGCCATTCTCGAAGCAGTGGCAGCAGCAGGAAGCACCATCCAAGCTCTTTTACAGCACACTGAACTTTTGATTTAGATCCTTTCTCAGGCGAGCGTACCCTACTATGAAGCATCACAACCCCCAGATCCCTATTTTAATACGCGAAGCTTCGGATATTGAACCAAAGGTCTGGGCAAGATATGGTAAGAAGTTTTGGACCAAGACACACTGGTACTGCAGAAAGGCTGATTCTTCGATGATGCAGGATTTGGAAAAGAGAAGTCAGAGTCATTATCAGGTGAGCTTCATTCTACTGAGAGAGCTTGCCATTGGTTCTTACACATGTGGCAGGTCTTTCAGACAAGGAGATAGAGGACAAGGTAACGACCTTGGTCAAGAGCGAACTGTGAACGAGCTCGAGTCAGGCTAGCTCGGTCAATGGGGAATGTATAACACCCAGTCTACGTGGACATGGAAGGGAGGCTACCAATATGGGTCGACCACGCTGGACAGAAGAAAAGTCTAGCAAGTCTGGCAAAGAATCCTCGATTGTACATACGACTGCATGCCAACAGCTAAAACAAAAGAGTCCAAACTTTTTGACCTGTTTTATACAATCAAGCTCCCACCTCTCCAAATCTGTATTGCGCCCAAGCCATGCTCGATTCTTGCAGCGTCCACAATTGTTTGCCCTGATCCGTCCCGCCGGCACCCACAGCAATATGGATCGGCAAGAGATGCTCAAAGGTCGGATGCGCCTGTCTTGCATCGTCCCTCTTCAACAACTCAACCATCGTCTCATCCCTCTGCTCCCCTGGCTTGGTTTCGGCCGCAACCTTCAGAGCTTCGTCAAAGGTCACCGTATAGGGCATTGTCCTATTCGAACCCCTGCCCAACATCATGAGATGGCGCAGATTGTGCACGCTCATGCCCGAGCATATGATGAGGATGTTCTCCTCCCGCAGTTTCTGGACGGCACGTCCGAGTCCGATGTGCGCGGCTGCGTCGGTGTGGTCGTCGAACAGACTGACCTGCACGATGGGCACGTCGCCCAGGGGGTTCGTTTCGGGATTGAACATGACCTTGAAGGGGACGAAGACGCCGTGATCCAAGCCCCTCTCTTCCTTCTGCGTCTTGATCCCATGGCTCTCGAGGACGTCAATGACCTGTTGGGCAAGCTTCGCCGACCCCCGGTTGGGGAACTTCTCCATGTAATAGTTGCGAGGAAAGCCGTAAAAATCGTAGATCAACGGTTCATCTTCCGCGACATTTACCTCGATCGTGTTGGGCCTTTGGGCTTGCCAGTGTGCTGAGAAGACTACGATCGCCGAGGGTTTGACCTGCTGCGTGATCTCGCGCCCGATCCGTTGAAGCTGTGGGTAGACCGGGTGTTCGGTGTCGAACATTGTGTTGGGGCCCTGATACCCATGGCAAGCAAGATCTGTTAGTGAAAAAAAACAAACACCCCCGTTTGCTTACAGGAAACACACTGAAGACAACAAGATCCACGATATGAGGGGCCGAGGGAGCGAAGACACTTACACCATGAGAAACAAAATACACAGGCGTCCGTTTGGCCATTATTGCTCCTCTTCCGGCCGCTGTCGGGGAAGAAGACCTGCTGCTCAAAGCACCTGTAGAAAGTGATCTGAGGGAGCGGAGAATGCGCGCGGCAGCCACCTCGTCGTCGTTGAGGATCCGCGGGTATGAAAGGAAGTTGAAGTGCGCAAATGCTGCTGCCACGAGGAGGACCAGGATCGATATAAAAGCGATGGTCGCGCCGGTGCCGGTAGTCCTTGCAGAGCGGGCGCTATTTCGAAGCATTCAAAATCCGCCCACTTTTCCTTCGTTCCTGCTGGTTGCTTTTCTGACTTGATGATGATGTGAAACAAAGGTCCCCGAGATCTTGCGTGTCCCGCTCAGCCCTTTATTTACTTTCCTCGAATCTACGACCCGGTCTATAGCATACGATGATGTGCTCGGAACGAGGATCGCGACCCGGCAGATGGCATAAAGGCTTGTGCTGGGATGGGAACGAATAAGCTGAACAAGGCCGAGGGGATCAGAATTATCTAAGCTGCAAGCTGGGGGAGCGGAACACCTCCGTTTTTGCTTTGGTAATATTAATTACATATACCAAAACCTTTCGATTCGAGACAGTCATGAAATAGTACGAGGGGGAAATTCATGTATAGAGCCAGGACATCGCGGGTCATACTGAACCACTTCCTTCTCGGGTCGACACAGGGTTGCAAGTGTCTCTTCTCAAATACCGAGAGATTTCCCTTGTCCAGCCTCGTCCAATTCAGCATTCGATCAAGACGCTTCCCTCCCTTACTTCTCCTGCAATGTGTATAGTTCAGTCTCCTCCTTGGATGACCTGTGCACCATCACTCCGGGCGCTCTCCTGCAACCAACTTGGCCAGCCTCTCATGAATGCCACAAAGTTGAACCGGGCTGGCAGAATAAGCTGGTCGCCTTCACATTTAAGCACCTGCGAGACAACTGCTTCTGCCACTGTGCCAGGTTCCAGTAAAAACTGCTTCGAAGCGATTTCCTTGGCCAATCCACGAGAAAGGGGCGTCCGTACCCATGTGGGGTGCACGACCCTATGCATCATCAGTAGTGACGAGAGGAATTCACCAAGGGTCAACTTACGTTGTGCGGACTTTATCAGCACCATACCTCGCCCTCAGCTCCTGCGCCAATCCTTCATGGAACGCAAGTGCTCCTGCTTTGGTCGCGGCGTAGCTAGTAACGCCAGCGATTGCCGCAAAGCTCGACAAGCTCGCAATCGTTACCACATGACCATGATTTTTCTTGATCATGGCTGGCAGAAATTCCTTGACCATTTTGAAATGAGCCAGAATATTGACGTCGAAGGTGAGTTGAAGCTGTTCGTCTGTCTCATCAAGGATGGTTTTCCCATTCGCGACACCAGCATTGTTGATGAGCACTGTCGGGTCGCCAAGTTCCTCGCGGATTCTCGCAGCGACATCTCGAATACTTTGGGATGAGGTCACGTCGGTCTTGTAGAATTTGGCACTGCTGGGTAGTGGTATTTTGGGAGGGTTAATGTCCAGAACCACGACCTTGATGTTCCGTTGGCCAAACTGCCGAACCATTTCCTGCCCAATACCAGAGGATCCGCCACTAATCAGAACGATTTCGCGTTCCCAGTCCCATGAAGGGTCTTTGACAAAGTTGTTCAGCACTCGCCGGCTAAGATATCTGTTCAACCTGTATAGGACACCAAATGTGAGGAGTCCCCCGAGCGTTCGGTTAATAAATTTGGATTGGATGGAACTCGTTGCAATGAGCGAAAGTGCTCTCTGGAAAGCCTCGGGGTATCTCAAGTGCAGCAGAAGTAGAGCGGCAGGGACCACTGGTTGCAATAAAACATGATGGACAGGTCTGCAGAGGTATTCAAGAGTCATACCTTCTCTTGGGGGATACAAGATCGCCATGACGGAAGCTTGGAGCTCTCAAGGGGGCGCAACTCTCCTGGAGGCTTTCTAGAGGCCTTTATAGAGGACATTTTGACGGGCTTGGTGAGGCTGAGCAGGAGCTGAATGAAGCCGGAGACACTCCGCCTTTCATGTGCCAGAGAGCGCTCCGTCTCATGTATTACATGGTAGTCATACTCGATCCGGAGTAAAAAGCGAGGAGAGAGATCCTACAACAGGGCGGGCCGTCGTAAGCCTGACGAGCTGGGGAAAAGGGAAAGGGATTGGAATCCCGGATGGTCTGAGTAAATTTACTCGGTACTAGCCCAGTTTCTACGAGTAAAGGGGCCAAGGGGCCCTGGGGCCTTGGGGGGTCAGTCACGGTTTGTCAGTGGCAGTGGGTGGCAGTGGTAGCCCGTTGGGTGCCCGTCACCCCGTCAGTCCGTCAGTCCGTCACCCCGTGACCAAACCACACACCGAGACACCCAGACACCCAGACGCCCAAACACCTCAATCTCTTTCAAAGCAGACCACTTCACCTGCGCGCCGTACCGATCACGCTGCTTCAGTCGAGTGTTCATTTCCAGTCTCGTCGACGCTCTCTTGGTCTGCATCATGGGGCGCACCATTGACCAGGATGTGCATGCGGCATTCGTCGAGTTCAAGGCCAAAGGTACGTACCTAGTATTGTCACCTCCAGTATTGACTGTACTATACATCTTGTACGCGTATCACGATACAACATACCCGTACTGTGACCAACAGACGAGAGGAGCAGCTGACTGATTCACGTCTCCACACAGAGGACGACAAGTGCATGTCTGTTCAATGCATCTATTGCCAACAGATCCGTGCAAAGAACACCTCGCGCCAGAAGCAACACCTTCTCGAGTGCCCTGGCCTGCAGAACCATCCAAATGCCCCTCGCCCACAATCTTCTCCTGGCGATGCCATCGGCGCTCCCAATGGATTCGGCACTCCATCCATCTCTCACAGTTCGACTACCCCCATGAACAATGGCCTCGCTGCCAATAGCACTCCGATACAAGCAATGTCAAATGGTACCGCACTCCCACCGCCGGCCGCCGCTACCACCCCAATACAACGCCAAACTCCCAAGCCCCAAAAGACCCCCAAGACCACTCCTGGGTCCAGTCTGCCCGCGCCGCCTCTCGATGATGTTCACGCTGCCTTTGTCGAGTTCAGAGCCAAAGAGGAGGACAAATGCCTGTCTGTGCAATGCATCTATTGCAACCAGATTAGAGCTAAGAACACGTCGAGACAGCGCCAGCACCTCCTCGAGTGCACAACATACCAAAATGTCATGAAGGAATCAATACCCGCAAACAACCTTCTTCATAGATTTGATGAAGGTGATGTTGCCCGCTCCCTTCAGTTACCGCCCCCGACCCTTGAACTTGACTTTCGCATGAGCATCAAGGTCAATCCCAAGATTGGTGTTGGATCAGGTTTGTTTGGTCATCGCGACTGGGTCAGCATCGTCGGGGGACAATGGGCTGGACGATGGGGCAAAGGTATTGTCATTGTAAGTCCCACCATACCAGTGCTCGAGTAAATATTCACCAACTTACCCCTCACCTTCAGCCTGGCGGACAAGACAATCAGCTGGTGGTCAAGGACCTTTCAACCCGAAGCGACGCCAGCTATCTGCTCCAAACCAACGATGACCCTCCAGCTTACATCACCGCAAAATCCAGAGGCTGGCGCACAGGTACTAAAGAGCTCCTCGAACGGCTCAACGACCCTGCAGTGGCAGACACCATCCCTGCCAGCCAATACAAGTTCCGCATCACTGTCGAGCTCGAGACTGGCGATGAGAGGTACGCATTTCTAAATACCTGTCTTTGGGTGGGAAGTGGAAGTCGGAGAGTTGGCGAAAGTAAGTCGTCCTTGCTCGGCCGATCGGCCTTCAGAAGGCAAATATCGTGCTAACAGTCTGTACAGTCATTTATGACGCGTATCGGGTCGGCTAGAGTCCTGACCCTGAAGACCTCAGTCCAACGGACGCTTCAATGCTATTTTTCGAGGAATTGCTTTGGGCCTATGAGCGGAAAGTAGGGATTGCCATGGATGAGTTTAAACTCATGCCCTGTTATACGACAAATTGACGTGGTTCTTCTGTAAGGGGGCCAAGCGACAGTGTTCTAATCATGTATTGCTAGGGTGTCGCTCATCGGCGACACGACGGGGGAACAGGCGCAGAACAGTCATGGCACAGGACAGAACAGTGCGTACCTCGCACATTAGTTACGTCCAGCTCTCTCCGGCGCTGAGGGGTTTTATGAGTGAGCAACAACAGGTCTATTAGCGAGCAGGACGTTCTTATGCGAGGCCTTGAACTATCGCACGAGCAGGGCGGCCGAAACAAACGGCTGCTATTGATATATGAAGCACAGGTTTCAATGAAGCAATAAGGTTATACCCTCGTTCCCAATGAAGGTTGTTTGTAAAAAAGTACATCATGATTACATTTTTGTGTCTAGCCAACCAGCGTCTACCGCATCTACTGCCACGACGCCCGCAACTGAGGTCTTCCGTTCAATTTGTCCTTTCTTCTGGCCCCAGCGTGACGATTGACCTTGCGGTCGGGTCGGCTCTTTTCGTCGTCGTGCTCCATATCCATATCCTCATTCCCCTTATAATGATTGCTTTTGTTGTTGTTGTCCGCGCCCGCCGACCCTCCTTCATTCTCAGAGAAAAAGGAGAAATCCATGTTCCTGCCACCCAAATACCGCCAAAGACGCCAGACTTCTTCGATGACGGCCTTGGCTGGGCCGGGTACGGGAAGGATTAGGAGAAGATGGCCTGGGCGTCTTGTATCGCGTTCGCCACCTGACATCTGATGGTCGGGATGTTGGAAGATCGAGTCTCGTCTTATTAGACTGTTGAGGTCTTCCAGGTCGGAGGTTTCAGGCGCCGAGGCATTGGTGAATAGAGCATGGAGGGAGAAGACCGGGAATCGATATGTATCCAAGACGGAGATCATGGGAGGTACCAGCGGGTTGTTTGACGGTAATGGGGGGAGGGACGATGATGAAGAGTCTGAGGAGGTGGGAGTCTCAACGTCATCCTCTCCGATGCGGAGGAAGATGCTTCCTGGGAGCCACTCTGAATGGCCAAGGGGGTGATACTCTGCTTCTTGGATCGGGAGAAAGGGATGGGGTGGCGGAGGGACGGGAAGGTCAGCGTCTGAGGCGGCGGAAGAGCTACCGCGTGAGGACGGACCCTGTTTTGGTTCGCTTGAAACCGCTCGAATCTTTGGGCTAGTAGAAGCGGTATTAGATGATGCCGCCCTCGTCAATCGCCGCAGTTCATCACCCAAGAACACCCCATTCTGAGGGAATGGCAGTGGAATGGCCCCGGACGGCCTCGTGGGCAAGGGCTGAGACTTGGCGGCAGACTCCGAGTCAGCCAGCAACTTCAATGCAGCACAAATGCGTTTCCGCATGATCCCTGCAATCCGCACAGATATATCTGCCTGCCATTGTAACTTGTTCATGTTGAACCTTGCTTTCGCTTGCTCGGCTGGAGGTGAATCGGGGTCCGTTGTGACTGCATCTTGGCCGCCGACTGTGGAGTCAAATCGATTCTTGTTTTGTAGGTAATGCTGTGCATTTGAGTGGGACATACGGGCGTCGAAGTGGATCAGACTGCCCACCTTGCCCGCTATCGTCTCGAATGTGGCCGGTGCCGGAAATTTGGTTGCTTTCTTGGAAGGTTGGACTATTTTGTTGGTCACCAGACGAAGGAAAGTAATATTGGACAACAGGCGGCTCTGTACAGGGGTATATCTTCGAGTTGTTGCGAGATGGTTGGTGGTCTTCTGAGCTGCTTCCCTTGAACTGCTTGCAGGGCCTTGTGCGTCGCCGATGTCTTCCATCGTGCCATCCTTGCCGGCGGATCCAGTGTCACCTTTCACCTCCATGCCATTGTCGGGAATTCGTGACTGATCCTCCAATGCCGTCAGTTCTGCTACTAATTTTGCTTCCAAGGCATCCACGTCCGCAAGCTCTGCTGGCATCAGGTATATCTTGCCGTCTTTTTGGTTCTTGACGTATCCAAAGTCCAGCAAAAGGTCGGATGGCAGTCTTGCGCCACTACCTTGACACTGACGGATGGGGCTTGCGAGGATTTCAGCGAAGGGGTTATTCTTCAATCCTTTTATGCGTCGATAGGATGGGTGCTCTTTTCTTTCCTCCCGCCTCCTCGCCGCGTTAGCGACCTGTGCGATGATGGGCGACTTTAGAGTCGGAGGTGGCTCTTGTCCAGCAAGGTGTGAACTGCCGCCTTTTCCATCCCTGCGGTGGACATTCTTGCTTTCTTCCTGAAGCTCTGTGAGCGAGCCTCTAACAGGTTGGTGTCCCTCGAGACTTGTCGCACCTAGAGACTCTCCTTGCGTGGAATGATACTTGCGCAGTGGCAGATCAATCGAAGGACGCTCGGACGTGCTGTCTTGCGTATTTGTGTCTCCGAATGAGTCAAGATTCAATGACCTGTGTAGTCCAAAGCGAAAGGATTCTCCATTCTCGTTTCCCAACTGAATCTTCTTGCTTGCTTTCTTCAGATCCGATAGTAAATCCTTGATGGCTTGACGGCCGGGCTCGCTGTAAGGACTGAAAGGATCGCCTTTGCGGGTATCTTTCTTGGTCGATGCCGCAGCAGGCGGGATTGCCGGTGTTGATCCATCGTTTGTGGTTGGACTATCACCATTCCTAGCTGCTGCGGGTTTAGAAATACTAGCTTTCCGTACATAAGGTCGTTGATATTCTCGTCGGATGAGGGCTGACCGACTGGGGCGAGGCTCGTCGAAGGATTGACACAAAGTTCGAATTACATTGAGACGCCATGTCGCATATGAGACGTGCCGGTACGGGCATGACAGGCTCATCCCTTCGGCATTATGTTGGAGGAGATGCGAAAGGCGTTGAATTGAGTTGGAGAACAGCGCAGTTAGAGGCTCGGCTTGGCGAGGTGCAAGGCTGCGAGGCTGCATAATTCGCAGCCTCGCTTAGTCAAATACCCCTGAATATCCATCTTCGTGCAGTGCATGGGACAAGAATTGGAATAATATTGCGTACAGGCTAGCACGTACTATCGCAAGGACTGGCACATCAAAATAAAAACCACTACTTGCCCAATATGCAGAGGTCAAGTCTTATTACAAAGCTGAGCGGTGCCCAAGTCCGCGCCTTCAACCCTACGCAGTGGCATCGCCAAAGACAAATCTCACAACCTCGTCAAAGACTCCTTGGGGGTTGTCCTCATGCATCAGGTGCCCTGCACCCTCAATCAACGCGAATCTCTTCTTGGTCGCGCCGCTGACTCTGTGAAGCTCGTGGGCATTATACCTCTGATGAGCCCCGCTTTCCTTACCCGCCAACACCAGCATTGGCACTTTGGTGTTCTGCGCGTCCTCTGCCACGTATTTGGGCATGGAATTATAGCGGAAAAAGTGGCACAACCACTTGGCATTGTCCTCGACCTGTCGCAGACGGTCCGGGTTCGCTTGAATGCGAGGCCAGAATTTGGGGCCCATGACTCCGCTGCAGAAGACCGACGTGGCCTGGTCGTATTCTCCCTTCTTGCAGTGCGCGATCGTCGGCCCGACCGTGTTGGCACTGAAAGACATGACGGGCCAAAATGTGAGTGGATGCCAGATGAGGAAAGATAGCAGATGAGTCAATGGCGGAGGGAAAGTTGGGAGATAGAGTCCAGCGAGGGGAGGTTCTTCAACCATCAGGTTTCGGAAAAGGTGAGGTTTTCTGCGTGCAATGTACAGCGTGATGACCGCGCCAGACGAGTTGGCTAGGACATGGACTGGGCCAATATTCAAAGTCTCGATAAGGGCAGCCAGATCGAAGGCGTCTTGCTCCCAGGGTGCGTCTTGACCGTCCTTGATGGGTTCATTGGGCCAGGCATAGCGTCGACTATAGTTGAAGACGTGGAACTGGGTGGCGAGTTTGGGTTCGAGATCAATCCAGGCGCGTTGATCAGAGACATGACCATGGACCAAGACCAGAGGTTCGCCTTCCCCGCTTTCGCGATATGAAAGTGAGACGCCGTTGACCTCGACGACTTTTGACGCAACGGTTGTTGATGCAGACATTGTTTACGAGTCTACTTTTCTAAACAGATATGCTGGTGCTCGTCATCCTTTTTGAAGTCCCATGAGGGATCGTTCCGTCGCCGCGTCAGCGACTGCTACGAAAAGAACGCTTATGAACGATCTAGTGGCACATAGAACACGAGAAGATGGGGCTGATACTCGACCCGATGTGCCTGAAGAGACACCGAAACATTGATAGTCCACATCGGTGGGAATATTCCACGTCTCCTATTTTTGGGATTTACCAGGGACGAGTGGCGGCGAGTGTGCTGAAGCTGCCACGAGATACGTAAGATGATAAATTCCATGCGAGCCATAAAGAGTAATTCTGCGTCCCCCTGTGGGGTGCTTTACAATGTAAGTATGGATCGTCGAGATGAAGCCCCTCCGCTACTAGTTGTACTAGCGGCCGTGGTGGCTGGGGAAGATTAAGTTGATACATGCTCAAGCGGCCGCAGGTCTCGCCCCAAATGCTGGGTACTAGCACTCGGTGCGAGGGAAATGTCCAATGTCCCACATGCTGCAGCAGGAAGATAGAACTATTCCTTCGGCCAAAGGAATCAAGCCAGTCAGTCGAGAGTTGCAATAGAAGTGGTAAGCACCCATTCTGGAGGATCCAATCAAGCTCGTGACACAACAATCACCTGGGATTCCTTCCGCCCTTGAACGAGGTGAGTACTAATAGTTTGAATCACAAGCGGGAATATACCGGCTGCTTCGTATTGACACTCCGTACGAAGGACAATGGGTAGCCGTAGCCTTGTGGCCAGAGGATCTGCGAGATATGATGGGTTGAAGCGTCTCCATTGCTGGACGGTCATTCGCCGGACTTTGCCAGGGTCAAAGAGACTCGGGGGCTTGGTGGGTTGCATGCTCCTCGTATGTATTTCCCTGTAGCAATACCTGATATGAAACGAAACTCTCTTCTTCTCATCCTGGGGTAGTCGGTGTTCTCGGGGCCATCCGTGTCTGTACGAGTTCATACGCAGTAGTAAGGACCCGTGCGGGATCACGTCAGATTTCAACTTTCCATGCTTTCAAAAGCCATTTTGTATTGGCTTGCCGCCCAAGTTCGACACATCCGATTGGCAGCACTCGGGCTTTGAATCCCCAGCGCTGTTGCCAGGCTTGAACTCAGCTAGAACTCGGATTGAGTGCAGTGAGTTGGCTTGTTGAGACACAGCGGTGCCGACGTCAATGCCAGGACGGACTCTATTACGAGCCGTGGTTGCCATCACATTGACTTCGGATCCTGAACGCTGTGCCTTTTGGAAATTGGTAATCGGCGCTGGTCAGACAAATGTGTTGGCAGTTCCTGCTTGAGGTTATAAATGTAAGGCCGAGAGATGTATATGCAAAGATGGAAATGACATGGTTTGTTAATATATACTGAAGAAACAACTGCATAAATTTGGCACAGAAAGATTCTCGCCGTGCGGGAAAGAAAAAAAAGTTTCCTCTGGCGGCCCCCTCCCCCAATTCATCTTCAGCCTCGTCAGCTCTCATACACTCGCACTCCCGCTGTCGCTCCCACTGTCATCAGAGCTGTCACTCGAGCTGTTAGAGGCACCGACGTTCTTATACTTGCATTTGGGGGCGCCGCACCTGCACGCTATGCGCAGTTGCTCAAAGTAATTTTTGCCGTAGCTGATCGTGATCTCCTCCCCAAAGGCGATTTTGCGCACCGCCTTGATGATGATGCGGGTGCGTTGTCCGACATTCATCACATAGAACCGCGTGTTGGGCGCGCACGAGTGGTTGATATACCGCGTCCACCCGCCCCGGTGCGCGGCGTCGACGACGTACTGCGGCCTGTAACCTGCCTGGGCCTTCGCCGTGGTGTAGTCGTCCGCCCGCGCGACGTCCAGCACCATGTGGTATGTCATGAGCCCGTACCGGGGGTTGGCCAGTGTGCCTACGCTGTTGTTAGCGTCCGGCTGAGCCGCGTAGATCTCGCCCGTGTACTCGCCCAGGTAGGTGCCCTTGCGGATTGGTTGGAGCGCGCGGACTCCTCGACCCTTTTCAGCGGTGGTATACAGTTCGACAAGGATGTCGCCATGGTTGTCCTGCGGGGGTTTGTTGTGCCACTTGCAGAGATCGGCGAACGTGCATTGGCATGCTGGCTCTGCCTGGGGAGACTGCTGCTGCTGCTGCGCGTTCTGTGTCTCAGCTCCACATACTCCACAAGGATTCTTTGGGAAGCCGCAGAAGGTTGGGTCTTCGTAGACGCTCCCGTCTGGATAAGTGACCTGATGCACCTCCGCCGGCCAGTCGTAGTTAGGGAGGACGATGACTTGATCAATGTTGAATTGTTGGAGCACTTGTTTCGACTTCAACGGAAGGATCGCCGCCGCGTCGACTTCAAGGTTATTTCCTTCAGCCGGGATGCCTGCAACCGCAACCTCCCCGTGCACAAATCCGGCATTAACGAGGTCCTGTGTGATGGTGCATTTGACTGATGGCCAGACAGCTGGCTCCCCATCTTCAACGGGCAGAGCCCAGTGATGATGGACTTTGTGCTTGTCCTCGGCGCCGATAGGGTGGGTTTCGCTGAGGTCATCGTCGCCGATTCCAAAACTAACACCGTCCTTGTCACGGGCGTCTTGACAATGCTTATATACAATTATAAGAAGATCTTCAAAGTGGCCATTGAAGAAAAAAAGGGCATCTGTCCAATCGAACTTGTGCGTTCTGGCGAAGAGCTCGAGGCTTGACGCGCACTCTTTGATTCTGGAGTAGATGAGGCTCCATTCGGGTTCGCCTAATGCTCTGCTCTCTGCGTCGCTGCGAAGAATCGCCTCGCGAAAGCTTTTCGAATGTGCACAAATGGTCAGGAAGAGAAGGTTCGGATTGTCACAAAACTCTGTCAATCTCTGAGCATAGCTGATACCAACGTCGTCTTTTGCGAGCTTTGCAACCCTCTTCTCCTTGGGACTGTCGCTTTCAAACTTATCCAGCCTTGCCCTCAAATGGTGACGAGCACTTCCCGTAGCGAGATCAAAGAAGCGTACGGTTCGGGCTCGTCGAAGCAGGTCCTGTGTCCAATAGCGGTCCCATTGTCCAATCGTCCTGACCGTAGCAGCATGGTGGATTTCGGCGTACAATTTGATCATGAATCCCTCAACTGTAGAACCAGATTCAGAGAGTCGGCGCTTCTTGTTGGGTCTCCCTGTATTACCACCCGGAGAGTTGCCATGGATGTGCGCTTGAATTCTTTTGGATCTCCGAGGGCCTCCATCAGCATTGCCCTGTCCAGAGCTAGAGCCATTAATAGTATTAGTTGGAGGAACGTTGCCCACAGCGGCCGCTTGACTTTGAGAACGGGCTTGTTTTTGAGCAAGGGAATCTGAATAGTCGCGCCCCTTCGCAGTTGGCTTCCGCGCCCTGTTGCTTCTCCTTGGTTGTTGGGTAGGGCTCATTGTGTATCACGGCCAGCGACAAATTTATAAGAACGAGAAGAAATTGAATGCTTTGATGGGAGGAGGGAAAAAGCAGGGGCAAGCGCAAGGAAGAAATGCAATGGCATAAGAGAGTCATTTTGCAGTCAAAGCAATTCTGAAGCAACAGGAATAGCAACCAGGAACAGTGCAATAAAGCACCTTTTGTTGTATATGTTTCCATAAATGGACACAAAAAGGACAAGCATCGGCAAAGACAATAACATAGGATGGTTCAGTAGTCCATCCAGTGTCGAGAGGTCCGGCACAAAGAAGCCCATTCACATTAGTCATTGTTTCGTTGCCCAAGTCTCTCGAAAGCCCCTTGCTATTAGCAACAAGAAGCGCCTAGCAAAGACAATGAGAAGACACCAGTTCTTGTTGTGGGAAATTCGCAAAAAAATGATGGAGAAGGAAGGAGGTTAAGATGTGTTGCAAGAGCAAACCGTCTGCCGGGTTGTATACCTCAGGAAGGTGTCCTTTCCGGATTTGGGTGGCAATCAAGGATGCATTGTCAGGAATCCTTTGTGAAGGCGATGTGGTGTTTCTTGTGCAAAGAAGCACTTCATTGTTCAGCACGGTCACTTGATTCCCCTGCAGGCTGTCCTGTTGCGAGCCAGGTAGAATGCCGGTTCTTGTACAGGACTTGTCGCAGCTTCGTATGTCGGATATATCGTAAGATCCCTGCATCATACATCATATTGATAGGGTTGCTCATAACGTCCAGTGGGTATCGTCTCATACGGTCTCAATATACCTTCTTACCTCCCAATCCGTGACAGCCTCGTCCCATAATCGTAGCTCGTGTTCTCTGGTACCACCATAATGCTCCACAAACTCGTCACCGAATACCTCGCGGGCCACACTGCCTTTCGCCATAAATCGTGCAGTGCTGTCTCTGAGGTTTTTGGGTAATCGTTCTCCCTTGTCATTGAGACTGCCGACCTCTTCGCCTTTACCGAGCGGTGGGAGTTTGATTTCTAGCTTCTTCTCTACGCCTCTCCAGCCGAGTGCGACGATGGTGGCCAGCACCAAAGATGGATTGGCGTCTGCCCCGCAGACTCGCACTTCGAACCTTGTAGATTTTGCTGATGCTGTCGGAGGAGCAATCAAACGAATCGACGCAGCACGATGTTCAAGACCCCAGGAAACCGTCACTGGAGCCCAGAAGTTCTCGACCAACCGCTTGTACGAGTTGACTGTGGGTGCAATGATTGGCATGACATCCGCAAGGCCGTCCAGTAGACCTGCCAGAAATTGTCGACCAAGGTCTGACACATACTCGAGGTCCTTATATGGAGGGCTGGGGTCCTTCTCGCCTCTGTAGAAGAGATTCTTTCCAGACTCGTCCACGATGGAGCAATGCATATGTCCACTGTTACCAGGCAAACCTTCCTTTGGTTTTGCCATGAATGTGGGCGTGATACCATACTTGCTTCCCATGGCTTTGACCACGTATTTGAATAAGCTTGCCCGGTCTGCCATTTCGGTGATTTCTCCAAACTCCAGGGCTGCTTCGAAAACTCCCGGTCCTGATTCGGTGTGCCAGCCTTCCACATTACATCTGAATTGTTCACAGGTATTGAAAATGCTGTAGAACCAATCCTGATTGTGTATAGGGTCTGTTAGAGAGTAGCCGAACATGCCTTGTGTCAGGTGCGGGAGGGCGTGGACAGGATTATTCTGCAGGAAAGGAGCCGTCGTGGAAGAAGAATGATGGCTCGTCTGAATTGACTCGTCTCGGGGAGCGCGGTATGTGAAGAACTCGTACTCTGCACCAGCCATGGCTCCATAGCCAGCCTTGTGCAGCTTCGCAACCGCCGTCCGCAGCAGACTTCGGGGGCAGGCGCAGATGGGTTTGTTGGTATCTGGGTCGTAAAAGCTGACGAGGAAGAAAGGCACGTTGTCCTCCCAAGGTATACGCCGGTAACTGGACAGGTCCACTTTGGCCACCAGATCCTTGTATCCATTCTCTTTATTGCTGATCTCGAGTTCGCGGAAGTAGGTCATATCGTGCATATCCCAGCCGAAGACGACGCTGCAGAAGCCGAACCCATCTTTCGCGACGGAGAGAAACTTCTTCTTGGAGACCAACTTGCCTCGGAGGATCCCTGTGGAGTTTAGCAGGCATCATGCGATGAGGTGAAAGGGGCGCGTGCCGTCGACATCAATGCCTGCGAGCTTGATCTTTGTATCTGAGGCCAGCGCAGTTTCCAACTCGTCCAGAGTCGGGATTCCACCGTCTTTCTTGCTGGCCATGGCGAGAAGTCAAGGGGGACAAAGAACAGGAAGAGACGGAGGTGAGTGGAATAGGGACAAAGGATCTGGGACAAAGCGTCCAGCAGCTGGACTTTGTACGAGCGTCTCACAGAAAGCGGGGAGATGATTGGTGTTGTAGGTGCTTGTAGCTAGAGGTGGAGGCGGAGGTGGCGCAGGCTATGCTGATAAGCTCCCCTTGTCCTGCCTACACTTCCGCACTCTCACCACTAGCTGCTCGGTGTTGAGATACCGAAGCGCACAGAGACAAAAACAAGGCACACGACTATCGACATCCGATCAGGCTATAACACGCAGGGGGCAGTGTACTTCCCGCAGACGCAAAGTCTCTCTTCCTGCAACGAGGCACCTATCACCTTCACCTCCTAAGATATTGAGTGTGGAGGGAGCTACCGGACCACGCCTCCCGTTACTCCTGAGAGTAATAGCTCATGTCCTCTGATCGACAAGTTTGCTCATGAGCTCTCGGCAAGTGAAGCTTAAAAATCCCCCATTGGGCATCTCATCGCATGCCTGGCGGGTTGCTTCGGAGAAGGGAGAGAGAGCAGCCCACATTTCCCACCCACACCACCACCACCAAGCAACGAGCAGCACCAACAAATGCGTATTTGATTAGATAAGGAGATCCACGAATGTGCGAATGGCGTCTCTGATATTTTGATTCTCTCTCTTTGCCCTCAATTTGGCACATTGACAAACCAGGTTCGATTGATTCACTCTGCGCCTCACTTGTGGCCCGCTCTCTTCGTTGTTGACCGCACCGGCGCCCCTCCAGCAAGCTGAAAAAAGAAAGAGGCGGACTACTGCGAAGCATGACTACTGAATCCAAGCCTGGCCGCCTCGCGGGCAAAAATGCAATCATCACTGGTGCCGCCGGCGGAATAGGGCTGGAAACCACAATTCTCTTCGCCAGAGAAGGTGCCTCGGTCCTGATGGCCGACATCTCTGAGCCAGCCCTTGAAAAGGCCATCGCCAAAGTCAAAGAACTCGTCCCTAACCCGCCTCGTTTGGAGACGGTCAAATGCGACGTCTCCAAAGAATCGGACGTCCAGGCCGCGGTCGAATCCCAAGATCGACACGGCGGTGTCGACATCATGTTCAACAACGCCGGGATTATGCATGCCCAGGATGACGACGCCATCAACACGCCCGAGAAGATCTGGGACCTGACTCACGCGATCAACGTGAAGGGGGTATGGTACGGAAGCAAGCACGCCGTGCTATCCATGCGAAGGCACCAGAAGAAGAAAGGTTCCGTCATCAACGTCGCGAGTTTCGTCGCCCTGATGGGCGCCGCGACGCCGCAACTTGCATACACTGCATCCAAGGGCGCCGTCCTCGCCATGACGCGCGAACTCGCAATCGTCCACGCCCGGGAGAATATCAGATTCAACTCGCTGTGTCCCGGTCCGTTGAACACGCCACTGTTACAGGATTGGCTGGGCGATGACTTGCAAAAGAGATATAGGCGAGAGGTGCACTTCCCCATGGGTCGATTTGGGGAGGCGATCGAGCAGGCCCAGGCCGTCCTGTTCTTGGCGAGCGATGAGAGCAGCTTCGTCAACGCGACAGAATTTGTGGTCGATGGCGGCTTGAGTAAGGCGTATGTAACGGGAGAGGGGCCACCGGCTGCGGCGCCGGTAAACAATGTGCATTGATTAATGGGGGCGTGGAAGATGTTGAACACAATGCTGCAAGCGATCAACGTCCACGAAAGGCAGGTCGTATCAGTGATAGAGCGAGCGGCGGCGGATTCAATGGCTTGTTGCATTATTGTAGAGTGCAGGGATAGACAGTGCAACTTGGTAGAGGCATTCTTAGGGCTGCCAACGTCCAGCTTGAAAGCAAGTATCCTTCTTGCCGTGCCTAGCTACTGATCGTTTCATTGCCCCCTTCGTCCGACACCATCGAAGAGCCGCTGTATATCCCTTTGTCCTACCCTACTTCAGGAGCAGCAGGTCACCTCGCTGGTAAGGAAGCACTTTTGAAGTACATCCAAGAAAAGAAAATATGTGAAGATTTCTCGGGTATTGTACATACTGCTTACTTATAATACAGCTGCCTCGAAAACATCATTCGCTAGGAAAGGAGCCTCTTGGTAGCGCGTGCCAACCGGGCGATAAGAGCTGTAAGCAGACAGCTCGTGCTCGGAATAACCGGGACTTCATTGCGGATTGACATCTCTTGTCCAAGATTCATCGCTCGAAGGCTGTTTGGTTTTCCGAGCCGCGCACTTTCTGCTGGAAGTACTGAGCCAAATAGCATTTGAACCTGCTTGGACATTACAGTATCCGCTTCGAGCCCGTCCACCGATTTTCTGAACGTCGAATGGATATCCAGAAACGGGAGGTGAAATTCTCTGCAGGTTAGACCTGGGAGTCTCCTTCAGCATGGGTGGAAAGCAGATCCAGAGCCTTGTTTTGGGGATAGATCTGACGTGATAAACGATCAAAGCCTTGTGGTGCCCATCTGGATAAGATCCTCTGCTGCATTGGAGAAAAGCCCCTGTGTGTCCAGCTTCATCTTGCCGCGACTCCCTTCAAAGTTGACCATCATAAAACCTTCAAGGGTCATCAACCTCCTCGTTGATGCAAACGGGTAATAGATTGCTTTGCTGATTGCTCGCACAATGCTTGGAACAAGTCCCCCGGAAGTTTGGTTTGTTGAAGACGGCGCTTCTGCATTTGCCATTATGAAATCAGGTTCTGCCAGTTGTTGCACGAACTTGTTGTCCATCTGAAAGCGATAAGGTTCAATGAGGAATTGCTTCGGCCTCAGAAACGGTAGAGGCCGGCGTACCTGCACCGCCATCTTCACGACCCCATCTACCGGCACGAGATCGATTGCTTTGATGATCCTTAATGACCGCATCATAATAAGCCAGCCGACGGCCGAGAAGACAAAGATTCCCAATCGATGTGCAACTGGCACGAACCATGGGAGGTCGGGGTCTCCTTCCCAAGCCCAGAGATTACCGTATGCGAGAATACCAGCAACGCCAATAGCGCTGCTTCCTATGACAAACGCTGCAGCATAGATCCCAAAATGAGACGGGGGTCTGTATATGGCTGTTGTCCCTGCATCGTATAGCTTTTGCGCGTACCATTGCTTTTTCGCTAGGTGCGGAGGCAGCTCTCTGATAAATTGCGACACTGGCCCTTCGAGTGTTGGTATGCTAGGTTGTTGACCTTTACCTGGTTGCGGCGAGGGTCCTTTCGGAGTAGGAATGTTTAGTTTTGATATGGGGCTCTGAGAAGAAGTCCCAACCCTACTAGTAACCTGCTTGGAGCTCGTGGTGGTAGCCGACGAGGAGGAACTCGCGAATCGGTGGGGGACGCATGATCGGAGGGTTCGAAGTCGAAGCAGAGGTCGGGCTGCAGAGGAGAGTACAGCCATAGTTTTCACAGAGGTACGAGGTATTTCACCTTGACCGGGTGAGGAAGCAGCTGTTCGAACGAATGGAAGAACACATGAAAACCCATAAAGGACTCCTAACCACCACCATCAACCACTCACACTGAAGAACACTGCGACACTGTAGAGAACGAGTTGCATTGATCTGCGGTGGACTGAGTGACTGCTCGAGACAAAACTTTCAGTTGTGTCGGTGCAAGGCTGCGCCATCGTCAGCTTGGGGAAGGTTGACCGGGTTCTATCAATATTGAACACTGCACTTTGGGCCCTCAAAGGCCTATCGCTTGAGCTGCGTGCATGTCTCTTTCCATCCTCGCACGTTCCATATAAGACGATTGAAGAAGAACTTTGATGCTCATTTCAAGCTTCTTTATCATACATTGTCACTGTGTCGCGGCTAATCTCGTCGCTCATGCCATACATCAAACTTAACCAGCCTGAAGATAGCAGGGACACTCAGCTCGCCTATCTTGGGCGTCATCGTATCACGATTGCCGACATCGATACTTGCAGTTGGCTGCTATGATCCATCTTTGTCGACCGGACGTCAGACAGCACAAACAATTTCAGCTTTAGAGGTGGAGGCCACCACTTTCTCCATCTTGCGTTGCCGTAACCCCGGCCCCTTGTTGGATTGCCTCAAGTAGCTGGGGAGATACATTGTGCCTGTTGCTCTCCTCTACTACTCCGAGTAACTTGACGAAGAAATCTTGACGTAGCACCTCCATCAGAATATCTTCCTTGTCAATCATGTGTGAAGCAGCATATCGAAGGATGCCCCCGTAGGGCTCACTGCCACCATTGTCTCTCAAGAACTGAGCCTCGATATGAGCCAAGGAAGAAGTCGTTACCGCATTCCAGTCGTAGGGTGCCACTCTCGCGATGAAGTCGAACAAGCGTGCTTGGGAAATCGTGACGAGCTGCATCCCCTTCTTGGTTTTGACGTCTCGTTTCGATTTGGTTAGTGAAGTCCATTCGAACAGGATCATGTACACGTCAGGATCGTGGAATACCCTGCGCCAAAGCAGGCCTTGTCCTTGTGCTTCAGAAAAGCTACGACCCGCAGATAGCACCGTTGTACTATTTTCGCTGTCGACGGCAAGCAACGCTTCAATCACCTCTAGCGAACGTTCTGCGACCTCGGCGCTTTCCGACGACAGCCAGATTGTGAACTGACATTGAACAAGACTTGAACTGGTCGCAACGAAAGAGGCGCCGCTGGGTGAGTCCGCAGCTTTCCGCAGGTATGCTAGGCAAAGTAACTGTATCGCAACTGAAGGCGAAGTCAGGCCTTCTTGGAGCTTCTCCGCGGATATGGTTGATCTGAGCTCGTCAAATGGCAATAGGGAGATGACCCGCTCCAGTAGTCGAGTAAGCGGTCGAGGGTCTTGTTGGAGCGTCTGCAGTAGCTCTTCACCCGTACCCAGCACCCGCCATAACAGGTCTTTTGGTGAGGTAGGAGTGAGGTTTCTTTCTGCACGTTTCAGGAGTTCCTCATCCAGTGGCAAGGCTGGTTGTGCTTCGACTGCTGCGAGATGCGCAAAGACTTCAGGAAAGAGTCTGTCCGAGTCCTCGACCAAGGCGTCCATGGTGATCAGGTTTCAAGCGAGTAATCATCAGAGGAAGAAGCAGAAGGCATAGTACCTAGGTAGACCAGGTAACAGTATCTAGTCGTGGAGAATCTGGAATTTAAAGACCAGAGTTACGAATCTTTTGGCAGCCTTGCCTCCCCTCGTTCGGGCGTTCGCATTGTAAAAGGCCCCGCCAACCAACCAGCCCGCCAGGCGCTATTAACACTACTAGGCTCGTAGGTTCTAGTAGCATGGCGTGCATCACTGCATGATGGCCAAATATCGCCAAGGCTGCCCGCATCGCCCTCTGCAGAGGTGATCCGTCTGCGTCTCCGTCTCCGTCTCCGATTATTGAAACGAGGCTCCCACTCCGCATCTTTCAGTCTCGAACAGATTCACTTCGATACCCGAGTCCCTAGAAGCTCATCTCTCACCTCGCGGTCGACCTTCGCGAATCACAATATGGCCGACCCTTCGAAGAATCCCCTCCTCTCCTCGAGGCCCTCAGAAAGTGACCTCACCGTGTCTCTCCACCCTCTTGTTCTCCTCACTATATCGGACCAAGTCACAAGACATTCCGTACGAAAACAGCCAGGTCCCGTAGCAGGTGCGCTTCTTGGACAGCAAAGAGGCAGAGAAATCACAGTGGAACATGCCTTTCCTGCAGCATTAGTGAGAAGTCCAGAAGGCCAGTGGCGATTCAACTTTGAGTGGATGGAAACGAGGATCCAGCAATGTGGGTTACGGTCAAGCTATTCCTGGGACCAGATCGCCTAACATCCAGCAGATATTGCAGTCCATAAATCACCCGCGCTTGGATTCGTTGGCTGGTTCACCCTTTGCCCTCCTGAAGGTCCCTTGCCCGAACTTGTCCCTCTCCAGGAACAAGCCATCAATTTCTACAATGACAACGCCATTCTCCTAGCCTTACACCCCGAAGCAATCCAGTCAGGGGAAAATGTTGGAGGAAAGCTGCCCATCACGATTTACGAGAGCGTTGACGACCGAGAACAGCACAAGGATGAGGCGTCAATGCAAACTGATGGGGTAGAAGGGTCAATGCAGATTGACGCAGAAGAGACATCCGTCACCAAGTTTCGCCAACTACCATACACGATTGAGACAGACGAGACAGAAATGATTGCAATAGACTATGTCGCCAAAGGAGCAGGTGGTGCCGCGGCTATCGACCATGCACCACCCCAGGAGCCAGCTTCAACATCCTTCGAAGTACCCCAGACAGAAAATAAAGGCAAAAAGCGAGCAGACCTAAGGTCAGAGACTCCTGACAGACAAGAAATAAGTGGCGCAGAGGGGCAAGTGAAGGCTCTCACACCGGAAGAAGAAGACCAGATCGCAGGTATAACGACCAGGCTCAACGGCGTAAAGATGCTCCAGTCACGTCTTGAACTCTTGAGAACCTTTATCCAGTCCCTTCCGCCCTCATATATCTCTGCCCCAGACTCTGACACGGGGACCGTTCCCCTGACGCCGACAGCCCCGGAATCATCCCATCTCCCTCACCTCCGCAACATTCAAGCATTGCTCACACGCCTTTCCCTCCTCACCCCTCCCACAGAATCCACCCAAGACCACCCCTTGGCGTCTGCTTCCCTTGCACAGGCCAACGATGTTTCCCTCGTCAGCCTTCTCGCTCTCCTAGGCCAAGACATCCAGGCCCTTTCGGAGCTTGGTCGAAAAGCTGTCACAGTGGAAGCGAATAAGAACAACTCAAAAGGCAAGCACCAACAGCAAGGAGGTCCGAAAGGTGGCGGTGGCGGTGGAGGGGTAGGGGGAATGGGCCCCGGCGGACCAACTGGCTTTGCGAGCATGGACGACGGTGATCCTCGATTTGCCGGCATTGGCGGAGTCAACAGTGCAGGAGCGTCGGCCATGGTTTAAACTACCAACAAAGCTGTCGGTTTTTTTCAGAAGTAATGATGAAGTACAAAGGGAGGATCATTTAATGACTCGAGAGCAGGCATGGGTTGTCAAGTCAGGCAGAGGATTGTTCAGCCTGATCGTACTACGGTAATAGGCGATGATGAACGAGTAGAAGCGTCTTTTCACGCAAAAGTGCATAGCGACGGCGTTGCAAGAAAATCCGAGGCATGGGGCAAGATTTACATACAGCTTCAATGATTCGACGACAGGGAAGGCAACGATTAAAGGCGCGAATAAATCTGGTGGATGCAATGTAGAAATGCGTATCTCAGTGATTGTGCCTTGGGTTCCTGGCCCAGCAATGCGACATGCGTACATTAGCAGTCAGCACATATCAGGATTATTTCGTTCCATCTGTCAGCGACAATATCGCTCTTTCCTTGCTTATGAGTTTTCTGGTTCCCGAAGAGCACTGATCCCACATTCTTTTTTGTAGGAAAATATCCTCCGCACGCTTGTCGTGCCGCTTTTGCCATATGCCCATCCCAGACAATACCCATTCGATATCTTCCCTCGTGGCTGCATATCAAGCTAACCGCCCATAGTAAGGACATGAGAAAATCTTTCTTGTGGACTGAATAACACGTACAAGTCCCCTAAAGCTTTGTTGCACATGAATGAAAGGTCGTCAGGTGTTGCTGTGACAACACGTCGTGTATGATGGAAAAAATAAATACATTTATTGAATGATGTCGTCCTCCTCGGGAAAGGAGGATTAGTTCGAGGCTTCTCGGCGTCAATGTCCCGAACGCCTACGCTGCTGGTGTCATAAAGAATGGTGGGAGGTGCTGTGCCCAAATGCAAGCCGAGAAACAACCGTGTAAACATGCCCGAGTCAGCGGGCATGGTCAAGTAACCAGGACATCCGCCAGACGTTGTCTCCTGTGGAACAGAGGTATCCTGAATTTCTTCCTTGGAGGTTCCTGAGCTGCATTCTCAGCTACTGGTGTTGTCGAAGAATGGGGATATGGAGTTCTCGGCGTAGTCGCGGAGGGCAGCGGAGGCGTCGATCCAGTCGAGAAACTTCTGCCTTCTGTCGTCATGCTTTTCTTTTTGCGAATGGTCTTCATCAATCTGCTGATATGCGGCTGCTTCTGTTCCTCGGGTGTAGGCATCTCAGGTGGAGGTGGAGGGAGGCTTTTGTTCAAGTCCGGGACCGAAAATCTGATGGGGCGAGGCTGTTCCATTGATTTGGTATTGCCACTTTGGGGTCGTGATGATCCGTCTGTCACGATTCGCAGAGTCCTTTTGATGGCTTCAGCTTCAGCTGAGGGCTTATTTGCTTCGATCGATCTGTGGACGCCGCCAGAAGAGGTCGCCCGGCTCTTAGTCGTCACAGTGGTTGATTCATTTCGGAGACTGCTGCCAGGCTTCTTGGTGCTGTTGACGGATTTCCGGGCGGCGTCTGAGAAACGTCGTGCTGTCTCGCCAGGAGTTATGCCAGCGCTCGTCAAGGGCGTTGAATAGTCGGTGGCATCGATGGTGCCGCGGTGAGAACCTTCTGAGGGTGTCGCAGAGTCATCTCGTACGTCGAGAAATTGGTGCGTGACGCTGGCTGTGGTATCCATGTTGGGGGCTGGTTCGGGTTTCCGCTCACGTTTAGTATCGGGCTGCTGCTGCACTGCTTTGCCTTCTTGAATCTGAGCAGCAATGTATTTGAGAGGATCATCCGACATGTCGTCGGAGTGTGGTACGTTGGCCAATACCAAGGCGCATATGCGCTTCAACTCCCCCTCCTCTTGTGCGGTAAGTGCCTGTCGGTCGATGAGAGGCGAGTCGGGAATGAAATGTGGATCATCATCGTCGCCCCGATACTTTTTCGGTATCAAAGCCTGGAGAGAGGTCAGCAAAGATCGACTCACTGAACCGCCCAGGGTAGCCTACCGAAGCATCTGTCTGGAGTCCAAGCTTTTTGTTCATTGCGTCTTGGAGGTCGAAGTTCTGACTAGAATTGGAAGACTGGAAATGCAGAGTAGGAGAATGTCGGAGCAGCCTCTGGGTAGAATCGGTAATCTGATCGTCTGTCGGCGGACAAGGCTGAGGATGTTTTTGCTTTCCTCTCACAGCATATCGCCCCGGCCGGAAATGTAATTTCGAATTTTGTTGTCTGCCACGGAAGCATGCGTCAAGATTTAAAAAAGCGAGAAGAGTACCCGGAGCTTGTGAAACATGAGGGAGGTGACTTGATGTACAGCTCTTGTACAGGACAATGAGGAAACAAAAGAAGGGTCAGCCAGACATGAGCAGGGAAAGATAAGGATGTCTTGCGAACAATGGTATTATTATTACTCGTACGCAGGCCATGTGCATCGCGACCTGTGAGTGATGGATGGCAGTCAGCGTGAGGTTTCAGCTCTGGGCTGACCTGATGAAGGCGATAGCTGCGAGTGGGCCACGTTCGCATAGGTTCATGGAGGGTGGTGGCAGCACCCAGCGCACTCAGCAAAGGGGTCTGAGGCCAGCCATCCTGTCATCCACGCGGATGGCTGTTTGACCAGTGAGATATGAGGTTAGCAACCAGCCTATCTGATCCCAAACCTGGCAGGTAGGACTGTCAAAGACGATTTAGCGAAGATGGAACTCCGGGTGATGAAAAGAAGCGTGCAAGTCGAAGGTGTCGATGGGACAAGTGATTGGCGGCGCAAATTGAAGAGAGATTGAAACGAGGAGAAAGAGGAAAGAAGCCAGACGAGACCAGCCAAGGTACCGAGCCCAAGATGAAGCCGGTGCCACCCAAGGGGGCCGCCAACGGCGCGAACTTGCCCATGAATAGGCCTTAGCGAGCCTAGCCAGTGCAAGTTCAGGTTTGGCTCAGGAACCAACAGTCCGGCCGGTGGAGGCTGGTGGACTGGCAAATCGGAGGGAGCAGTTGGGAGCATGTCCAGGACTCCAGGTGGGTGTCTGGGGCCTCTGGCAGGGTTCCCCTGCAGAGCCTGCACCCAGCATTTCCACAGCTGGGTTCTTGCTTTGAGGCGCTAGGCCTCTATGAGCACCTAAACGTTTCCCAATCATGGCTAGGCGATCTGTATTACCAAAGCACTGAGCAGTACCTGACTCGGCAGCTGGGGGCCGCCCACGAATACCGAGTACTCGTACATGTACTCGTGGATGGCCCCTAAACTCACCTGGATAGGCGGGCACCGATGGGAACTGCCATGTTCGGAGTATGCTACTACAAGTAACTCGGTGCCCTGACTTGCCTGAGTACCTGCTACGTGTAATCGAATGCAAAGCTGACCACCTTCAACACCTGTTTTTCTCTTCCGCACCACGTCATACAATGCAATCGCTGGGTTTTCTACCACTTCCCTTCGGAATAGCTCCCAACACTTCATCTTCCGACCTAGTGGTATTGGCTGTGGCATAGTACCATGTCGATCAAGGACATGATCCATTGCTTCATATCCTGATTACTTCACCGGGTTGACCCCTGCAGCAAGGTTCGATGCCGCCCACAAATCGCAAATGCATGTCACTGGGAAAATCTCCGAAGCTTGCTAAATTTACCGAACACCCCAGATCACTACCATCGAAACTCAATAACCAGGACTGCCTAGTTCATTAATTTACTTGACATGCCACCTGGAGGGAGTGGTTACCTTTGGCTATGGGCAAAGCATCGGCATTGATATGCTCGGACCAGGAACTTTGGCAACTCGTCAGCTGTCGTCTTTGTCAGACATCAGAAGTCCAGGATCCAGCCACGCTAATGATGAGCATAAGATTCGCCTCAACTGGGGCCTTGGAAGGACTCGGGACTTTTCGTGACATTCGCGGTGCGACCGGCACACGCCTCAAATTCTCGCAAGGGACCGACTCGATCGATGACAACATCAAAGTTCCTCAGAAGGTCCTGGCGGGAGATCGATGAATGCACAGGGCCGTTGTTGAGCGACGGGTTGACTGCACACAGGACCACTGCACAACCGCTTGCCACAACATGTTGCTTCTCTTGCCATCATTGTGCAGTTACTTGTATTTCAGGCCAGCGAAAAATCTGACATTCTCCCAGTGTACCAGGTCTTAGTGAACCTGAAGTCGTCCCGTTGTTCCTGGATGAGCCCAGGCCTATTACACAGCAACAAAACCGCTTCTTGCTGCCAGAGGCAAGTAGATGAGTTTTTAAGGTAAGGTTAGAAAAGAGACGAGTACTATTCTTCAAATGTCTCGGACTCTTGCCTTTCAAATACAGTCTGCTTCCATACCTCAAAACTCCATAATTCTGTGACCATTATGATCTGGCTGATCGGAAGCCATCAATTCTAATAGCAGATCCAAATCGAAGCACATCTCCGGTCGGACTAACTTCATGAAGACTTCTCGACGAGATCCGCTTTCAGATTACCACCAGAGGGTGAAATACTAACCTGCGCTTCCGCAACTGCGTATGGGCACCTCTTCTGGGGACGCCAGATGGTCTTGCCAACAGGATTCTCTCCGCTTTCAAGAGCACCACAGTGGTTGTAACCCATCGAGCAAGCTGTTGTCATCGTCTCCTCCATTGCCGGTCAAGACAACACGGACAGATACCGGTCATTTATCGAGTTTTTGCGTCCCAAAGTAACAACTCACCGGCTGTATGTACAACACAATGGGCGTTATTTGGCATACCAGGTCTTCAATCCAGAAGGTGTACCCTCTGAGAAAGAGTAAGAGTACACTCCTTTTTTGGTCAAAAAGGTTGTCCCTGAGGCCGTGGGCTCGTGAGACCAAGCATGCAATGGAAGCAAGACAGTGAACATCAGGAACCTCATTGTGCACTGAACTGAGCGCATCGGAGAGGGTTGTGGCAAAATCTCTCGGCCGGGCAAGTATATTGCCTCACCATGTCCATTTTGATGGACAATGGCAACTGTTTCCATCATCCATACGGTCAATTGGAGGTTCTAGACAGGTCAACTGGAGTGTCGAATAGATAACAGCAACCTCATGAGCCTCTCAAACATTCCAAACGAATATAACAATCAGAATATCTAGCACCGAATCAGGTATTCAACAGTACCCCATGATTAACTGGGGCTTGAAATGTAAAGAACCGTTGACCACCATGCATTCTTCAAAAGAAATGATCAGTACTGCTTGCATACCTCTGGTATAGCCCACGGATACTCGCCCCCATTCGAGTTCCCATTTTGTCGATTAGGGTTTCGGAAGTCATAATAAGAGATAATTCGAATTATATGTAGCGTGACCACCTGCCCAACTGTCACAGCCTTACTGCACTGCATGACGAGGCTGGATCTTGGACTTCCCCGCGCGAATCATCTCCAAGTCCACTTTATCGCGGGATAATTTTCGTTCGAATCCAGCCCTCGACTCAGCATTCCTGCACTTTGTCTCTGCTACAAACAAAATCCACGTCCTGTTCAAGGACGATGGGGGACAGCGCAGAAGATGGCTCCCTCGAACCTCGGGATGCCTGGCTTGCCGCTCTCCGAAGCAGTTCGACAAATCTTCGCATTGAAGCACTGCGGAAATTGCAGCAAAGTATCCAAACGGCAGGTAAGGTTATTTGCAACCCCGGTTCAAAGGGGTCAATCTCATTGTTGGCACAGATGAGACAGCCTCTAAAGAACTGTTGGTCGTGTTACCCGCTCTCCTCGCGACGTATCCACGATACCTAGATCGAAAGTCTCGCCGAGCAGTACAGTCATGCCTCCGAGCATATCTCAAAACGCCCTCTTCTGCCGAAGTTGCCTATCCTGCCATCACAAAATTCCTACTACAAGAGAGCCAAAAAGCGGTCATAGCCCCCGGAAATGCATTCGTTCTGCTTGAGTGGTGCTGTTTGTTCCAACAAGAAATCCTGCTCAATGAGAAGTCATTCGAACAGTGCTTTGGGAAAATATGCTCGGCTGCTGCCCGCCTCCTGGACAAATGTGAAGATAAATCTGTCCGTGGGGGAGTCCAGGAGTCGGCCTTGACAATCGCCAGAAGGGGGTTGCGCGATGCGTTCAAGACGACCCAGCGTGGAGAAAGAGCCCTGCAACTCGTCCTACACGATACTGTGAGTTCCTCCGACGCAAATGCTAGCTATGCTCCTTACGTCGGTGTAATTGCCGGAGTCAGTGCTCGCATACCAGAGAGAAGAGAAGATTTTCAACGTTCAAAGACGCAGATTCTTGACTTCTATGTCAAGTCCGTCATAGGCTCAAAATCCCCTGTGCCATACCAGCAGTCCATGGGTCTCAAAGATTTCTTCCTCGACTTCGTCACCGCTCAGGACGTCGGTGAAGTCTTGGTTCCAGCAATTGAGAAGGCCATTCTAAGATCTCCTGAAGCTGTCCTTCAAGGCCCCATCGAGGCGCTGGCATCATGTCTGCCATTGACACTTGACATTTCAAGCTTCGTCCATGGGAAGCTTGTGAAACCGCTATTATCAGCCATGAACTCCACCAATGCCATTATTCGCGATGGTGCAGGTAAGGCTCTGTCGAGCCTTGTCGGCAGAGGAGGCTCCCCAGAGATGCTGCAGAAGATTTCTGGGGAACTGGGATCCGCAATGAAATCTTCCAAGGCGGGAAGCTTTGAACTGCGTGGTATTTTGGCCGATGTTCAGTCAATGATTGCTCCTGAATTGACGACTTCTTCTGTCATTGTTGAATCTATCGTCCCTGTGGCTTCCAAGGAGGCCAACGAGGGTGCACTAAGGAAAGAAGTTGCTGCGTTAGCAACACATCTGCCGCTTGTTGTTACAACCTCGTCAATTAGCAAGACGCTTTCGGACTCAATTCTCAAAGGCTGCGCTGATAAGAAACTTCCTTTTCGCAAATTATGGATTCTATGTCTTGCAAACGTCCTCAAACGCCTCAAAGAGGTTCCCACCAAACAAGCGTCACGAGAATTTGTCAAGTCGGCTTTGAAAACCTTACAAGACGCGCACGACGAGGTCACCCTCAATCCCCTTCCAGCGACCCAGAATGGTTTTGTCGCTGCGGGTTTTGGCCTTCCTGCGCTGCTTGACGCACCGATATTGAGGACGGATGAGTATAAATCAGCCATGTATGATGAACAAAGCAAGCAATGTCTGGCTGTTCAACCGAAACTGTCCTTCCTTCTGAATTCAAAGGTCTATACACGACTCTTATCTGCAGACGATTGCCAGTGGGCGCTGTATGCCTTGACTAACCTGACACAACATCTCGATCAAGCTTCAGAAGAAGCAAAAACAGCATGGGCAAGAGCAGTGTTGCACCTCTTGCTCACCCCTGAAGTTGACTCCCGCGTGCGGAAGGAAACTGGTGTTGCGTTATCACAGGCCTACTCGAAACAACCAGCTTCGGTCGGCCACAGCATTGTGCTTGGTATCTGGGACGTCCTTCGATCCCGCGCCCTGGAGTTGACTAAGATGGCCGAAGATTCTTTGAACGACAATCGTTTGCTTCAGGCAGTGAAGTGCATAAGCATGCCGAAGGACCGGCTGGAGAATATGACTCCGGAAGCGGCAATTGAGGTGCTGCAGAAACAAGCCATATCTACCGTGGTGTTATTACGTCCTGAGCTAATTGTCAACTCTGACTGGATTGCGACATGCCTCGCCACTGGGATCGATCCAGGTGAACTTGTAAAGGAGCAACAGGAACAACTTTTCAGAGAGATACTCTCACATTTTGAGGCCGGCACGATGGCGCCACTGACGATTTTTGAGACCGCTGCCTGTAACTCTGCAGCCACATTGGCCTTCGTGGCGTCCGACGTTTTTACGCCAGCCTTGATTCATCAATTTCGGGAAGATCTGGACCCTGCACAATTGGAAGCCGTGGGTCCCACCGAAGCTCTCATTGCTAGAGCCCCTGAAGGCGCCATTGTTGTCGACGTCCTTGGCCAGCAGACAAACGGAATCCTTGAAAACAAGAACCAGAAAGACTATGACGTTCTTAAATGGGAAGAAGAGATCCGCTCCCAGTTGGCTAAGAAGAAAGGGGCGCCTCAGAAAAAGTTGACTGCGGATCAACAAGCCAAGGTCGACGCTCAACTTAAGCTGGAAAGTGCTACGCGGGCTCGAGTGAGGTTAATCTCAAGCAACATCAGAAGAGGTGCAAGGTTCATTGAGAGCCTTGCGTACGGTCCGCCAACGGATGCAGGGCTCTGGATGTCTCCAGCTATTACTGCGCTAATGGGATCTCTTGAAGCAGGAGCAGCACTCATAGTCGAAGATGAGATCGTCTCAGCTTATCTTGCCTGTTCGGACAAAATCTCGGACCGCCTTGGAAACATGCGCCTTTTTGTCGGCGTTGCTACTCTCAGATCTCTGCGGAATGCAAACGTTCCGGAGCATCTCTGCGTGGAACCACTTGCAGAGCTTGGAACTCGAGTGCTATATAGACTGAGATTTGCTGCCGAGCAACGTCCTTTTGACACCGCTAGCACTGCTTACGCCCTCCCTTTAATTTTTTCCGTCCTGGAGAATGGCAAGGTAGGGAATGTGACGGGCGACGACGCCGATGCACAAGTCCTCCTTGCGCTCGAATTTCTGTCCTTCCAGATGGGATCCGCTGCCGATGAACACCTTCCAAGAGGAGACATTCTACGCCACTTGATCAACGCAATGCGTAAGTATAACCAGCACTACCGCATAATAAGAGATTGTCTGTTTGAGCTCTGCCGCTCAATATCAGAAAATGTCACTGCCGAGGAGCGAGACATTCTCCTATCTGCTGTTACACTACCCGAGTCTGCTGTTCGATCTGCGGTCCTTCAAGCGATTCATTCAGAAATTGATTTGTCTGAGATTGACAGTTCAGTCCATATATGGATTGCTTGTCAGGATGAAGAAGATGAAAATGCAGAAACTGCGCTGGCAATTTGGGAAGAGTTCGAATTCACTGTGTCCGAAGAATTGGTCGAGAGTATCCCTTCATTTTTATTCTCAGCGGCACGATCGACCAGAGCGGCTGCAGCAAGAGCTCTTGCGCAGGCACTTGTCCAGGTTCCTTCAAAGACCGATTCAGTGTTGGCATCGCTCGAAGACTCTTACCGTACAGAAGCTCAGCCATTGGTCCCAAAGCGGAACAAGTTCGGTATTGTGCAAAAAGGAGATCTAGTCGATCAGTGGGAGAAGCGAAGCGGACTCGCTCTGGCCTTCAAGGAGCTTTCTTCCGTCCTGAGTGGCTCTGCTTTGGTTCCCTTTATGAACTTCTTGGTTTCCAATGGCGCCCTGTCAGATCGTAATGCGACAGTCCGTGCAGAAATGGTCGAGACAGGTACGGTCTTTGTCGCAGCACGAGGGAAAGAATGCCTGGAGCCACTTATGGAGCTATTCGAAAAGGTGCTCCAGAGTCCTGATAAAGGTACCGAAGAATCAGACTGGGTCAATGAAGCCGTAATCGTTCTTTATGGGTCTCTGGCTAGGCATCTTCCCGATGGTGACAAGCGGACAGGGAATGTCATACAGAAGCTTCTTGATACTCTCAGCACACCATCCGAATCCGTTCAATATGCTGTCGCCAATTGCCTGCCTCCACTGGTTCGTCCTTCTTCCGTCGATGCTGGACCTTATATCACTTCTCTTCTAGACCAGCTTTTCCACTCCAAGAAATATGCTGCTCGACGAGGAGCAGCCTACGGTCTTGCAGGCATCGTCAAGGGTAAAGGTGTGGCTGCCTTGCGACAGCACAGGGTGATGGTCGCGTTGCGAAGTGCGACCGAAAACAAAAAGAGCCCTGAAGAGCGACAGGGAGCAATGATGGCATACGAATTGTTGTCCTTGTTGCTCGGACGAACCTTTGAGCCATATATGATTGAGATCCTTCCCCAGTTGCTGACATGTTTTGGCGACCCTGTTGCATCAGTACGAGAAGCTTGCTTGGACACTGCAAAGACGTTTTTTGCCAGCTTGAGCTCCTTTGGCGTGCGTCGCGTCCTTCCAGAGCTGCTGGAAGGATTGAATGAGACGCAGTGGCGAAGCAAGAAGGGAGCCTGTGACCTTCTCGGTGCCATGGCTTACCTGGATCCGCAACAGCTCGCTACGAGTTTGCCAGAAATCATACCTCCGTTGACATCGGTCCTGACGGACAGTCATAAAGAGGTTCGAGCCGCTGCCAACAGCAGTCTCAAGAGATTCGGCGAAGTTATCACAAATCCCGAGGTCAAGAGTCTCGTCGACATTTTACTCAAAGCACTGAGCGACCCTACCAAATATACGGAGGAAGCTTTGGACGGGTTGATCAAGGTGCACTTTGTCCACTATCTCGACGCACCATCCCTCGCCCTTGTCGTGAGGATCTTGGAACGCGGGCTCAATGATCGATCAGCTACCAAACGCAAAGCTGCTCAGATCATTGGGAGTCTGGCACATCTTACCGAGAAACGTGATATTGTAACTCACCTGCCGATTCTTGTCACCGGCTTACGTCTTGCGGCTGTCGATCCAGTACCTGCAACTCGAGCAACTGCATCCAAAGCTCTGGGCAGCCTCGTTGAGAAACTGGGCGAGGATGCCTTCCCCGATCTGATACCAAGCTTGATGTCGTCGCTTCGTACAGATACTGGTGCAAGCGATCGGCTCGGATCGGCACAGGCTCTCAGCGAAGTCCTCGCTGGCCTGGGCACTGCTCGTCTTGAAGAAACTCTGCCATCCATCCTACAGAATGTCGCCAGCGCACGGCCAACCGTAAGAGAGGGATTCATGACTCTGTTCATCTTCCTACCGGCATGTTTTGGCAACAGCTTTGCTAATTATCTGGCTCAAATCATCCCATCTATTCTCAGCGGGTTGGCTGACGATATCGAAGCAATTCGCGAAACCGCTCTCCGGGCAGGCAGGTTGCTTGTGAAGAACTTTGCAACCAAAGCCATTGATCTGCTGTTGCCAGAGTTACAACGCGGGTTGGCCGATGACAGCTACCGTATCCGTCTCAGTTCAGTCGAACTTGTTGGAGATCTCCTCTTCAATCTCACTGGAGTGAGTGCTCAAACAGAAGCTGACGAGGAAGGCGAAGGTGCAACACAAGCAGGACAATCCCTGCTTGAAGTTTTGGGCGAAGAAAGACGCAATCGGGTTTTGTCTTCTCTCTATATTTGCCGCTGCGATTCTTCTGCACAGGTTCGAGCAGCTGCTATCGCCGTGTGGAAAGCACTTGTTGCAACACCGAGGACATTGCGCGAGTTGGTGCCGACGCTTTCTCAAATGATTATTGCTCGCCTTGCCTCGTCCAACATGGAGCACAAGTTCATTGCAGCCAACGCTCTCGGAGAAGTAATTCGCAAGGCTGGAGAAGGTATTTTTGCCTCATTGCTTCCATCACTTGAGGAAGGCCTTCAAACTGCCACCGACCCAGATAAACGACAAGGAATCTGTATCGCTTTGCGAGAGATCGTTAGCGCTGCTTCACCCGAGTCCCTTGAAGAGCACGAAAAGAAGTTGATTGCCATTGTCCGATTAGCACTGACAGATGCCGATCCAGAAGTCCGCGAGGCTGCTGCAGAATCATTCGATTCGCTCCAACAGATGTTTGGCAAACGAGCTGTGGACCAGGTGTTGCCGCATCTACTGAACCTGTTGCAGAGCGACACGGAGGCTGAACATGCATTGTCCGCCTTGCTCACGCTGCTCACCGAAGCTACAAGAGCCAACGTTATTCTGCCTAACTTGATCCCGACGCTCCTCACCAACCCTATCACTGGATTCAATGCTCGGGCTCTGGCTTCTTTGGCTAGAGTTGGCGGTGCAAGCATGACTCGTAGGCTGCCTACAATCCTGAACAGTCTTGCGGACAATATAGTCACATGCAAGGACGAGCAACTTCTGGAGGAACTCAATAAGGCATTCGACGCGACGTTGTCTTCTATTGACGAATTCGATGGCCTTAACACTGCCATGAGCGTCATGTTGGCTATGACCAAGCATGATGATCACAGGAGACGAGCACTCGCTGCCAATCATTTGGCGACGTTTTTCGCAAATCCCGTGGTCGACTATTCGCGGTACAATCAGGACCTCATTCGCGCCCTCCTGATCTCATTCGGCGATAGAGACCAAGAAGTTGTCAAAGCCGCATGGTCCGCACTGAACCAGCTGCAGTCTCATTTGCGTAAAGAAGAAATGGAGACACTTGTCGCCTCCACTCGACAAGTCCTCCAGCAGGCTGGAACTGCGGGATCTGTTCTACCCGGATTTGCGCTGCCAAAGGGTATCCTACCTGTGTTGCAGATCTTCCTGCAAGGCTTGATGAACGGTACGACCGAGCAACGGGTCCAAGCTGCTACGGGCATATCAGACATCATCGAGCGGTCCAGTCCCGACGGATTAAAACCATTTGTAACGCAAATCACTGGTCCGCTCATCCGTGTTGTCGGGGAGAGATCCATGGATGTCAAGGTTGCCATTCTGTCCACTCTCAACCTGCTCCTCGAGAAAATCCCTACTTTCTTACGTCCCTTCCTGCCTCAGCTACAGAGGACGTTCACAAAATCCATCGCTGATCCAACAAGCGATGTTCTCCGTACACGGGCAACGAAGGCATTAAGTACGCTCATTACGTTGACACCGCGTGTCGACCCCTTGATCGCCGAACTCGTTACTGGTGCGAAAACCCCCGACGCCGGTGTCCGCAATGCCATGTTGAAAGCCCTCCAGGAAGTCGTCAGCAAGGTCGGTTCTAACATGTCCGATGGCTCCCGCGAGTCCATTTTGGGACTTATGGACAGCCAACATGACGTCCAGGATGATAACATGATGATGACCAACGCCCGACTCCTGGGGGCCATGATTAAAGTTCTTCCTGCAGAGAAAGCTGCGACTTTGATCCAAACTCGCGTGCTCGTGCAACCGGCGACCAACGCGTCGGTGCTTGCTTTGAACGCCGTGCTCTTGGAAAGCGCACCGACTTTGATCGACAATCCGACCTACTCGGAAGATACAAGAAATGTCCTTATCGACGGCCTCACCGGGAAGAGTGGCACTTTTGTGCAACAGAACGCTGTCCTCGCATTGGGCAAATATCTCCTCTCCCTGCTTGGAACATCCTCCGACGTCCATATCGAAGGAACGTGCAGACCATTGTTTGAAGCATTGGCCTCTACAATCCCACCAGGAGGAGACATCGACTCGCGCCGCCTTGCACTGGTGGTTATCCGCACCATCTTCCGCCACCATGGCAATCGCCTACGCGAGGACCATAAGCTGCTGGCCATCCTGGTGCCGCCGGTATTTGCATCGGTCAGAGACGTCGTCATCCCCGTAAAGTTGGCAGCCGAAGCAGCATTCTTGGAACTGTTCAACGTGGTCGACGAGGAGTCGGCCGTTTTCGACCAGTACATGGCCTCGGAGGACGGTGGCAAGGCTCTGGGCGTGGGGCCCGCGAGGAGCATGGGAGACTACTTCAAGCGTGTGGCGCTCAGGTTGGGAACGCAGGCAAGAGAGAGGAGGGAGGCCGAAGGCGGTGTCAAGGGCGGGCTGGGGCTGAGCTCGGACGAAGAGGAAGACGAGAGGGAGGTGTGGAGCGTGGGACGCGTCGATCTGGGTGAAGCGGGATTTGGCGAGGAGTGAGAGAGAGAATTCCCAACCCCCAAATAGAGTGAGAAAAACGTCTACTACGAGGTATATGAATCGATTATGTTGCCAAACGAGGCTGCTTTGAGAACCCCCCAGGTTTGGTGGTGATTATTGACCCATTTGGCTGAATGGAGAATCGATCCCGGCTGTTCCATTCGAAGATGGCAGGATAGTTTATTCAGGTATCGACGTGTGAGTTATTGCCCTTGAACTGATACAAAAGGTAGGTAGGTAGGACTATCTATGGAGGGGGAGATAGGTAGATCGGTAGGTAGTCAAGCAGGATGTTACTATCCATGCTGGGATGGGAAGGGATGCATACATACCTAGGTGCCTGCCTGGTCTGCTCCAACGAACCCCAAGAAACCACCCTGCACTGCAGGAAGAACCAACTACCTAATATAGTACGACATTGTGCAAAGCCAAGCAAAGCAGAGAAACGGCACACGTAGCGTCATTGAGAGGAAAAGAGGAGTATATGTGAATTTTGGGGTATCCCTTCTACAGCAAGTGAGCTGGGCATTGGAGGCTGCTGTCAACCGACAACAAACACAAGGAGCCTCCAAGCCTTGCCTCTTTGCCTTTTATTTGCCTATATGTACATGGATGCATAGAACAACGTCTTTCTTCCTCTTGTAAATGCATAGCAGGGCGGGTTGGTGGTGGGCCATTAGCCATCTGATCGAAATGACTCGATCTTTTTCCTGGTCAAGCAAGCAAGCAAGTCAGGACAAACGGGGTGAAACGGAGTGAGGGAGATTGATTGTCGAGACTCTCGTGCTTATCCCAGATGCCGGTGTTCTCTGGCAATGGAGTAAGAGAGAGACAGCACGTCCGCTGGAATCTCGATGCATTCCCGCCTTTGAATGCCACAGTATTTTGCAGCCTTCTCCAGCATATCGAAGAAAATACCCGGCTTGGAGTTGTCGGAAGGATTCTTGCTATCTGAAAGAATCCCTGGAGATGGACTTGAATGCAGGTGCTGGTTGTTCTGGGATATCCCCTGAAGGACCTGGTTGCTCTGTAGGTGGTGGTGGCCTAAATACGTGACATAGGTTATTACTAGTTCCAGCAAGAGACTGCATAGATATGATGAGCAACGACAAAAACAAAGTCATGACTTACGGTGCACTTTTCTGTCCTTCTTGGTTGTTGAAGTATTTCGAAAAGTCGCCCGGATCCTCGAACGGTCTCGGCCCCAGTATTCTGACCAAGTCATCCCTCACAAGCATTTCTTTCTTCAATAGTTCCTCCGCCACGGCCTGCAACTGATCCTTTTTCTCCAGGAGGAGGTCTTTGCATTGTCTATACGCCTCGTCCACAATGCGTCGGACTTCGGTGTCGATATTTCGAGCAGTTTCTTCCGAGAAAGGCTTGTGGAGCCGTTGCTCGTCGTCGCGATAGTGCAAGTACCCGATCTTGGGAGACATGCCCCATTCAGTGACCATGGCCGTAGCCATCCGTGTAACCTTGTTGAAATCATCAGACGCCCCGCTCGTGACAGTGTCGAACCAAATTTCCTCGCTGACGCGCCCGCCCAATGTCATGGCCATGCGGTCCATCAATTGTTTGACGTTCAGAAGATACACATCTCCTCCTCCGGCGGGTAGGTATTGGGCGTATCCCAGCGCCCCTTGGCCTCTGGGGATAATGGAAACTTTGAGAAGCGGGTCGGCATACTTGAAGAACCAGCCGCAGATGGCATGACCAGCCTCATGGTACGCGACGGTTTTCTTCTCTTCTGGCGTCAAGACTAGCGACTTCTTCTCCAGGCCGCCAACGACACGTTCGATTGCCTGTTCAAAATGAAGCATTTCGACCGAAGCTGCGTTCTGGCGAGCAGCAATGAGAGCAGCCTCATTGACACAGTTGGCAATATCCGCGCCCGAGAATCCTGGCGTCAGAGCTGAGAGACGGCCGGTAAGGTACTCCATATCGACGTGAGTGACGATTTTGCGGAGATGGACTTTGAATATTTGCCTGCGGCCATCCATGGTTGGTCTGTCGATTACGATGTGTCTATCGAACCGACCGGGACGCATCAAAGCCTTATCGAGGACATCGGGTCTGTTTGTACCAGCAAGGACGACAACTTGTTCGGAGGTGTTGAAGCCATCCATCTCGGTCAAAATCTGGTTGAGGGTCGATTCCCGCTCATCATTGCCACCACCAAAGTTTTGTTTCGCTCTTGATTTGCCAATGGCATCGATTTCGTCAATGAAGATGATGCACGGCGCATTCTTCCTGGCATTGGCGAACAGGTCTCGCACTCGGGATGGGCCAACACCGACGAACATTTCGACGAATTCGGAACCGGAGACTGAGAAGAAGGGAACGCCCGATTCACCAGCAGTCGCCTTGGCCAACAACGTCTTACCAGTACCTGGAGGACCGGACAGAATGGCGCCTCGAGGTATCTTTGCGCCCAGTCTCTGGTATTTCGAAGGATCTTTGAGGAAAGAGACGAACTCCATGATTTCTAGCTTCGCTTCGTCCATACCGGCAACATCGGTAAATTTGGTCTTGATATCAGTCTCGTGATTGAATCTTTTCGCCCTTGACTTGCCGATGCCGAAAATACCACTTTGGCCACCTGCGCCAGATGCTGCTCTCCGCGACAGCCAGAAAAGAGCACCCACAAAGAGAAGTGTCGGGCCAAACGAGAAGATGGCGGCGCTGAGGGGGACTTCATCGGAATAAGCCACAGGTATCCTCTCATTCGTGGGAATGCCCAGTTCTTCCTGTGCCTCATCCAAATGTCTCTCAAAAGCTTCTACTGAACCGATTGAAAAGTAGTAGTAGAAGTTCGGCTGGGCGGCAGGTGACTCTGGGTATCTCTGGGCCACGGCGGAACGGTGTAATTCGACTCTGACTCGGTTTCGGTTGATGACGGTGAGCTTGTTGACCAGACCTTTGTCAAAGAATGTCGTCCTGAATTCCTGCCATGTGATTTCCCGACTGTTCTCGCCGGGGTACAGGCTACGGTACAAGTAGTAGGTAATGAAGGCAGTCATAATCATTGTGCTGGCGTCGAGCTTGAATTCGTAAATCCTGGGCCCGCCCTGCTGCTGCTGTTTTTGCTTTTCGTTGCGTTGTTTTTTCTGCTCCTCACTCTTGTTCGACTGCTCGAATAGTGGCGTTTCATCCGGCGTCTCGCTCTTCCCGTATTTTTGTCGGACCTCCTCTGGGGTCATGCGTGACATCTTGGTAAAGAGTCCCACAAGACGAACCGTGGTACCCAGATCCATACGTTTGCTGGGATCTTTCCGCCGCGCCTCCAGGACGTCTCGAAGTTCTTTGGGGATTCCGCCCTTTTTCATAAGCTCGGCAGCTTCATCCACGGCGTCGGCTTGCGCTTTTGGGAGACCAGTCTTGATCATTTGGGCAACATCGTCGATCTGTTTGACCTCTTCCGGTGTGAGGGGAGAAAAGTCTTGTGTGCTGGCGCTCTTCGACTCTGGCTCTGCATTTGGATCTTCTTTCCCAGATGGGGCTGCGGGCTTGTCTTTTTCAGCTTTTTCAGCATTCTCTGCCTTCCTCTTCTGCTTCTCTGGATCTTCTGGAGGCGGCTTTGGATCACCAGGGGACACCGTGGCGTACAGTCTCGATAAAGGTGGACGTAATGACCGAGTACCTCGTAGTCTGGCAAATTGGGTGGAGCGGCGTTGAGCACATAAGGCGCACTCAAAAGCAGCTTTGGACGAGCGCATCAACTGCGGCCGCAGGAAGCTTGCCGCCATTGCTGGCGTACAATCTAGACGAAGAGATTGCCAGCAGAACAGCAGGAGAGAATGGGGAGAGAAGGACTGGAAGGAATGGAAGGAACGACTAGCCCAGACGACAAAGACAGAAGGTCTGGTGAGCTAAACGTGCGCAGTGAGTGACGCGAGCACATTTGCCTGACTTTTCTTAGATCCGAGGCGAGATGCAGCCATGGCCCATGGCAGATGCGCTTGTCATAGATTCTTATTTGGCCCGCCGCCCGTGTGGTTGGCACTGGTGGACACTGGTTGGCACTCGTTGCGCCACCGGCCCATTTCGCCATCCGAATACCTCGTAGGTATTTAATAATTACTAGGTAATTAATGCAGCATAAAATACTAGGTACTCCGTAGCAAAGGGCCCATTTCAAATGTCGAGTTCTGTCTCAAAGTACAGCTCTATTCCATGGCATCTGAATACATTTATCAGACTTGAATCTGTTGTCTCCATCTCATCCCTATTCGATATTCAGCCAACTGGACCACTTCGCCCACAACCTCGAAACCTCGAAACCGTATTCCTTCTCCTGCGCAATGTTCACAGTCGTCTTCTCCCATACATGTCGTGCCGGACTTTCCATTCCTCCTCTGACTTGACCTTGACAGCTTCTTTTCCCGCTGGTCGAAATCTAGGATCACGGGCAATCCTGCTGGGAGCGCTGTAGAAACCACCGGTGTTCTCTTCAAAGAAGCTGGTGCTTCCGCTGTTGCCCATCAAGAGCGCACCTCTCTCAATTGCATACTCCGGTGCTGGCTTGTACTTGCAGCCCATGTTGGCCAAATCCACTCCCGAGTCCGATGAATCTGCCGACTCCGTCAGGTTGGCCAGGATGTCTCCAACTGCGCGAATCGCTGCGCCCTCGATCTCTGCGTCGGAGCTTTGGTCGCTCGATGCACCATCGCCGCTGCCACCAATGGACGCGCGAGTGGCATGGCATTCCTTAGAAACCTGCTCAAACAGCTTTCGTGTACCTGTAGCTGGTTTGTTATCTCTACTGGCGATTCGCATCCAATTTTGGAGACTCTCTTTTCTCCCCGTCTTTGTACCCTGTAAAAAGCCCTGTGGTGCATCAGGACTCTGTGCTTTGGCACACATCCTCATGACTCGGTTCATCATCATGCGTTGGTTCTTGCTAACAGGTTTGAGCTCAAACCAATCCTCCTTTCCAACCCCAAAGATCTCTCGCAAAGTGGAGGTATCAAAGGGAGAGGAGGCTTTGCTGGTGCTTTGTCCAAAGGCTTGGTGAGGGTGGAGCTGTGAATCAAGGCCGGGTGGAGGCTTTCGAATGATAATGGATTCTGGGCTATACGTCGGGACAAGGCGGGTACGCTCTGGTGTTGTTGTTTCACTGGTGGAGTGAGCTGGAGAAGCCGAATCAAGCACTTTCACTCGATGTAAATCGGGGTTGCGCAGAACGGTTTTCCCTGTCTTTGCCAACGCCTGTTGTGCTGCGACAAAGCTCTGCATCTTATTCTTTCGGTCGTATGGTTCTTCATCCGGCAAGACAAGAACTGGGTGGGTGGCATGCTGAGCAAGCCGGTGTGCTGCTGGCTTTGTTATTGAACCTTGCTCCATTGGCTCGCCGACAGCAGTGGGGTATGAGAACCGTCTGATAGCATTCGGCATGGGCAGAGAAGAAGCGTTGGGGATGTGTCCATCCATGTTGACAGCGCTGTCTGAATTCACGTGTTGCATCACCGGACGCTCGATTGGACCCGGTGCAAGGCTCCAGGTTTGAGAATGATTTCCAGGACCGGCTTCCTCTTCATAGTGAGCAAATGTCATCGGGGCCACCATCGAGCTTTCGATAATCTCGGGCATGGGCATGAGGTGATGATGTGGGATGACAAAACCAGAAGATGGGCCCATGTGTTCATGGGACAAAGAGGCGAGTTTGTTCTCCTGCTTGGAAGGGCTGATGTCGTCCGGGACCATCAAATTGCCGTGATGTTGACCTGGTTGGAAGAGGGGGATCGCGGCTGGACCTAGTACGGGCATACCATGTGAGTCAAACCACCATGTCAAACCAGGGTATGGGAACCCACTGATTCCAGAGAGATTGCTCGGGGAGCTATTCACACTGGGTTGGCCGCTTTGTTGCGCTTGCTTAACGATTGCATGTGGCTGGATACGTCGAGGAGTTGGGTTGACAAGCGGCGATGGTGCCTGCGAGATCGTTCTCAGCATCGCCTTGGGCGCTGTGGGGATTGTCGCGCTGAGGTCGTTGGCGTCGAGCCATGTTGGCTGGGGGTTACTCGGCACGAGAGCAATGTCAGAATCATGGCTGATGGAGCCACTGCGGTCGACTCCTTTCTGACGGGTCGGGGTCGAGAGAGTGTCTTCATTATCCTCGAGAATGTCATTGTCATCTTCGGGGGTATCTTCCAAAATCAAAGGCTTCCATGCTTTAGGACCCTTGTTGCGATTCAGTTGAGGATTCTTGGTGAAGGCGCTTAGAGAAATCGGGGCAGGCTTAGGAGGCAACTTGTGTTCTTCTGCTTCACGGCTCGCCTGTCTTGCAATAGCTTTTTGGAAAGCATGATACTCTGCAGCACGGGCTCGGGCACCGAACATGTCGAGATTTCTGTAGGCAAAAGAAGAGCTCTAGATCTTGTGAGTATGGCAGCCGCTGGAAAAGGACATGATGATGCTTGACCTGGATCCAAAAGGTCGCACTAAATCTTGAACATTTCCTTGTGGAATCGATCAACTTTCACGTCCTGCAACTGCGGTTGTGGGATTCCAGATGAGGAAGATGATGTGGGCTGGCTAGAATCTGTGGCAGATGAGAAACTCAGCGGCAGCGAAGGAGGAGACAGCGCCAGCGACAGCGACCATCAGGGACTTGGCAAAAGGTGGCACCCGAACGGGCTGAGGAGGAGATAGAGCGCTGCAATGGTGGATATTGATCTCTGTAGCAACTGCAGCGCAGGTTGAAGTCTGAGGGTGTTGAGAGGAAAGGACAGTTTGAGATAGTGGTGCCACAGAAGATGAGGATGATGGTAAACTGAGGGCCTAGGAGGAGAGGGCGCGGCCGAAGATACTGAACACTGAATACGAAACAAGAACAAACTCGTTGTCATTAAGACGCTCACATCAAGAAGGCCACACGGTATCTGTTGAAAGTGGCGCTCTTAATGCGAAATGCTGGGAGTTTGTGCCAACAGGAAGGAGAGACTGATGAATGCGATGCCATACCCTAAGGCACGACCACTGATCACTTTGTCCGCCATTCATTCTCACTTCAGGTCCCATCAATTCATCTTTGTGTCTGATCGTTTCATTGGGCTTATCATCACAGATACAAGGAAATAAAACCGCCGCAAGGCTTCAGACGTCCACAGCGAGGGTCTGTCGAGATATGCATGCTCTTACCAAGAGAGAAGCTTGTTGGCAGTCCTCTGTTAGACACAGACCAGGTTGACCTTGTGATCCAGTAAGAAGGCCAGAGCAGATACAGTCACGCCTGTCCTTACCTACATACGTGCCTAGGTAGGTACGTAGCCCTGTTCCACGCATCCTAACATCGAAGATACAAGCAAACACTGGAGGGGGTGGAAGAAATGGTCAGATCGGGAAAACATCGGCAACCTGCTGTGTAACGGCGTGACTACAACTTCATTCATGCAACAAACTCCGCTGTATTTTCGCCGCCACCTCCATACCTCCATACGACCGACCTGTCAAGGACACCAACCAATCCCCTTGACTACACTCGTCTCTCTCAAAGAGCTGTTCTCTGGCATAGAGAATCCGCTGAACAAGCGCTTTTGCCTTCGAGACCCCCAGGACAAGACCAGTTATGAAGATAGGTGACCCAACCTATCGAGGCGCTCAAGTCCACCTTCCTCTTGAGATCGTCCGCCTTATAACAGACCATGTCGCTTCTGGTCACGGTGATGCCGCTCAGACATCACTGTGGGCTTGCTGTTTGGTGTCTAAGACATGGTATGCCGCTTCTGTGGCCCAGCTCTACAATTATCCACTGCTTTCTAGCCGCAACTTCGACCTCTTTGTTCGAACAATATGTCCCACACAACGGTCTCGAAGATCGCGCGTTGGTCTCGAAAATATGATCAAGAACCTTGATATGAGTCGACTCGCATACGACAGTTCCAATAGCCTTACCGCCCGCCTAATCTTTCGAACCAAATTGTCGCTGGAGAGGTTTACTTCCCCGGCAGTCACGTTCTCGTGAGCCCTTTCATGCTTTCAAAGATCCCTCAGAAAAACTCTGACGCGGTCGGCAGGATCGCCTCGTTGGCTCCGTTGTCTAAATGTGTGAACTTGCGTCAACTAGATTTGTCAACAGACTATTACTCAATATCGGTGATTGACCTTCTCAGTGCCATTGCTGAACTTAAACACTTGACGTCCCTGAGCCTGCCAAAAGGATTCCATATTCTCCAGGATATTCATTCAGTCCAAAACTTGAGATGGCCAGAGAACTTGGCACGTCTCCGTGCTAGCGACGTGATGTGTTTTCGTTCGGTGGAGTGGGACTTGCTCATTGAGAGTTGGCCCCAGACTTTGAAAACAGTGACCTTCCCGGATTGCCCACACTTCACTGGGGCGGACGTCTTCTTACACTGTGAAAAACAAGCCGAGCATGTGCAGCGACTCAAGCTGACCGAGTCGAGAGGATTAGGCGAAGACAGCTATAACCTGTTCGACATCCTGCACGTCTTTCCGGCTCTTCAAGAATTGATCGTCCCTGCCGATGTGGCACGGAGGACTCTGAACGAATCCCCAGTAGAGACGGAAGAACCGGCCACCAGGGACTCCCCCCTGGAGATACTGAGAATCACGCCGACATGCCATCCGAAATGGTACCTCGACAGCCAAGGGCGCGTAAATGCAAGGACGGATTTCCAATCCTTCAGCCGGCTGGCCGTGCTGCCTCGTCTCCGAAGGCTGGAGATGCCCGACTCCCTCACCACTTACGACGGCGAAGGAGACCAACAAACGTTATTTGAGGAGCTCTCTCGCCGGATCGAGGACCGCGCCGACCGAGACCAGCGGGCCTCTGCGGGGATTTTCCTTGTGGACGATTCAGAGGTCGCAGAACTATGATAACTCCGAGTGGCTTGATCAGTTTGGGATGTCGAATATTGCATTGCAAGCGAATGGTCGTATTCAGTACCCTACCCGCAGGTCAGGCCAACCTGGTCGTTGACGCCGGACAAGAAGCTCTCTCCAAATGAGGAGGTATAGAGACACTCAACATCAGCGAATCTCGCATTCGCTAAAATCATAACCGACTAGCTCCTCTTTTCTCGTTCAAAGCTGTATTATCATTTCCACTAGGTTCTCTCCCATTACAACCTGGTGAGATACACGTAGAGTGTTACGAGCAAACCCGACGCCAACGCCTGCCGGTCCCAACATTGCCACACTGTGGCCTCTTGTTTCGTTCCAATCCAGCAAAAACCGAAAAGAAAAACATTCTTATCGCTCCGACCATGTCCCCCTTTACCCTTCCAACAATCCGGTGTCCCGCGCTGTGTTTTTCACTCATACAAACTCCGCTCGCATTTCATCTTTCTTTCCATGTTTCATACCTACCGTAAACATATCGACAAGGCGCAAAGGAGAAAAAGAGCTCGGAACATGCTGCTAGCCTAGAACGCGCAGGTGCTAGTTGCCATGTTTATGACACTATCTGAGACCTTCCATTCGCCTTCTCAGAAGATGGTTCCAAATGTGCCGTCGGTGTCGATCTTCTTTCGCGGGCTTCCTCCTTCTGTATCTGGCTTGCGATGTCTGCACAATTCACATCATGGGTTAGCATATTGCCACCGCCGTAGTCTCCTGACCAGTGTGCATGACAGAAGAAAGGAAGCAGTTGATCACATACCTGAACGTGAACCCCACGAAGAGACCCTTGCCCATCTTTTCGTCCCGATCCGCCATATCTTCCAAGGTTCTCTGTTTATCATGCACCTCCTTGTACTTGGCCATGTCCGCTTCATTCGAGAAATCGTCAAAATACCCAGCGTCAGTCTCCGAATCCAGTTCCGGCACAAACGGCGCCTTCTGCTCTCTCAACTTGGAGAAGTCCACCTCGGCAAAGTACTCGTGCTTGTGGATTTCGGAAATGGATTTGAATCGGTGATCCTTGGCAGCAACGAGGCGAGTGATCAGGTCCCAGGTGCGCTTGGAGAGGAAGTAGGTGGGGTCATCGTAGATGGGTTTCCGGAGCACACGCTGCCAACGTTTGAGGTTCTGCCAGGTTTCGTCAACAGTGGCGCCGGCGAACGGGGGGTATCCTGCCAGGGCTTCAAAGAGCATGCAACCCAAAGACCAGTAGTCGACAGTGAAATCATATGTTTCACCCTTGAGGACTTCTGGGGCCATGTAGTCGGGCGAGCCCACGATGGACTTGGCATAGTTGATGTCCTTCTTGCGGAGGGAACGGTAACCCTCGCGACGTTGGTCGGCTGAGCGGTCTTCAACGGCGGGCATGCCGAAGGGAACCGGCGTGTTTCCTACTTCTTCAAGTTTGATGCGCATGCTTTCGATCTTGATGGGGCTGAGCATGCCGGCGGCGAGACCGAAGTCAGTGAGTTTGACATGTCCGGTGGCGTCAATTAAGAAGTTTTCTGGCTTCAAGTCGCGGTGAATATAGCCCAGCGTGTGCAAGGCGTCAACGCAGGAAAACATTTCAGCAATGTAGAATCTGGCATGACGATTGTGAAGGACGCCGGTGTTGTTGAGCAGGGTTCGAAAGTCGCCTCCAGGAACGTACTCCATGGCCAGGTAGATTTGTTCTTCATCTTGGAAAGAGTACAGCAACTTGACAAGCCACTCAGATTTCGCGGCGGTCAGGATGTCTCGTTCCGTCAAGATGTGACGCACTTCATCCAATTTGAAGAGGAGTTTCTTTCTCATGACCTTGAGTGCACAGACTTCTCGAGTGTCTTTCTTTTGAGCGAGATAGACCTGGCCATACCCACCTTGACCCACTTGGGTGAGGATCTGGAAGTCACCATGGCGGAGGCGAGTGCGACGCTTGCGCAGATTGGCCCGCTCACGCCCAAGGTACTTGTGGAGTGCAACGTCGAACTCTTCTCTTGGTGTCTCAGGTGGAGCAGGGAACGAGGCTTTGAAAGCAGCTTCTCTAGACTGACGATTATGGACGTAGGAGAGCAGGTCAAAGTAGTAGTCAAGGAAGTCTATGAGAAATTAGTGCCCGACCCCGTACTGTGGAGCGTTGAGATACATACACAATTGAGTCACATTTGCCAGTCGCTTAACTTTTGGAAGTTGCAACTTTTGCAACTCCTCGGCGGTGAGACCTTTGGTTGTGTTCAAAGTCTTCTTGGAATCGGCTGTCCGATATTGTTCTTGTCGCGAGAGGGCAGCATGGTTCTGCTGGACACCTTTGCCATATCCCAGGCCACTGGCGGGAGCGTTTTCTTTGTTGGATTGACGCGTGGGACTCTCTGAACGGGCATAATACTGAGCAGCAGGATCTGCGAACGGGTCTTCGCTCACATTCTCGTCACCAGCAGAAAACCCTTGTTTGGCTGGGGATTTTGGCTGCGCCTTGGTAGGCGACGTGGGAGCCAATTTCATGGCATTGTCAAAGACATTGGGCAGATCATTGGCTCCAGGTGGGAGTTGTCTCTTGCTTGGACTGCCTTGAGGAGTTTGTACAGGACTGGTGAAACCATGGGCAACAGCGCTTCCCGGTGTTGTTGGGGTCTGAGGACGATCGTACATCTCGTTGCCAGAACGAGTATGCAGCAGAGGAGGAGGCATCGGCATGACCATGTTGAGATCTTGTTGTGATTTCGGGGAGAGAGGTGTGCTGCCGACAGCCATTCTCCGTCGGACGAATGTGTGTTTTGGAGATGAGTGCGGCGGGAGGGAGGGTGCGGCGGGAAGGTGAGGCGGGCGGTGAAGACAGAGGCTAAACTCACTCTCTATCAACACAAGAGCAGGGCAGTCATGCAACTGATCCTATCTACTGATCCCTCAAGCGACTGATCAGGTTTGGAAAGAGGCAGTGAGGACGATAGCAAGATCAATTGCGCACCGCAGGCAAACAAGACCACCCTGCGACGTGGTGCGGATACTACAAGGGATAATATATTCAAGACGGATTTGGAGAAGTCAACAACAGCGACTTGTTTCGATGGGCAACGAAAGGATCGTGCCCCAGTCACGTGCGTCTATTTTGACTGATTGTGATCCCGCCGCTTTAAGCGAGCCATGCATTCTCGCCATGCGGTGCAAAACGATATGGATCTCGGAATCGCATTGTTGTGCGTGACTGAGAAGCTGGAGTGGTCTGCTCGACCGAGACAAGCAATGCTTCCTTCCAGGCTGGCTCAATACTCAGCATACCCTTTTGCAACATCTCCATGTCGAATAAGCAGCGAAGCCAACGTCGCGATCATACCAGTTTGGGTCTCAATCATGCACCAGAACTTATGGCCTGGCTCTTGCTCGATCGGTCAACGTTGCGAGTCAACACCCCCCTCGGGAGCGTTGTAAGGCTTCGAGGGACTACTCCTGATTCTCATGGTCCCAAAGAGCTTGAAGAATTGCCATGCCTTCCTCTACATCTTCCTCCTCGTCGAGTTTCAGTTGGTAGCTCAGCATGAAGTGGTAGAAAGAGCGGTAGCTAAGCTGCTGGGCCATCTTATCTCGAGACATTCGCATACTTTTTTTCTGGCCCGATTGTGAGGAAGTGGTATTGGACCGAGGAGTCGCAGACTGGCTGGTTTCGGGCATCTTATCTCCTGATGGGAAGAGAAAGCGATTGATGTCTAAGAGAACTCCGTACGTCTTGAACTCTGAGGTAGGCGTCAGGAGAGCGGGTTTGTGCCGTTCAGTGTGGGCTTGGGGGTGTACCGTAGAGATTGAGATTTGGTGGAGGATTTCGAGATATCAATATGGCTAGGGAGAGCTGTATTAGTATCGCAAAAAGCGGTCAGGCATCCTTATGGAGACCGTTCTAGACTCGAATTCCAGAGGATCCTGATGTGGGCCGAAGCGTGCCGAAACGATTCTGTAGCAGGAAACAAGAACACTCGAGTGTGGTTTGTACACAACATATTTTTTGCAGTTACGAGCCTGGAAGTCCTAAAAGGGTGGGGAACGACTGAGAATCGAGGACACAATCGACAGAACCTCCAAATGCCTTGACTGGACCATCACGCCACTGTTGACTCTCTCAGGAAGCTTCTGTTTCAACATTGGATATATTGCACAACCTACCATTCTCGGCAATCCAAAGAATAAGAGACTGGGGGCACACCAATTCTCCAAAACATTCGCTCCTTTTGGTAATATTCAGAGCTCCTGGCAAGCCGGCCCAACATGTTTACCACTCCATCTTCTCTTTGACATATAGATCCACGTATTTGTCAACTTCCATCGAGTCCAGCTTCGAGGCATCAGTGCCCAGTTCCAGAAGCTCCTTGATCTTAGCCTCTGGGAAGTGGTGGCTCAAATGTCTCTTGTACTTGGCCAAAATCTCAGGCTTGGCCTCATCTCTTCGCAGACGGTGACCAAGTGGAGCCTCCACCACGACTTCATCAAGCACAGTTCCATCATTCAGTGTCACGGTCAGAGCATTGGAAATCGTTCTCAAGGCAGGGTCGTGGTAGTCCTTGGTAAATTGAGGATCCTCAACACACTTGATCTTCTTCCGAAGGTCCTCTACCAGAGGAGACGTAGCGGCCTCGCTGCCATCAACGTAGTCGGTGGCTTCCAAACGGTTGAAGCACAGCATAGTGGCAACCATATATTGAACGCAGTGGTCTCGATCGGCGAAGTTGTCCATGGGCTTGAATTGCTTGTCAATGATTCGGATGCAGGCTTCGTGGGTTCGGTTGGTGATCTCTTTGATATCCTTGGCTGACTTGCCCATGTCGGCAAGGATTTTGTAGACCTTTTGTGCAGCTTCGACAGCAGTCTGCGAGTGGAACTCGGCTGGGTACGACACCTTGAACAAGACGTTCTCCATGACATATGATCCATAAGGACGCTGGAACTCAAACTTCTTGCCCTTGAAGAGAACATCATAGAAACCCCAGACAGGCGCCGACAGGACCGTGGGAATGCCGGCTTGGCCTTGCAGGACCTTGAATGCGAGGTTTACAGCTCTTTGACAAGCATCTCCAGCAGCCCACGATTTGCGGGACATGGTGTTGGGCGAGTGTCGGTAGGTCCGCAAGCTCTGCCCATCGACAAATGCTTGAGAGACAACAGCAGCAGTCTGGGCCTCGTCAAGACCCAGCATTTTGCTCACCACTGCAGCCGATGCCACCTTCACGAGGACGACATGGTCCAAGCCGACTCTGTTGAAGGAGTTCTCTAGAGCCAGACAGCCTTGGATCTCATGTGCTTTGATCATGCCTTCCAAAACATCTCTGACGGTGGGAATCTTGCCATTGCCGACCTTACCGCCAGCTCTGTTTGTCCGGGCCATCCAGTCAGCAACCGCCAGAATCGCACCGAGATTGTCCGAAGGATGACCCCATTCTGCAGCCAGCCAGCAGTCATTGTAGTCCAGCCATCTGATCATAGCCCCAATATTGAAAGCACCGTTCACTGGGTCCAATTCATATGGTGTTCCCGGAACTCGAGTTCCATGAGGAGTAGTAGCTCCTGGGACAACAGGGCCTAGGATAGCCGTGCACTGAGGAAAGCGCAGGGCCTCCAGACCACAGCCGATAGTGTCGAGGAGGATATAGCGAGAAGTATCGAGGGCAAGTTCCGAGTCAATCTTGTAATTGTGCACGTATGAGGCGATGTCCGTGATTTCAGGGTCGTATGCTTGGGTAGAGGCTTTGGAGGGCTCCGAGGAAGCCATCTTCGCAGAAGTCGAGAAGGAGGAGGTAAACGCAGGCGTAGGACGAGGAAGTCTCAAGCTAGGTGCTGAGCGGATTGCCGAGGAGGGTGCTTGCGCTCGAACAGCCAAAGCACCGGCAGCCAACCTTCGCACTGGAGCTCTTTTGAATGCAGAGGACACCAGCATGGCTGATCAAGTCGTGGGGTTGGTGGAAGAGCTCAGGGCGACAGCGGTCGACCGAGTGCAGTTAGAATCGTAAATGTCGGGTGATGATATGAGGAGCCAGCGAACACTCAATGCTCGACACAGGCAAGTGACAGCAACAGGCTAGTGAGGCTTCTGTGTTTCCCGAGCCACAACAGGGTCAGGCTTTGGTCGAGTTGCTCACCGACTTGAGAGTGAGAGCCAAAGAAAGTGAAGAGAGTGGAAAACCAGGGCAGGGACGATGGAGGGGAAGCAAAGGAATCAAATAAAAGTCAGAGCTCGAGCAACTCTCAACAATCTTTTTTCTAGATTCCTGGCAACGTCCCTCACTTCCCTCACTTAATACTAGCACAGCAGCTATCACCCAGCTATCTACTTCGGTCATCTATTTTACATCATCCTGTCCTCATCGTCCCGTCGCTTCCAGGCTGTTACTGACCTATCGAGCTCGCCCTTCCCAGCATCGCTTCTGTTGCCGCGTCCCCGATCGAGCTCCGACTGCCTCGGCCATTGCCGGCCCATCGCAAGTGGTGACTTAGTGGTCCCTTTCGAGGTCTGCTAGAGGCCGCCCCGCTTGCATGTCCCTGATTCTTGCTAGCTGTGAATTAGCTGTGAGTTCCGTCTCTATCCCATCCACCATTGATTGGCCGGGTGTCAGCCTTTCTAATAGTGATGCTTGCAGCAGTCAGAAGGGAATGCAAAAAATGTCCCATAGACAAGCCCGCTATCAGCCTCTTGATAATGCCTCTGAAGTAGAGCTTGACGGAGGCGACCTGTCCGATGATGACCCCAAGGCACCTCAGACTTTCACCCTCCGCTCCGGTCCACCAGCAAGCGACGCCGCTTCCTCAAGCGAGGTCGCTTTGTTAGGCTCCTCCGCCCCTGGAGTCCGTGGCACGTCCCCCAGACGACGAAAATATCCCGATACCGTTGCCAGCCGCTTCTGCGTCGGCCCCAGACTCACTAAGCAATACATCGCCTGCTCAGTCCTCATCTTAGCAGTCATTGTCTCGCTCATTGGTGGCGGTGGCTACTGGGTCTATACAAAGGGTCAGATCAATGGGCAGTCTCCGCCGTGGTATCCGACACCGCCAGGCGGGACATTGCCAGCATGGCAAGTCAGCTACGACAAGGCTCGGAAACTGGTTGAGCGTATGAGCCTCGTGGAAAAGGTCAACATCACCACCGGCACAGGATGGGCAATGGGACTTTGTGTGGGCAATACTGCTCCTGCACTGAGCGCTGGTTTCCCCGGTCTTTGTCTTCAGGACGGCCCTCTGGGGATACGATTTGCAGATCATGCTACTTCCTTCCCTGCTGGTATCACGGTGGGCGCCACCTGGAACCGTGATTTGATGCGTCGCCGCGGCGCCGCTCATGCACGTCAGGCCAAACTCAAGGGCGTCAACGTTCTTCTTGGGCCAGCAATGGGACCATTGGGTCGAAACCCGGCTGGTGGCCGAACGTGGGAAGGCTTTGGCAGCGATCCAGTCGTGCAAGGCGTAGCTGCATACGAGACCATTCAAGGCATCCAGTCACAAGGTGTCATGGCAACTGCAAAACACTATATTGGCAACGAGCAAGAGCATTTCCGTCGACCTCTGGAGTGGGGTCTCCCAGAGGCTCTCTCTTCCAATATCGATGATCGCACTCTGCACGAAGTCTACGCCTGGCCGTTTGCCGAGAGTGTAAGAGCCGGAGTGGCCAGCATCATGTGTTCCTATCAGATGGTCAACAATTCTTATGCTTGTGCGAACAGTAAGTTGATGAACGGGCTCTTGAAAGATGAACTCGGCTTCCAAGGCTTTGTCCAGTCGGACTGGTTGGCTCAACGCAGCGGTGTTGCTAGTGCTCTCGCAGGCCTCGATATGTCCATGCCCGGTGACGGATTGTTTTGGCAAGATGGAAGATCACTCTTCGGCGAGCAGCTCACCATCGCGGTGCTCAATGGCTCTCTTCCGGTGAGCAGGCTCAACGACATGGTCACACGGATCGTTGCTGCATGGTATCAGCTAGGACAAGATTCCTGGGCCTCTGAAGGACCCAATTTTTCCTCGTGGACGCACGATGAATACGGCTATCCACATGCTGGTAGCAATAGCAAACAAGACAAAGTCCTCGTCAACAAGTATGTCGAGACAGAGAACGACGAAAGCCGACAATTAGCCCGAGAAGTCGCCAGCGAGGGCACCATTCTGCTGAAGAACGAAGATTCAATTTTGCCCCTGAGTCCTACACTTTCCGAGCTGGGGACCGGTACCCCCAAGCGAGTCGCCATTATCGGGGAGGACGCCGGCCCTGGGAAAGGACCTAATTACTGCGAAGATCGAGCTTGCAATCAAGGCACTCTCGCTGTGGGTTGGGGTTCAGGTGCGACAGATTTCACTTACCTCGTGGACCCGCTCTCAGCGCTGAACTCAAGCTTCGACCAGTCCGTGGTCGAAATAACCAGCTCCCTCACCAATAAATTGTCTTCCAATTTCAGGAAGGCGCTCAGGGAACAAGACTTATGCCTCGTCTTTGGCAACGCAGACTCGGGCGAAGGCCATCGCATCTGGCATAGTCAACGTGCAGACAGAAATGACCTGGAAATCCAGAAAGGCGCAGGCCAGTTGATTCGCACTGTGGCCGACGAGTGCGGTGGTCCTGTTGTGGTCATTATTCATTCTGTTGGTCCTGTCATCCTCGAGGAGTTTGCCGATTTGCAGTCCGTCAAGGCCATTGTCTTTGCGAACCTGCCCGGTCAGGAAAGCGGAAATGCCCTTGCTGATGTCCTGTTTGGACGTACCGATGCTTCCGGACGGCTTCCCTACACGGTCGGCAAGTCCCTTGCGGACTATGGTCCAGGTGCTCCAGTGCTTTACTATCCCAACGCCATCACCCCACAGGTGAATTTCAGGGAAGGCCTGTTCATCGATTACCGGCATTTTGACAAGGCAGGCACTGAGCCTCGTTATCCTTTCGGTCACGGGTTGTCCTTCACAACATTCGATTTCTCTGACCTGGTCGTTACGAGACTGAGATCGAAATCGGCCCTCCCTTCTGCAAGGCCTCCAACGCTGACACCCCCAAGATTTGACGAAACTATACCACCTGTTGAGAGTGCGCTCATCCCAAGCACACTCACAAAGATAAGGAAGTTCGTTTATCCGTACATATCTCGAGCAGACCAAGTAAAGAAGGGCAAGTATCCGTATCCTGATGGATACGACATCGTTCAGGCGCCCAGTGCTGCTGGAGGTGGCGAAGGCGGCAATCCTGCTCTGTTTGAAGAGTATGTCAATGTCCAAGTGCGTATTACAAACACAGGAAACCGCAAAGGGAAGTCCGTGGTACAACTGTATGTCTCATTCCCTTCTGCGATAAAGGAACCATCCACGAATGAAATCATCGAAACGCCGGTGAGGGTGTTGCGCAACTTCACAAAGATCGAGCTCGAGGCAGGTGCAGCACAGGTTGTGAACCTCAGTCTGACTCGAAAAGATTTGAGTTACTGGTCTGTGATTCAACAGAATTGGGTGATGCCTGATGGTCCGTTCACCTTGGCTGTGGGTCGCAGTTCGAGAGATCTACCTCTGGAGGGGATATATTGAATGCCTGAAGCATAGGCATTTCGAGTCAGATATTGCGGAGTCAGAATGGTGCATGCGAGGATGTGAGGACCTTGCCAATACGAGGCACACGGTTTAGACAGCCCTGCACGCGATCTGCCCTACCAGAACTGAAGGACAAAAGCGACCTTGGGACGAGATCATCTGATATACGAGTCGACAGTGCCTACGCGACAGTGCCACTCCTCTACTTCTACCTCGGACCAAATGTCGCTTCCTTGTCGCCACACTTCGGCCGAGGACTCTGTCACCAGCTAGTCTCCGCAAATCCGGGCTTCCCCCACACATGGGGTTTGCTAACCAAAGCCTCTATTGACTCTAGGCCGAGGGCCTCAGGGCTCTCTCTGGCTTCACAAAGGCTCGCTTTGATGAATATGCTTCCTCGTCCAATATTGATGATTGGCTCATCAGTCGATGTCCTGACCCTACCTAGGTAAGTTCCGGACTGGGGCAAGGCCGGTGATATGAAGTGGATGTGGCACTCTGAAGCATGTTACATAGACTTTGGCAGAACTCATGTTCCCCGCTACTCTTCGATTGTCAAGAGCTGTGACCACTTTGACTATAAGTTGCCATCACGTCGACCCCTTTGGCCGAGTACTTTCCTGAAAACAGCGTCTACTCCGCCTTGTGCTGCTTCCAAAGTGATCCATAACTAACATAGACGCCGGTTTAATACCTGCCCTCTCCTTCATCACCTGCTTCTCTTTGTTGCACGACTCTGTGAGTCTGTTTTCGAAATGGCTCCCGATCTCAACTCAATGGCCCAGTATGCCACTGACGGTTATGCCAACAACGGGGTGCCTCGAGAGGAATATACAATTCCTGGTAAGTTGATCGTTTTCTTTTCCCCTGGTTCACCCCATCCACATAGTCTTCGAGTTGCCGCAAATCTGGATCCGAGAAGTTGTCCTCACTACTTCACAATCTATCCGGGAACATGCTTCATGCTTCTTAGGCCAACAGCACCCTCCACGCGTTGTGTTCTTCTTGTGCGAGAATTGGTCAGACTGCGTCAGGCCTCCAACTTCTCCAATCGACAAGCAATGTACAGGCAACGAAGATGACATTACCCTTTGGTTGTCGGTCGGTTGAGCAATGACGTTTTTGGTCGAGTCCATCCTCCCAATATGTGCCGAAGATGTTGTACTCTCTGGACCACAGCTCGCAGGGCTGCCTGCCCAGGGTGCTTCTGTATCCTTGCTTTCCTGCGGGGCGCATTCATCAGGACCAACAAACGCACTAGAGTGTCCTGCCAGCCCGGGTTCACCTTCTCCAATCTTGAAACCTTGGACCCGAAAATTAGGCCTTCAGCGGAATTCTTTCCTGGCTTTCTGCCGGTCCATCATCTAGCTTGGCCTGTGGATTCGGAGAGCCGCATGCTAACCAAAATGCTACAGATATTGTGTTGCATGGCCCCTACACCAGGAAGATCCGTGTCTTGTCGATCGGTGCCGGTGTAACCGGGATCATGAATGCCTACCATATTCAGAAGTTTCTACAGAACGTGGAGCATGTGATCTATGAGAAGAACGCTGATATCGGAGGCACCTGGTTGGAAAACAGATATCCAGGTATGATCATCACACACCGTTACCGTAGTTCAGAGCATGCGACTACTGTGGTAACAATGTCGTGTGAATTGTATCAATTGCTGATCGAACGAAAACAGGTTGCGCATGTGATATTCCGAGTCATGCATATACCTATCCTTTTGCCCTGAATGTGAGTTGTGAATACCTTTCGACACCCTCCAAGCCGAGTCTGACCTGTGAACTCGCAGCCCGATTGGCCACGCTTCTTCTCTTACTCGCCCGATATCTGGAAATATCTCGATAAGGTTTGCGAAGTATGGGGCCTGAGGAAATACATGACTTTCAACACCGAGGTCGTGGGATGCTACTGGCAACAGCAGACGGGCGAATGGCTCGTGAAACTGAAGCAGACAAGTCCCGATGGAACCACACGTCTCTTCGAAGACCGCTGCCACATGCTTCTTCACGGGACAGGTATTCTGAACAACTTCAAATGGCCCAACATTGAGGGAATGGAGAAGTTTAAGGGGAAGATCATGCATACGGCTCGGTGGCCCAAGGACTATCAGGCCGAGCAGTGGAAGAAGGATCGTGTCGCTGTTATCGGGTCTGGAGTAAGGTCCACTCTCTCTTCTTGCTGTTGAGCGTATCTGACCTCGTTCATTCGAATAGGCCTCTAGTATTCAGACAGTACCCACAATGCAGCCACACGCCAAACATCTCGATGTGTTCGTCCGGACGGGTATGACTTCCCCACAATCCCGCACCGAATGCATTGCTCTCAACGTCGATGACCTGATGGTCGATACTTCAAATGTTGAAGATGAAGTTCTAACTTCTTGTGCTTAGGTGTTTGGTTTGTGCAAATTGCAAACAACTTCGGCGCAAACCATGAATATACGGACGAGCAGAAACAAGATTTCCGCGATCCATACAAAATCACCGAGCATGCCAAGTCCATCGAGGACCAGGTCAATGGGCTCTGGGGTTCCTTCTACAAGAACTCAAAGGCTCAAGAAGAGGGACAGGCCGCTTTGAAGGCCCGCATGGCTGAGATGATAAGGGATGAGAGACTCCTCAAAGGGTTTACTCCCACTTTCGGCATTGGTTGCCGCAGGATTACTCCTGGTGATCCGTATATGGAGTGAGTTTAACCTTACCGTGATGAATTTCTCTCAAGCCTGACAAACTCTGCAGAGCCATTCAGAAGCCCAATGTCGACGTTCACTTCACCCCTGTTGAAAAGATTGTAAGTCAGGTGCAAGCCACCGTCATCCCGCCTTTCTCGGCGGATCGTCAGATGCTAACGGTGCAAAGGACGAAACAGGAGTTATCGGGGGCGATGGCATTCACCGCGAAGTTGACACAATTGTTTGTGCCACTGGTTTTGACGTATCATACCGTCCTCGCTTTCCCATCGTCGGCCAGAATGGAGTCGACCTAGCCGATAAGTGGAAGGTCTGCCCCGAGGGCTACCTTGGCCTCGCGATTCCCGAATTTCCCAACTTTTTGACATTTATCGGACCCAACTGGCCTGTGGAGAACGGCAGCGTTATGGGTCCGCTGATGTACGTCTCATACTACGCTCTGCAGATGATCAAGAAGCTCCAGTCCGAGTACATTTGCAGCATCGCGCCGAAGCAAGACGTCACGGATGCGTTCAATGAGCATTGCCAAGAATGGATCAGACACACTGTTTGGGTTGAAGAATGCCGATCATGGTTTGTGCTCTCCTTTGCTGCTCTTCCACAAATGCAGATCCAGCTGAGGACATCGCTAACTGACTCCCCATCAGGTACAAGAACAACGAGACAGGTCGGGTGAATGCCGTTTGGCCTGGCTCCTCTTTGCATTACATTGAAGCCATCAAAACACCCCGTTATGAGGACTTTGAAATCGACTACCTTGGACCTGCTAAGAAGAACATGTGGGCGTTCTTGGGCATGGGTACAGTCCAGGCTTTAGTCAACAAAGAGGACGTATCCCCATATCTGAATCCTGAGGCCATTGATCCGGACTGGATGAAAGCTGTGGGCATTGATGCGAGTAAGTTGCACGAGACCAAGTTGAAGGATTTGCAAGCAAAACACGAGGAGCAAAAGGAGAAGAGCAAACAGAACGTGGAGAAGATCGATGTCTCTTGAAGAAATCCGACACGAAAAGTGTGGTACCTAGATAAAGGGTCAGCCAGCCTGATCACGTGAGAGCAAGACTCAGCGGACCAATTGCCTCCAGAGCTTCCCAGATTTAGTATATGGCCGAAGAAAGACTGCTAAGACGATTATCATTTCTGCATTTCATGGAAAGGGAAGGTTAATAATGTCCATCTTCATAGTTGTGTCGTCTACGGGAGCTGGTGCTTAGTGCTCAGCCAGCATGTCACGTGCCAGGGCGTTTCATCCTCCGTCCCTCGTAGAATCTGCGGAGACAAGGGTAAACAACAATAATTCATTTGCACCCTGGTTTCCCATGCGCGCGACTGTCGCCTGGCGCCGATTTTATTTTCTGCATCCTTGAGAAGAGGCTTTCACCCCTTCCGTTTGCTGCGTATCTAGCCTCACACAATTTCTGAGCTTGCCACGACCTGAAGACCAATCAAACGCGCACTCGTTCAATATCATACAACTCCTGGGGAGCGATCGAACCGATGGAGATCCATTCCGTGTTACCTGAAGAGCGAGCAAGAGATCCCAAAGGCGAGACACTTCCCTGGGGCTATCGCTATGCAGAGTAAGTACTCAAAGCGGACCTGGATCACCTCCTCTCAGGGAGAGCATCAAGTTAGGAACATCACTCTGACTCGTCCTCGAACAGCTCGGCGAGAAACGCCAGACAACTACCAGAAGAGAGCGGACCCTTTGGCCGCAATCGGAGTATAAGATCGACCGCGTCACGGACGCCGCGCGCAAGAACCGGCACTACACCCGTTCGTCAAAAGGAGAACACCGCCGTCGCCGAGTTTGGGAGGCTGTTTGCAAAGGAACAGGCGAAAGAGGAAGAGAGGAAGACTACGTTACCCTCACCTCCGACGGCTTCAGGCGAAGCACCCGCGACGGAACGACCTATCCAGCCAGAAGCCGTGCCCACCGAATGTCTACTCTATGGCTATGCGAGCAAACAGTCGGAATGGAAGGTGCTGTCGAAATTCGAAAAGATTGTCTCCCCGGGCATAATTTGCGAAGACTACCCGCGAGAAGATCCCAATCTCTACCTTTCTTCGAACTCGCCGTTTGGCCTTTCTAGGGGCTCCGTGGTGGTCCATCAGAATCTGAGCCGTGAAGCGATCAAGAAGAGTCGGATATACCGCGGTGGGAACCACTGGATTAAGGTCACATTCGACTCCTACCAGGCTGCGGAGAGAGCCTGCTTTTACAGTCCCATCGACATCGATGGCTACATGGTTCACTGCGAGATGTGGCACGGAAAAGGTCCTGCAGCCGATGTTCCGTTACCCAAAGGTCCTGCTGTTGGACCAGAGGGCTCAGACCTTATCCAGCCACAGCTCCCGCGACAGGCTGATGACGGCCGAAGAGCACGGACGTTGAGCTCGTCACAGTCTTCCCGTATGCTATCAGGCAAACAGTCGGCTATTGCTGGCTTCGAACGGGCACTACAGACTTTGCCCCGATCTCACACCATGCCCGACATGCAATACGGGCAGCCTCTTAGCCACGAAGACGAGCAACTCTCCGTCAATTCCGCAACAGCCTCGTCGGCAACCGCAACGGCCACCGACCTAGCTGCTCCTGAGCCATTATCACCTACCGGTCTACGATCACGCTCCGTGCCTCAGCTGCCCAGTGAAACCGCCCAGCACCCCGCAGACTCGGAGTACATGACACACATTAAGAATGTGAAAAAGGTAGTCCTCCGACCAATATCCGAAGCCCTGCCCCCACAGCCGACATTTGCCGAAAGAGTTTTGGGCAGTATCCCTATTGTGTCGTACTTCATGGGGAGCACGAGCACCAAGCAAGGAGCCACGGGCGGAAGACGTGACGTGATAGGCGAGGGACCACTGCTCAGGGACGACGGAAGCTGGGATCCAGCTAATGGCTGGTACTGGAGCTTCTGGCACGGCGTGGACAGGTGGTTTGGGACCGACTTTTGTGGCCTGAAGGACGACTGAGGGCGATCAATCATTGCACATTCAATGAATCACCTTTTCTCGCGAAGACACGACTTTCGCACGCAACGTCGACGCATTCAGTACGACGTGGGGGAGCAGATACCACACACCTATGTATTAATCAGGCAGCGAAATTGGCGGTTCTGCACTCAGAAAAACCCCAGAGACAGGTTGGCATTTTCCAATGAAGACAGAAAGGGTCGCCTTGGGAAGAGGCTTAACGTGCCAACGAGTGACAACTTGTACAAAAGATCAGGAAGAAAGATTGGAGGAGAAACGGACAAAATGGGGGCCGGGGGCGCTCAAAGAATTGGTCTCAGGGTATCAGTTGGAACATCCTGTTCATCACCATTTTTTTTGGACGCTGGATCGGTTTTCTTTGGGGCCTGCATAAATAACCCCCGAAGCTCGCAATCCTGTGGTAACAATTGCGTCCTACAACTCGCATGAGCAGGAGAGATTGAAAACAAAGTCAAGTCTCCCAATTCATACGCATATCCGCCCGAAAACAGACCATTCCTTTTCTTTTCCCCCCTCGCTGTTATGCAAAGGTGGGGCGGAAATGATTCGCATTTCACTCACATTCCATTTTTCCCTGATTTTTTTTACCTTCTGGTGTTTTTCAGCCCTTTTTACATTTGGGGGGAATCACACACAACCTCTTCCGCTCAGATGTTGGGATTATTTTTTCTCTTCTACTCGACTTTGCCCTCAAAGTTCTCGCCCTCGACCAAATCCGGGATCTCGTCGTCATCCTCGTCCTCGCCTCCTTCCTTCTTGCCTCCTTCGCCCTTTTCGCCCTCTTTCTTCTGTAGACTCTGGTACGACTCTGCCAGGCGACGTAAAGAAGCCAGACTGTCCGGGCCGAGTTGGTTCAGGATTCCGGGCACGAGTTCGGTGAGTTCCTTGTCTTCGCCGTTGCCGTAGATGGCGAATGTGTTGGAGGGGACGGAGGCGTGGACTGGACGAGGAAAAGGAGACATACGTTAGCTTCATTGATTCACCCTTGCATATTAAAACCTCAATGTACATCACTGATCATCCTCCTGTTGCTATTCCTCTCTTGGTTCCCGTTGCCGCTGTAATGGTTTCTTAGACTAGAGAGACAGAGACGTACCCTTGGGCGCGGCGAAGTGTATCACATTGCCGTCTTCCTTGAACATATTGACCTCCTCGATCGCCTGGATGGGCTGCACATTCATCTTTTTCAGTGTCGTCTGGAGTTTCTTGTCATCGGTCCCGGAACTCTTGTGCACCTTCTTGGTTTTGCGGCGCGGGGTGCCTTTGCCTCTGGGAATCAAAGAAAGAAAAGATGTCAGATTGAGCGGAATCTTAATGGGACGTCTTGGAGAATTTGGTTTTGAAGCCCGAAGAGTGAAATGCGAAGAGGGGAAATTAAAGATACATACCCTGTGTCGATTGTTAGTGGGGTGCGCACAGGACAAGTTGGTTTCTGTTGTATTTATTGATTTGAGGGGACGTACCAATTCGCACCTGCGCCTGCATGCGCTTGAGCTTTTCTTGATCCATTGTGGTTGATGTGTCGCTGAGCTTGCCTCAGCTCAGATCGGTCACGGGCTAGCAAAAGCCCAGGGCACACAAATTCAATTGCACTCGCCGAGCCTTGAGATCCAAAGACTCAGAAAAAGCTCCACGGACGGTAGAAGGAGCAGAACAAAAGAGGAGATGCTCAGGAAATCTCGAGACAGGGCTTGGATTTCCGTCCTAGCTGTACAAGGATAAGAATGCGAGATAGAAGGGTGGAATTGAGCTTTCGGTTTGCGGGATGATTGAAGGGACGTTACAAACTTCTGGGGGTTTGTGCCCTTTATGACAGTCTTGGCGATTTTGCTGTCCGCTTCAAGTTGGGGGGCCTCCGGAACAACCTCGGCTGCGGAACAACGATTTGGTGATTCGCATGTCTCGCGCGAATGCATTGAGTGTCGATGCCTTCGTTTGCTACAGAACATCCTGCATCTCTGTTCTCTTCCTTTTCAGCCTCTTTCCTTCGTTTGTCTCATACACGACACTGACTTCACGTGCGCAAAGATGGCGGGGAAACAAGCGTTGATCGTACCGGCGCTGAAAAAACATTCGGCCACAGTGATAATGGCGCACGGACTGGGGGACAGGTCAGTATTCAACACTGCTTCGTGCACGGAGATCTGGGGCCTTTGGGCTGATCCTGGAGAAATACAGTGGCGCAGGATGGTGAGTCCATCACGTCCTTCCCGAGAAAGCAGTTGCCGCGGCGTGATCAGAGCAACTCATCGTAGTCAGGGTATCGTTAGCAGAAACCTGGCGACGGCGGGGAAAGTTTGAGGACGTCAAATTCGTCTTCCCTAATGCGCCGAACATCCCCATCACTGTGGTAGGTGCCGGAAGGCAGTATCCCGGCGAAAGCAGTGCGGGGCGTCAGTGTTTGCTAACCCACGAGCGCAGAACTTCGGCATGAACATGCCTGGATGGTATGATATCGTAAGACGCCGCGAACAAGTTGAATGCCCCCTCGCCCTCCGTGCTGCTCCAGCTCCGGATCAGAATACGCAAAAGCTAATACATGATGTATTGTGTGGATGATTAGACAAACTTCTCCGACCTCAAGCAAGACTTCGATGAACCGGGCATCCTACGGTCGCGAGCAACCTTCAACAAACTCATCACCGACGAGATCGACGCCGGTCTGCCCTCCAACCGCATCATCCTGGGTGGTTTCTCCCAAGGCGGAGCCATGTCTCTGTTCACAGGCGCGACGACACCGCACAAGCTAGGCGGGGTCTTTGGATTGAGCTGCTACTTGGTGCTCGGGGACAAGATCAAGGACTTTGCAAAAGAGGCGAACGGCGCGAATATAGACACCCCCTTCTTTATGGGCCATGGCGACGCGGACGAAGTCGTCAAGCATCAGTGGGGAGTGCAGTCGGCCGAGTATCTGAGAAAAGAATTGGGCCACAAAGTCGACTTCAGGACATATCGGTAAGTCGGCGCAGCGTCCAGCTGAGGCTCTCGGTGGGCACAGCAATGTGACTGACGGTGGCATAGGGGCCTTCCTCATTCGGCGGATATGAAAGAAATCGACGACTTGGAGGAGTTCATCAAGAAGTGCTTACCGCCCAGTGAGACACTGTGACTAGATGACGTTGTGGCTGCAGACCAAGGAGCTCAGCACTGGGTATACATTGGCATCACCACCTTGCTGTTCTTACTGGCGTGCGTTCTATTCTTAAGGTCACGGAGTCGGTGTAAAAGTCAACAAGCAAAAACAGCATAGACGAATTCGACTTTGGACGGGCAGAATTGTCCTGCAAGGGGTTCCTCAGCCACGAAAATTATTTGTATTCCGAAAGTATCCAGGTCGAACTTGCTTTTAATTTTAGCTATGGTCCTGTTCGTTTAAGCAGCACCCTCCTTGCGCTGGCCGGTGTAGAAGGCCAAACCGTAAGTGTTGGTCTTGAAGGTGATGACACTGCCCTTGGGGAAGTAGAAAACGTCGCCAGCAACAGCCTACAATCTAACGTCAGTCGTGCTCGCGCAAGTGTCAAACTATCAAGTGAAAGCTCACATGAACGGATTGGCCAGTCTCGTCGCTGATGTCAAATTCACCCTCCAGAATAATCTTCATCTCGTGGTAGGTGTAGGTGTAAACGAGGGGAGTGCCTTTCTCAAGTCTGTAGATGCCACAGCTGATGGGCTTCTCTGGGTCGTTGGATTCACTGCTGGCGACGTCGCCGAGGAAGGCGTTCTCATTGGCAATCAACGGAGGCTTGAACTCGGACTGGACTTTGGAGAAGTGCTTGAAAGCTGGTGTGGAGCCCATCTTTTCAGGCGCGGTTGTTTTCGAGGGTTTGGATTTAGAGGTGAGTTTGCTGAATGAAGCGCCCATTGTTAGATTTCTGAGGATTCTTGAAAACAGCGAAATCCGAGGGGCGCAATGGGCGACTGTAATGTTTTCTGCCCGAATGATCTGGTCCTTGCCAGAGCAATCCTCAGACTCACCTTTATTGGTAACCTGAACGCCCTTCTGAAGCGATCGCAAAGAACAGCTGCGATAAGCAAATGGAACGTGATTGCACGAGGTGTAGGGAAATGCAAACGAGTTTGGGGAAAGAAGTTGAAGAAGCTGCAGACAGGAAGAGAGTAATGCAGGAACCGGGATGCAGAGCTCTATAAGATATACTTCCTGAGCTTTTCAGCTACCCACTACCTGCCTTGTACATCTGGCCGGGCGAGCGCTGCCCCAGTCAGGGCTAGGAATTGATTCCATGCAAACAACGCGGGTGAGGAAATAACGTGGTGGCCAAAGACCCGCGTCAGCGTGTCTAACCTCGATACTAGGCGTCAGACATGAAGGATCTTGAACCAGTAGTCATCGAGTCCCCATAGAACGAAAAGAACTAAAATGATAAAGTAGAGGGGGAAGAAAATGCCTGAGATGGTTAAAGGCAGTGAAGATGAAGACGGTCGAATGGGAAGCTGACCACGAGCGGACAGAGATAAGGATGCCAGGAGGGCAAGGAGGGGCATGTTTCTGGGCATGTTTGTGCCGTTTGCACCAAAAGTGACTATCCACGCTATCGCCATCCTCATACTTCGTACTACGATCCTGCGGCTTTACAGGTTCCCACTGAGCATCTCTCACCGCACAGCCTTGAATGTCAGATGCCAAGTGCATTTCTAAAACCAGAGGATTCGAGCTAATCCGGTCTCGGCTCGACAATTCGAAGCAGGTAGGCTCACGTGACGTCTTGGCAAGTTTACATCCTCTACTAGTATCGACTTAGGCGCGAGGGGTCATCTACCCAGCCAGCTGAAGGCCATTGCGATCCCTCACTTCCACGAATCAATACTTCAGCCCCATTGACGCTGACTGTGCTCCGACCGAAAGCGAAGAGAATGCATCAAGATGGTCTTTCGCATATTCCCGAATGAGGTACAAGGATATCTGCCTCAAGGCCAACCTGCCAATGAGCCAAACTGTGAGCAGCAGCTCTTGCTCACCATCCGCGCCATGACTTATCTGTCTACCTAGCCGTCTATACAGTACTCCCAGCCGTCCTCGGAGCCGACTCTGTGGTTGGTGGATTCAGCCTTGTCTGCCGGATCTTGCGCGAAGCTCAATTTAGCAATCATTTCCCCTCCTCCACTCGCATTCAAACCCACCCGCTTACGAGTACTCGTACCTCGACCTCTGACGCCTTACCTCTTTCAGGCAGGAATTTCTTGCACCCCAAGATCGACATTGGAGAGATTCTTCGAGACTTCAAAAGTCTCTTTCAGGGACCGGGCGTGGTTGACCGGGTCGTCAAAGACAGGTCAAGTCGATCGGTGCTGCTGCAAGGCATGACCCTGACTGACACACAAAAACCCTGCAGGGCCAGTAGTGGAAGAAGAGATATGCTCTCTTTAGACCAACATCACCCAAGATCTCTCATGGTGACGGGTATATCCACCATGGTGGCGGGCTCTAGCACAATCTAGCACTCCCAGGCTTACACTACATCCGCTGACGAACGGATTGGTTTTGACGTGTCTCTAACGTCCTGCTAATCGGGGGAAAGCCAGGAGGGACAAAGCTGCATTTAAATGCAAAGAAATCCCTCCGGTGCCATGGAGCATGGCAAGAAAGGGACTCCACAATCTGCAACTCGGATCCAGCATTTCTACATTCTGCAAAAATTGCACGGCTGGGGCTCCGACATCAGCCAGCCATTCTCCACACGCACAATACGGCCCATTGGCATTCTGCTACGGAAACATTCCCCCTCAGACTTGTCGAAGTCGAATCCAGTGGTTCCGTGTGGTCATTCCACTCACCTGTCTCTGGTACGCCATCTCACAAACGGTGAGTCCTCTTGTTTAGTATATTGACGAATGATATTGTGTAGTCCTTTCCCCGTTTGTTTCTACCATCTCGCATACGCTGCGTATGGCTGAGCCCGGGAGATCAACGACTCTTATGCCTCATGCGGCGTCGCCTAAGCAAAGGCACGACAGTGTGGGCACCACCGTCGCATGATGCCATTGTGCGTTCAACGCCTCTTTGTGCGAGCTCGGTGCTTTTTGGTCCTGCTGAAAAAGGTATGGCTTTTCTTGCTCGGGTCCCAGATGGGCTACTGTCACCAGTGTGATTGTTCCACCCTCGGTGCTCCCCGTCTTCTCTCATACCACCAGCGCCGTCACCAAATACGTATTACTTTTTGGCTACATCGGCTTAGAAAGGCGTCGTCTCAAATGAAGGCCCGAGTCTTCTGGTCTGGAATCCTCTCCCTCATTGTTTTACCCTTTCGAACGAATTTGCGAATTCTCTTGAGCTTATGATGCCACGATCCGAGATTTGCTTTTCTATATCTCTACTCCATGCCTCACTAGACTTAACCTACTGTTTTCACTTGTCTTTAACACTTGCATTCGTATCGAGCGACTGCATTCGAAGACGGCCACAACTCTGAGCTGCGACTATCTTTCATCATCCCCAGTTATGAGCAGCCAGGGCAGCTGCAACACATTCGGCTAAGGGAGGACAGCAAAGACAAGCAGAGCAACCTCTGTTTGCCTCTTCGACCCCCACGACCGCCTCCGCTCGTCCATTGGCCTTTTTGCTCTCGCCAACCCTCTCTCTCTCCATAGGCATAAAATCCCTATTTTGATTACTCTATAGTTACCCATATTTTATATCCCTCTATCCTGTCCCACCCGCGGTTCAGTCTCCACGAACAGACGGGATCTCCGACCTCTGGCCAGGAAGCCTGAGAAAGGGGAGAATAAGAAGGAGCGAACAAGGGACAGCCGCGAGGAACTTGGAGATCCAGAGAAGAGACAGAGTGGGCCACAAAAAAAAGGCGACTTGACCCTCGTGCGTCTGGCGCTTTTACTCTGCTCGACCGGATCCCCTCCCCCAAAAGACTAAAAGGGCTCTTCTTTCGCAGAGAGGCCAAACTCAACTCTAGCGTACTTTTACTGTACTGCTCCGTACCCTTCCCGTTCAATGTAAAGCAGACGGAGAAAAGGAAGAACATTAAAGAGAAGAATCCCTTTGTCTGAACAATCACTCCAAACCGACCACAGGGCTCGTACTCATTCGAACTCGGCTCCAACTCCGCCCCTCAGTAGTGACGACATTTTCTTTTTTTTCGCCGGCCTCCATCAGACGCCAAGAACGCGATCTCGCGAAAACGAGGAGAGAAAGAAAGGACAAAAACAAAAGACAGATTGAGGAAACAGAAGCAAGCATCGTTTTATGCATTGAGAAACACACACTCTCTCTCAAAAGGGCCCTTGGAGACCACCCCCAACTTGCAACTCTTTCGCGGGCACGCCCAAAAAAAAAAACCGAGCACGCAAGCAAAGAATAGAGAGAGGGGGCGACACGAGAAAACAGAAAAGTAGAGGAGGGTCTAGGGGGATCAAGAGCTCATTTTCCCTCCCAAAAAGAACTGGCTGCGCTACGCTATTACCTCTCCACATGGAATCTACGAGTCGCCGGGACATGACCACGATCATACGTCTGCATTACCATTCTCCTTGAACGCTGGTTAGCGAAGACACGGGGTTCCCTGTTCTTCGCCAGTGTCTGTCGCATATTATCTCTGGATCTCGGGGTTTGCCGAATCGACTACCACAGCAAACAACGGGCAAATAAATCCAGATGACGCTCCTGGTGGTCGTTCACTTTCTCAGTTTCATCCCAACTCCTACAGCCACGTCCCCTGATCAATAACCTTCACTAACGGTGTCATCTACCCACGATCGACACTCACGCCGTTGGAACTTGTAGGAAGTGCACACATCAGCTCTTTGCAATACATAGCCCGATCCACCTTCCACCCAAGTATCTGCTCCGGTCTCCGAAAACGCCTTGCTTCTATCAAGATAACCAATTTCGCCATTGAAACCCAAATTCGGCAACACCAGAGCTGCAAGAACGCTCCGGGCAAGGCTGGAACTTCGACCCTGGACACGAACCCCGTCTGTCATCGCCGCAATCTCAGTCCCAAATCCCATACGAAAGCAAAGACAGAAGCCAGATTCGCAATAACTCCAACTTAATCACAAGAGCTTCGTTCGTCATACCCGTAGAACATCGAAAGTCATCACAGTCGTTCCACCCACAACACACAAGCCCAAGCAACCACCATTTGGTTCAATTCAAATATTTTCAATAAGAGGATTTTGCAGGAAAGACACAAAACCCATTTAGCCATTCAAAATCCAAAATGACGACTTCAACGGCTCCACATCCTGCGAGCAAGCGCAACAAAAGCCAGACCATTGTGCAGGGCCCGAGTCCGCATCCAACGTCAGGTGCACCTCTCGAACCGATCCCCATGTCGAAACTGACGCACAGCACCGAACTCGACGAGTACACCGCAAGCATGCGGAATTACTTGGCCAATGTCGACCATCCTGGGCACAGCAGCCGCAACAGCGGGAGCGACACTGACTCTAGGCGGAGTAGTCTTCGGAGTGAGAGCGTCGACGGAAGCGAGAGAGAGAAATCGCCCGAGTTCAGGTGGATGGACCTTGCCAGTGTGAGGAGAGACCATGGGAGCGTAAACCTCAGCTTTCCTAGCGTTGGAAAAGGAACTGAGAATCGGGTGTCCAAAAGTACTGTAAAGTCCACCAGCCTCCATCATCATCACCAGGTCGGAAAAGACCCACGGCAACATCAGAGGGATCATCGATCATCAAGCCCCGGTGTCAAGGCGTTGCTGAGCAAGAGGCATGCAACGCAGAAGGAAGCGAAATCAGCCGAGAAAAACTAAAAGACCATATGTTAGCTTCCTGTTCATTCAACGAAAAACTTGAGATATCGGGCATCACAACAAGGTAATTCGAGGAGATTGGAACATACCTTCCCACTGCCAGTCGGCCATAACGCCCGACCAGTGCAATTGCCCTCGCACGGTGTATTCAGGTTCCAGTTGGTCCGCTGACATGATGTCGCTCGTATGTCGCCGAGGGAGGGAGATTGGGGGAGGTGGCATTGCCGCTGACATGCCGCTCCCGCTTGCAACCGAGTCTAGCGTTAGGCGACGTTTGATCGGCCGGCCTGTGACATCAGCTTCTTCTGATCCGCCGCCCGGCAGGCCCTGAGCTTGGTGTTGACCATGACTGAAAGGCCGGTTGTCCCCCAAGCCCAGACTATCCACCGTGTGGGCCTTTCTCTTCAATGCCGGCGGCATGTCTAGAACTGGAGGAACGAAGCTTCCCCCTGGCACTCCACGACTCGCGTATTGCCTGAGCAATCTGTTCGACTTTTCATCCTCGTACGCATCCCTACGAGCCCAAACTTCTTGGACAACATTCCAGCACGAGTTCACATTTCCAATTTTAAGACGTCTGATCATCGCTTGCCAACGCTGCATCACCCAAGTCCTATCATCGGGGTCGGTAACTTCGCAGCTTGCTGCAAAAAGAGGGAAGATATGGACGATGGTTGCTCTTGAAGAAAGGGGCACGGACGCCAAGGTCACCAGGACTTTCTTGGCCAGCGATGCTGCTGGGTCGCTGGGAATTTCTGGCACAGCTTGGTGTAGATAGAGCAGCGTAGCGTATCTGTAAGCTTCGGCCGTTTGAATTGAGTGCTGGACTTCTGAATTCGGATCCTCTGGCCGCTCGAAGACCAAAGCGCTGGGCACTTGCCATTGCTGAAGTCGCTCTTTCAACTCCAGGGCGGTGGAGATAATGGTGAGAGAATTGGACTCGGTCTTGCGCACTCGTTGTATGAGATTTGCGACGCGGCCTATCAGCGGGAACAAGGTGGTGGCACAGCCCATTAGCGGGTCGACCTCGACCTGATCTCCGAAGGGAGCGTTGACGGTGCTGAGGATGTCCTCGAAATTCAGGTCGGGCGCCTCTTCCAGTGACGTCAAGCGAGCAATCACATCCATGTACACAAAGGTGTTGCAAAGAAACTTGAGTCGATTGGCATCTTGGGTGGTCATCTGCCCCAGTTGCATGTCCCGCCGGTGCCTGATGAGGGCGTTGTTGACCATGACTTTTGCACCGCGAAGATGCTGGACGCCGGTGCTTACATGTCGATCCCAACCCTCGCTGAACGCGAGTGCCAATGAAGTGGCCAGTGCCGAGTCGAGCCGCATGTTCTCGATCTCAAAAGCAAGGCGTTTAATGGCCTTTGTCATGTGTGCCATCCCTGGCACATTCAGTCTCGGAATCTCATGGGCACCGTGGAATGCGGTCATGGATGAGATGGCGTGGTACAGAGCGGGGGATTCTCGAGCCAGGGGCCAGATCAGCGTCCGCCAGGGGTTTTCGGTCGGGCCGTCCTTGACGGACAAGATGCCGCAGGTTTGCTTGTCGAAACGGAGCATGAGCATCTCCGGCGAGGAGGCGTCAAGAGAGGGTTGGGCGAGGATGGTCATGTCGCTGGACTTGGAAGATGCTGTGGACGTCTCGCTAGGAGTGGGAGAAGATGCGCGGAAAGCTTGAAATGGGGTAAGGTCGAGCATCGACGAAGGCGTGGGAAGTTGCATACCGGACATCGCTGCAGAGGTGGCGATGGCATCCGACCTGATAATCTCTTTGTCAAAGTCATCTTCCATAGGTATGTTGACATCGAGAGACATTGGTGGCTGGAGCTCGCTGGGATCAGACAGCTGATTCATGTCCGATCCAGTGGAAACCATCATCTCCAAAAGTGGCGGGGAGCCGGAGGAGAAGGACCTAGCACTGTTGCTGTCGTTGACAGAAGAGCTAGTGGTTGTTGTGCTTAGGTTATAAGGATCAACCGAGTCGCCAAAGGTCAGATCCGGGGACATGCCTTCCGTCTCGAAAGCAGGTATGAAGATTGAGTCCGGAGTAGTGAGATTGAGAGGCGGCGAATGGTCCTCGTCCAACCGCATCTCGCCCTGCTGCTCTCGGCTAGACAAGAATCCCTCAAGATGAGGATGAGGGAGACCATCGACCTTGTCCCGAAACGCGTGAGCGGCAGTCTCGAAGGCAGAATGAAGGCCTGGGGACCATGTCTGCGCAGGTTGAGCGGCTTCAACGCCCATCTGACTGGCATCCGGTCTCCCACCACCAGCGATATCAAGAGGCCTGGCGACATTCTGAGTCGGTGACAAGGAGTTGGAGCGAAATGCTTTCCTCTTGGCGACAGGTCGGGAGGCAAACGTGGTCTCCTCAAACGTCCTCCACTTGTAGTCCTTCTTGTAGCCTTCGCATACCACACTTCTCTTCTGACATTGGGCACAAGAGGGTTTTGTCTCGTCGCATTTTAAGCGTTTCTTCTTGCATGTCATACAACCTGTAGAGGAGTTAGCCTATGACGTTGAAACCACTCGCACACAACCGAATGCTCCCCACACTCTGCTAGAGCAACAACGCAGCCAGTTCTTCTCGGATTGCAGCACATACCATTTCGACTCTTGCTTTGCTTCGGTTTCGTCACCGCCCCATCTTGAACTGATTTGTTTAGTGCCTTGGGAGGAGGATAAGTCTTCTGCTTTGCGATGGCCGACTTCTTCGACTGGCCCACCGGCGCGGGGGGAATGACAGGAGACTTTCTCAAGAAAACAGACGGAGAAGGGATCTGGACCTCCATGCGACGCAGGTAAGGATAGGCGACATCGACCCAGGCGACCTGGACTTAACAGCAGGAGTGTGTGAAAGCAGTAGAGCGTGCACTGCTTCGAGGTATGGAGGGGTTCGGTGGGTACGGTGGTATATCGACCGATGGACGAATCGACACTAGATCAGCAGCAGGGTTTTTGCGTGATGAGGGCGTAACTCGTAAAAGGTAGGTTCGGAACAGCTAGACAGATCAAGACAGGTTTCCGCGGGACGAAAGAACTAGACGGATTGTCCAGGAAGGAAGGGAACAAAAAGATGAAGGAGGGGAGGAATTGAAGATGGTGAGGGTATCGGTATCGGTGCGGGTATAGCGCGCGCCCACCAGTGCCAGTGTGCGGATTGGGGAGCGTGTCGGGATAAGAGGTCAATGATGACGAGCCTCCAGGGACCGAGACAGAGACAGAGAGAGAGACATTTGGGCCTGAGATCTAAAGAGAGGTGGATTCCTGGAGCATCAACCACGCAGACTCGGACGCAGCAGGGCGCGCAGATGGCATGGGAAGAACTGGGGCAGAAACCAGAAACCAGAAATCGAAATCCCAGAGGCGCAAAAAGTGTGGGAAGCGGTGATGTCCAGACTCGCCAACGGGCGGCGGATTGACTGGCTGGTCAGTGGCTGAGGGCCAAGTGGACGAGGAGGCGATTAGACGAGTAGCAAGTGAGATGGAGAGGCGGGGAGTCGAGAATGAGACCAAATGAGACCCTGTTTGATGATTGATGATTGACTCGCTCTCCATTCCGTTATCTCTTTTATCTCCCTCACTCGATAGAGTCTCTGCTGGGGTAGTATTATCATGTATCCCTTAGAAAGCTTGGTGCCCCAGGGCCCAGGGGAAAGATACGCGATCCCCCGGACACGAGCCACCGTCTTGTCATCTCTATCTCTTTCTTGTCGCCGCCATTCCCTATCTATCTGGCGAGCTGGACATCCATCCCGACGCAACCCTGAGGAACAGCTTCACGTGAGATAAGGATGGGTTTACTACCTAGTATTGATATTCCGTCTGCATCGCGACGGAGCATCATCCGTACTTCCGCCGCCATGCCACAGCTGAGCTCCATCCAAGAAGAATCTTATATCATTCAGGGTCCCTCTCCGCGTTTTTTGCAGCTTCGAACCACAGCACTCAAGTCCCCGCCCAAGAGGTACAGGGGATCAAGCGACAAGGTATCTTTGGGGCCTGGACTTGGGGTAAAGGCGCCAGTACCAAATGGAACGAGGGGCGCCCAAGTGGCTTGCAAGGGTGATGCGAGGCTTGAGCAGGTGAAGGTCATCTCCGCCCATCATCAGCCCGCCTCTTTGATCCACAGAACCCTTCCCCTTGAGACAGTGGTGTTCAAGCCCCGCTCACTAACCAGCTGCTGTGGCAAGGGCTAATGGACAGCCATTCACTGGTCACGACCTAAACCAACACACTACCCGAGTAGTCTCAACCTCCTCCATTCAGGCTTGCGTGACTTCTTCCCTTCTCCCCACGATACAGTCTATGTCGCGACGTATGACCAAGATCACAATCCAGACTGCTGGAAATGTCAAGTACCTTTGTTCCTTTCGGACCTCAAGCCCCCTGCCGCAGCTAGCCATCCAACAGCCAGGCGCAAGGGCAGGCCGTCTGCCCTCTCAGCACCCTCTCCCATGGAGGGAGCGGAACCGGGTTTGTCCACGATGCAGAGTGGAAAGCAGAGCAAAACTCATGAGTGAGCTGAAAGGTGGAGTTCTGCGTGTTCTGTGGTGAGTCCAATGTCGCACAAATGCGCGAGAGACACGGGAGCAGGACAAACCACGTAGTCATGGAAATTCCAAATTGCCAGCGGATCAGGTTACACAACGCTTTCTTGTCTGGCCTGATGAGAGTGAAAATTTTCATCGTCACGTCAAGGGGAAAGAGAGAAGAGGGGGAATCCGGAAGGGTTGAGAAAGAAGCGGGAAGAAGAGGAGAAAGGAGGGCGCTTGTCGACTGTCTTTCCCGTCCGTTGGATCTTTGTGCTGGGTGCACGGGGACGATCTCCCTTCATACTTGACGATCAAAGGACCTTCATCACTGTTCAGCCTCAGATGCATGTGAAGAACCTCGACCGGGGTCTACGTTCCTGATAACAGGCTAGCTGGATGGCTTCGCGGCCCGTCACATCAGGCTCATGCATGCACGGCTGCGTGGTCACAGTCGCTGTGTTCTCTGGAGAGGGCTGGGGGAAGGCACATACACACGCACTGGTTGACGCAAGTGTATTGTATTGTTCCAAACCCCGCCAGCCAAACAAAACTGGAACTCTGATTCATCGTCATATCGCCTGCTATCAGAACTATCTTATCTATAAGCTGCTAAGCCAAATATACATTGCAGCAAGAAATGAGAATGAAAATTCGCCCCGTCCCAAAGAGTCTAGTTCTTGTGCTTGAAATTCTGAGCCAGGCCCGGCCAGTGCTTCTCAAAGGCCTCGACCGTGTCCAAAACGCTCTTATCATAGGGGATGAACCTGGTGACCCCTAGGGCCTTGTATGCCTTTGTCGAGACACTGGTCTGCTCGCCCTGCACGAACCAGTAGTCCCGGGTGTATCCCTGGCCCGGGTCGCCGACGATGATGTCGCGGTCCGGGAAGTGCTCCCTCAGCAAATCGGCGGCGGCCTGCGGGGGCGCCTTGCCATTGGACATGAGGTACCTCTCGCCGTTGCTCTGGTCCGGGTGTTCCATGGCCCAGACGTGCATGCGGGCCACGTCGCGCACGTCGATGTAACCCGCGCCGCCGATCTGCGGCGGCATGACCTTGGCACCGCCGCTGTAGATGTTCCAGATCGGGAGGAGGGTGGTGTTGAGCTTGTCCGGGGTCGCGGGCCACGACACCGGCGGGCCCGTCACGACGGCCGGGTTGATGGCGGCCACGGCAAAGGCGGGGTGGTTGGCCTCGACCCATTTCCACACCGCTCGTTCCGCGGCCGCCTTGGACGCCCCGTAGGCGACGGGCGCCGAGAACTCGCGGCGCGCCACGGACTCGCCCATCTCGTTCCAGTCGGCCTCGCTGTAGGCGTGGTCGGCGGGTAGTCTCCAGCGGTCGACGATGGCGGCGATCGAACTCGTCACCACAAAGCTCTTGAGCTGCGGTCCCGCGAACGTCCTTGCCGACTCGAGAATCGACAGGTTCCCGCCCACGGCCGGGCCGAAGAACTCGTCCACCGTCTTCAGCGTGAAGTCGACGGGACTCGCCGTGTGCAGGATCGCGTGCACGCCCTTGACGGCCTCGTCGAAGGCGCCGGGGGCAACGATGTCCTTGACCTCGACATGCTCGTACTGCGACTCGTAGCCCCTGAACGCCCCGCTCAACAAATGGTCCCTGGCTGAGATCGACCGAGACGTGCCCCTCACTCGGTACCCGCGTTGCAGGAGCTGCAGCCCTATGTGCGTCGCGATGTACCCATTGATCCCGGAGATCAGGACCACCTTGTCCGCGTTGCTGTCGCCTGCTGATGGCATGGGGGATATAGATCGGGACCGGCTTCGGCTTCGACTCAGTGATCGGAGGTAGATGTGACTTAGCCTTTTCGAGGTCTCCAGCTTTGTTGAACTGAGGTAGTTGTCGGTAGCCGAGAGGAACGAGGGCGGTCTTGTAGACCGTCCGATGCCCCCCCTGTGTTGATGTGGGTATCTCTGTATGCCGGTGGAACCTGGCAAGAGCGTGGCTGTCGCTAAGGCTCCCACAAACCTTGATTGGAGGCTCTTAGGATTAGTTATGCAATTATTATAAAAAGAGTTCTCTATCTGGGAGACGTTGTCGACCGATCCGGGCCGAATGAAGCAGGTGAAGGCCCCTAAAACAACCAATGGGAGAATATGGATTGGATAAAAGGGGGTGGAGTTGAGATCGTCGTAGACACACACAACCCTTGACTTGATTTCTAAACCCGTCTCGCGTGATTGTCGGTTATTCAGGTGTATACGTGCAAACTCGTGAGTTTCCAGCTGTCGCTTTTGAGGAATTTTTTGTTTAGTCGTGAAAAATTGTGACTGCTTCCATAAGCTGAGCATCCTCCCACCCACTGCATAATTATTACTGTGGCGGCTGCTGAGTTGGTATGTACCTCGTACACAGCGTGCATATCGCCAATCAAGAAGAGCCTCGTCCGGGGCCAAAAAGGACGATCTAATAGTGCCAGTGTTTAATGGCTCTGACCCTCGCTTTGCCCAAGCCTAGCTTGATATGGCAGGCGTTTTTTGCAAGCGATGTTCAATTCCTCCACGGAACCAAGATCAATATGACCAAGTACCAGTTTGAATGTTGTCATTTACAATCTAAGAGTATAGTACATCACAAGGAACCCCCACAGCAGATAAGCTCTCGAAATTGCAGACCGCGACAACTCCCGCAATAACCATGCTAATAAAACACGACCTTCTCGCCCTGAACTCAATAGCCAGCAGTCTTCAACTCCTTCTCTGTCCACTCCCATAGCTTCCGTCCCGCCTCGGCATCCTTTGACCACTTGTTGGGCCTATGCTTGCCTACAGGCGTATAATAGCCTCCGTTGACAAGCTCTTCCTTCTTGGCGCCAGCAGCGGCCCAGAGCTGATTGAAAGCTCCGGTTTCGATAGTCTGGAACATCAAGGGGCCGAATATCATCGAACCGTACTTAATGAGGGGGTTAGCCTGGGTGTTTGGAACCCAGAGATCGCTTTTGATGATACCCGGATGAAGCGACACACTGGTCAGCGTCGGATAACGTCGAGCCAACTCGGCGGCAAACATGATGTTGGCCGCTTTGGATGCTGCATATCGGGTCCAAGTCCCAGTAGCCGTGAGCTTCTCCGTTGACAGGATCGTATCGAGACTTGGGGCCATGTTGTAAGCCTCGGAGGAGAGAGAGACGACACGAACGTCAGAGTTGCGGTCCTTAGCCGTCTTTTCCATGGTAGGAAGAAGGAGCTTCGTCAACAAAAAGTGGCCCACGTGGTTGGTGCCCATTTGAATTTCTTGCCCTGCGGCTGTCTTGCCTGCAGGAACCGCCATGATACCGGCGTTCAAAACGAGTATGTCTAGTCGGTCGCTGTGACTGATGACTTGGTCGGCGGCTTGTTTGATGGAAGGCAGTGAGGTGAGGTCAAGGGGAAGATACTCGATATCGACATCTTGTGATGTTTGGGCCTTGATTGACGCTATCGCATCACGGCCTTTGGATTCGGTTCTTGATGCCAGGTAGATCTTTTCAGGGTTGTGCTTCGCGAGCTGCAAAACCGTTTCCTTGCCGATGCCATTGTTACCCCCTGTTACGAGGATGACTTTACCCGCAAGACTTTTGATGCTGGTGGCGGGAACAAATGGTGAGCTAGTGCTGAATGGCCACATGCTGGCGAGTCCGGGATGATAGACTTCAATGGCAAGCAAGGGACGTAAGGCGTATGGCAGCAGGAGGCCCGTAGCGATGTCGCAAAGTTCTCGGAGGTGTGAAAAATCCGGGCGTGGTAGCTCTATATTTCGTTCTAGAAGAGTTGCTGATGAGGAGAAAGCATGGTTCTGTGCTGTCGCATTGACCTGCTCATGCTTTTGTACCTCTTCATTCTCAGTCTTGTCGGACGCCCCTGATGTCAAGGGCGACATTCGCGCCACAAAATTACGCCGACGGTCTCGATTTATGTCGACATTGTAAATGCGGGAGTTTGCGACCTAGACGAGGATCGTTCGTATCGCATCATGATTCATGAATACTAATGTCGGCCGATGCGAGTGATGGTTAGCGAGATCAACCTCCAGATTTTGGAGCAAAAGTCGCATACGGGCGTAAAGCTTGGTCTCTCAACCAATCATGACGTGCAAATCCCGGAGTTTCGGAAGAACTCATCCAGGTGCCGATTCTCCAGACTCGTAAACTCGTATATACGCGAAACCTTGCCAGATGTTTGGCACTGCTGGCAGACATATTGTGACTAATTGAAATAAAGAGTAGATATCGATCGCCGACTGTCGAACGTCTTTCGAGTCCTACGAACGCGAGAGGCCTGGTCCTCGGTAGGGCGTATGCTTGCAAGAACTCGGTGTCTAGGCCTGTAGATGCCGAAGACAATGATTAGTAGGGGGGGAGCATAAAGTCGCCATCTTTCTCAAAAAGGCTGCGAGAGTCGATCCAGGCGCGGGATAGACACTGTGCCTTGGAATGCTGAATCGAGAGCAAAGAGGACGACACGCACTGCGGTACAAATCACTACGTCCCGGTAAGCCAAAGATTTCTGGCACCAGGACTTCGTTGCAGCTGCCGGGCAGGATGAAATTATTTGACAAGGTCGAACACAGCAGCAGTTCTGCTAGGCAAGCAATCAGACCAATCTCAGCAGAATGCAAAAGGCTGTGAGCTTCAAGTTGCTCAGAATCTCTTAGGCGAATCCATAGCCTTCCTCGTTCACACCTGACCAAGCCACGCCGACGCGGGAAGGATCATCCTAGGGGGCAGACCTTCAGAGGAAGTGTATAGTCCTGAAAATGGAGTATCGTTTGTGGATCTCAGCATCAGAAATCAGTGCTGGGTGAGCGCTTCTCTATCGTGAACAAGTTGCTGTTCGGCCATGTCTTGTCCCTGCGGTGAAATCACTCAATACACCCAAATGCTGTGTGGGGGAATGGTTTTCGTTTATTTCGGGTGATCAGGGTCTCAAAAGGAGAATATGCTCTTCATTGTGCAAATGTCCTTACCAGCGAGCACATTGACCGCAGTCATCTCAACATGCAGACGAGTATGACAACATGCACCACATTGGGGAGACTCGTCACGGCGTCCGGCCGGTCGACCCTCAGCAAAGGGGAGGGGGGATGAGCAAGTTTAAGTACAACTAAGTACCTTGAGCGGTGGGCTGGCCGAATAATGGGCTTCTTTGTCTCCCAAAAAAGGAGCCGGTGGACCTCGTTGTCAGATCATGAAGCCATCGGAGCGAATCACAACTAGCCGCCCAAACCGAAAACTTGCTCACTTGGCGACCACGCTCTGCATCGCTCTGCACGCTGAATCTTCTTCTATCAGCGAAGTCCAACTCGTCCTAGGTTGGGGAACTTCCTCGACTGATACTCTTAAACTGCTCTCCCTATTCTAGACTTTCTTAAAAAGTTGCGGTGCATCAAGTGTCCGAATTGCCTGCTGCATCGATATCTCGACAAAAAGCCAAACCAGATCGACAATCCATTCGGCTGCACATAGAGCTACAATTCCGTCCGGGGATTATATTGCGGGATCGATATCGAGCCCTCGAACCCCCTAGGCTCTTGCTTCCATCTCATCTCTCTCGACGTCCATACCACTCCTCACCATGTCGTCAATGTCGTCCTCCTCCATGTCCATGTCCTCCATGTCCACCATGCCCATGGTATTCACGACCTCGCACCACACCCCTCTGTACGGAAATGGATGGACGCCGTCCACGAGCGGCGGCTACGCCGGCACCTGCATATTCCTAGTCTTCCTGGCCATCGGGCTGCGGCTGGTGTTTGCGGCCAAGGCCGTGTGCGAACAGAGATGGGCCGCCGCGGCACAGAGACGCCGCTTCGTCCTGGTCAAGGGCAGGCCCACCGAGGCCGGGCGGATCGACCAGGACCCGGATGCGAAGACTGGGGCCCTCATCACCGTCAACGGCGTCGAGGAGAACGTCAAGGTCGTCCAAGCTAGAGGCGTCTTTCCCGCCTTCCGGTTGTCGGTCGATGTGCCTCGGGCTATACTGACCACCATCATCGCCGCCATGGCGTATTTGCTGTAAGTTTCCAACCCTCTTACCCAATGACTCTCACCCTTGACGGTGTTGGCCCCCCCGGATGCTTACGATTGTATTTAGGATGTTGGCTGTCATGACCATGAACGTGGGCTATTTCCTTTCCGTGCTTTTGGGCGTGTTCCTGGGTGAACTGGCTGTGGGCAGATATGCTCGGACCGACGAACACTTTCACTGAAAAAATTGATCTCTTTCTTTTGGCTTGTAAAGAGAAGATCCTCGGGCGAATTAAAGAGCGTCCGAGTTGAGTGTTACGGTCTGGAATTTGAAGAGCATGCATGTCCTTAGCGAGGTTGTTATATGGCGCATCTATACAGCACTTTTACAGATGTCCTCTAGAAATGAAATGCAGTCATGACAATGGTTGACGTGTTATGGTCGTGATTCTTCAAGCAGGGAACAGGGCTCATCCCTTTTTCGCCGCTTTTTTTCATCTATCTTGACGTCCCGGGTTAACCAGTATCCTCTTGGTCTTCCCCTATCGGCGAAGACCTGGTCTGAAATACTTTGACACGGCACACGGTCGACAGACTGCCTTGACAAACCTCCCTTGCTGTACCATCAACTGGGATGTGAGGTGACGATGTCGCCCATTGCTTGACCTCCCGGTCATCGAGCAATCTCTGCTCAGTAGCCTGTCTCCGTGTTAAGGGCCGCTAGCGCAACGACTTTGTAACCCTTCCCGCAACCCAGGTTACCCGAGCTCTTAAACTGGCGTCTCTGCCATAGTTAATAACAGGGGGACTCTGAAGTGGTGATTCCTTTTAAGTCTCCGGCTTTTGTCGATTCGCATGTCACCTCACGGCCACGTCTCGACCTTATTCCACTCCCCTATCGAGTCACTCGGCTGAGGCCCTCCAGGACCACCTACCTCCTGCGCCAGCGTCCAGACCTGCCTGGTGGCCTTTGTCGGATCCGTCAAGTCGACCGCCTCGACCTGCTCGGGCGTGATGATGGCGACGCGGAAGTTCTTCCTCGCCAGCGCCTCCTCCGACAAGTGTCCTGCTTTCTGACCCAGCGCCTCTCCGGCGCTTTCGTCCCTTCCCTCCGACAACAGCTGTCCCGGGGGCGGGTTCTTGAACGAACCCCTCATGATCGGGGACAGGTTTTCAAAGTAATTCTCCACCTCGCGTCTCCAGGACCAGTCACTTTTCTTTTGCTCGTCGTGGTCTTCTTCACGGACGCGCATGTATCGTCCCACCTCGGCCTTGACGGTCACCGTCCCGGAATTCTGTGCCTCCTCCGTACCACCTTCCACGTCGTCCGCCGCGACGAGCCAGCACTTCCCCCGTATGCGCCACTGCGTCTTTGTGTCTTTGACCCAGTAGACCGCCTCCACGGGCCCCCCGCCCCCCGAGCCGGAGCGAGACTGCGCGAGGTCCCCTTTCCCTTTGCCCGTGGCGAACAACTCAAAGGTCTTGCGCATGCGCGCGTCCGTGGTGAATGTGGGACAGTCACTCTCAAACACCGGCGGGTTCTTGGGCAGTTTGTTGTGCTCGTTCTCCGGCAGCGTGGCCCAGAAGCCGCGGAAGATGCACGTCCGCGCCCTGGGGAGGCCCGTCTCGCTGACGGTCGCTAGAGTAAACTCGAATCCTGCGCCGCCGGCTTTGTCGAGGTGTTCTTGGAACGTGCGTTTCCAGGGGGCCACGCCCGATGGGCTGGGATGCGACGACATTGCGGAAGCAATGCGGGCGAGGCGATGGAGAGTGGGGGAGGCCAGTTTCAATGGTAGAGGGCAGATGTAGGATTGTGAGATGGGATGTTTAGGGAGAGAGCATTGTATCTGAAAGGCTTGGTGCTTCTATACATGTATTCTGTCCTCAGTCAAACGGTCCATGACGCGCTCATAGATTCATAGTTGAAGGGATTGAAATCATCACTGTTGTTAATGACGTCGACTGCCTCGGAGTGTCGCTAATAGGTGCAAGTGGCTTGGGGGCCACCGGGACTACATCTACAAAGTGATAAGGTACCTAGGTACTCCACACTGCGTGTCCTAGCGAGCTAGGTACTCGGTACCTACCAGGTAGATTGACTCAAGTGTCGCAGGTATGTATATGTGAATTACTGAAAGTCCTTTAGTTCCCCTCTCGGTAGCACTTTCTCGTGCGCTCCTCGCCCACTGAACTTTCTCTTCCAACACCAGGCCTCATCCCTTTCTCGCCCATTCGACTTACCGTCCAGCACATTGACGACATACTTGCCAATGTTCGGCAGGAACTTCCAGCTGTGAAACGACCCGGCTGTGGCCAAGTAGAGATTCGACAGTCGCGGGTCAGGGTGTTGCGCAATCAGCTGGTTTTGGTCGGGAGATACGGCGTCCCAGCAGAGGCGCCACTCATCTGGCACTCTGCCCTGGTCGAGAACTTGCGGGACGCGCTGGCGGATGATTACTATGGATTCCTGCTTGAGCGTTTCCGGGACAGAGTGTTGATCCGGTGCTGGGACCGAGATGATTTGGCCTGTCTCTGGATGAGGTTGGGTGTTGAGGAATGTGTTGGCATTTGTAAATTTAAACAACATCTGTTCCCCTGGCGGCATTGCCTCTCCCTTTGCTCCAAATATCAAGACCGGCATCTGCGAATAATGCCGGGCTTCTTCTGCTGAGACCTTGAATGCTGCCACACACACTCCCGCGGCCTGGATTTGTCTCTGGATGCTGTTCTCTGGAGAAATGGTCATCTTCTTCTCCAGCGGCGCCATCAACCATGGCGTCCATGCTCCCGTGGCAAGAACAATCTTTTCACCAGTGAGCGTCCGCCCGTCAGCCGTGCGGACACCGGTCAGCTTGTCACCATTACTGAGCAGCTCATTCACTTCTCCTACCTCGTGCCTTACACCAGCCTTGACAGCTTCGTTCATCATGGCCGCCACGGCGGAAGAAGCATCAGCCCAGCCGGCGCTGGTGTTCGTGTAGGCCTTGCTGAATCCAGCGGTGTCTATTCCAGAGAGAACGCCGCCCCAGTTGGATTTGACTTCCTCCAAGGAGATATCGGCAGAAGTATCGGGACGACCACTTTCTCGGAAGTTCTTGCGAATCCGGTCGGCCAGATCGCTGCCCTTCTCGTCCAACATCACCCATCCAGTCTGATGGAAGTGTGGCTTCAGCAGGGGATTGTCGGTCCAGGACTCCATGGCCTCGTAGGCCAAGTCCATGTAGAATGCCTTGCTGTAATCCGCGCGGACGATCTTGTTGATATCCGAGGATGCAGCCTGTGGTGAGGGTACGGGTGCGCGATCCAAAACCGTGATGCGTGATGGATCTGCATGATTGAGGGCGAGGTGGTAAGCTGTGCTGGTGCCGAAGATTCCTGCTCCAATGATGAGGACATCGCAGTCCGGAGGGTCAATTGCGGCCATTATGGTCCGGCTGTAAAGGGGTGATAAGCCAACTCAGACTGACTAACCTCGTCGGATACGACGTTGAGAACCGTTCGTGGTGTTGGGGAGTTTCCTTTCTCGTGACGAGATGAATACTCAGAATCGACGCTGATATCAGAAGTGAGAAAGTGATTGTTTGGACGTCATTGGATGCTCTCTCCGAGCAACGTCTCTCTGGTGAGAGCTAGGGCCACCCAAGGGCCACCCAAGGGCCAGCGGCCCACCGGGCAGCAGGCTAGTGTGGTGCATATGCGGAGCACGAGGGACGTCGTAAGCAACCCCGGCGCCGAAAGTGATGCTTAGGAGAGTGCCTGGGAACCTGGGAACCTGGGCACCTGGGCACCCACCAGGGTCCAGGGTCCAGGGGACCGTTATCCCAGATTCCGTGCTGAACTGCCGTGTCTGGCTGGCGTCTCCCCAAGGGCCAATGCAGCCCTGGAGTCAGTGGCGCACCGCCTAAGCTTTGTATCCAGATCCTCTCAAGATCCAATAGCATCGTCGGGACTGTTGAGACCTTCGGCGAACTCCCAGCAGGTACCTCGGTATCTTGACAAGGTCGCTATCACACAGTGAGGGCCTGGATGACAGGTCGGGTGCCGGCCGCAGTGTGTTGAAGAATGGTCCTTTTTTCTTCTCCTTCTATCCTCGATGGCTCCTTAAGTCGCGTCACTTACCGGCGGACTCTTGTAGATACCTGGTGATCTTCTTTGCTTGTCGACTTGGGTGTGTGCTTCGTGGCGGGCACTACAGTGACTGAAATCGACAGGAATCACGGCGAATCTTACACCTAGACCTCATGGCTCTTGGTATGACTCTCTGCTCTCTGGCTCTCAAGAATGATGTGTCTTTCGCATACGAGGTACTGACTGCAATCCCGTTCACAGCAACTGCCGCCGCTGTCGCCGCTGGTGGTTGGGCCGCAGCGTCCTATCTCGATGCTAAGTTCGCCATTCGACATGACCTCGACGCCATCAGGAGGTTGCGAAAGGGCGCGAAAGAGTACGCCCGGCTCGTCAAGGAGGACAAGGTCGCTTTCTTCTACACTCTCGAGGAGACATGCAAAAAGAGCTGGAACAACCGCGCCATCTGGTCGAGAGAAGGGGGGATCTACACCTTTGGTCAGCTGTACGAGGAGACCCTCCGATGCGCCCAATGGTTGATTGAGCAAGGGGTCAAACCGGGGGAACTGGTGGCCATGTACATGGTCAATTCACCGCAGTTTTTCATCACCTGGTTCGCATGCTCGGCCGTCGGTGCGGCCCCGGCGTTCATCAACTACAATCTCGAAGGGAAGGCGTTGATGCACTGCTTGGACGTATGTCAAACAAAGTTGTTGGTTGTCGACGAAGATGCGGCCTGCCAAAACAGGATCAACCAGAGCCGGGCAGAGATTGAAGGCCGGGGCACCAAAATCGCGGTCCTCGACGGCAACATAAAGCAGGAGATCGCAATGAAACCAGCAGAGAGACCCTCTGACGACCTTCGCAAGGGCACAAAAGGCAGCTTCCCTTATTGCCTTATATACACCAGGTAAGCCATAACCATTCTCACTCGCCCGATCTCTATTACCCAAACAGGAAGTAGTAACAAGTCATCTCATCACATATTAGTGGAACCACTGGTCTTCCCAAAGGCTGTGCCTTCACGCTACAACGGGTCTATAGTATGTGCGGTCACAACTCGCCACTGTGTGGAGGTATCCCGGGGAAGGATCAATGGTTCAATTCCATGCCGTTGTATCACGGCACAGGGTCAATCACCACCTCTTGCGCCCTCCTACAGGGCCTCGCCGTCGCCATCGCACCGAAATTTTCCGTGTCACGGTTCTGGAACGACATCCACGACTCAGAGTCCACGTTTTTTGTGTATGTGGGCGAAACAGCTCGCTATCTGCTCAACGCGCCGCCTCACCCGCTGGAGCGGGCACACAAGCTCCGCTGTGCCTACGGCAATGGCCTCAGACCCGACGTGTGGGAGAAATTCCAAACGCGCTTCAACGTCCCCGAGATCGGCGAGTTCTTCAATTCCACCGAAGGCATGTTCAGTCTGCTCAACTATGACCGGGGCCCATACCTCAGGGGCTGTGTCGGCCACCACGGGTTGATTCTCCGAACGATGCTTCGCAACGTCTATATCCCCGTCAAGATCGACCACGAAACGGGAGATATCTGGCGCGATCCGAAGACGGGTTTCGCCAAGCGGACTCCCTACGAAGAAGGCGGCGAGATGTTAGTCGCCGTTCCGAACAAAGAGGCATTCCAGGGCTACTGGCGGTCCCAGGCCGCCACGGACAAGAAATTCTGCACTGACGTATTCAAGAAGGGTGACATCTACTATCGCTCCGGAGACGCTCTAAGACGCGAACCGGACGGTCGCTGGCACTTCCTCGACCGTTTGGGCGACACATTCCGCTGGAAGTCCGAGAACGTCTCGACGGCCGAGGTGGCCCTGACGATAGGGCAGTATCCCGGCATCGCCGAAGCAAACGTCTACGGCGTGCTGGTCCCCAACCACGAAGGCCGAGCAGGCTGCGCGGCCATCCACTTGGACCCAAACCACACGGGTCCAGCGGTCAACTACAACGACCTGCTGAAATTCACCCGCGCGCGGCTACCCCGGTATGCGGTCCCCGTGTTTCTGCGCATCGTCAAGGCGAGCACGCATATCCACAACCACAAACAGAATAAGGTGCCGCTGCGCAAGGAAGGCGTCGACCCAGCCGCCATCGGCAAAGAAGTGCCCGAGGGCAAGGACGACCTGTTTCTCTGGGTGCCGCCAAAAGCGGACGAATATGTGCCGTTCACTCCCCAGGATTGGGACAAGTTGGTCACCGGCCAGGCCAAGTTATAACAGTCCAGCAGAAACAACAAAGCGGGCAACATCCCAAAACTGGTTTTGCGGAGGAGCCAAAAAAAATAGAGAGTCCACTTTCAAACAACAGCCCCCTCAACCAGGGTCCTGAAAGAATTTTTGACACGTTAACTTGGCATACCTGCACTACATACGTTTCCCGGATAGACAGCATATATTGGCACAGCATACGATCATGCGAGAGACGAAGCGGTAGGGGCGCGGGTGCAATAGAACCTTTCGGATCGAGACATGTCTGGCAGGCCTTTCTATCCATCAAGACTACCCAGACACGGCCTGAACAGGGAGGATGAGATATGTGCAGCTAGACGAAGGGGTGAGCAGAGGGGGGAAAGGGAGAGATGTGATTGGAAGGAGACGCCCATAAAGGTCGTGGTAGACTGTTGTATACCAGGTACATCAATCTGCTGTTGTACTTGGTGCTTGCTCTTCTCTGGCTCCCGCCTCCCGTAGCATTTCTGCGATATGCCAATTACCTTCTTTCAGCGCGGCAGATAACGCACTACCGTAGTGTCCTCCCTGAGCATTGACATCTGCCCCTGCGTCGAGTAGTATCCGGATAATAGTAAGAGGACCATGAGACGATGCTGCCTGGAGAGCATTGCCATAGTATCCTCCCTGAGCATTGACATCTGCTCCTGCTTCAAGGAGCATCCGAACAGTACTCGAATCACCAGACCGTGATGCTGCCTGGAGAGAATTGCCATATGCTCCGCCGTGAGCATTGACATCGACCCCAGCCTCAAGTAGCAGTTTCACAACCGTATTGCTATTCTCCCATGCTGCTTCATACAGCGGTGTCTCACCCTTCTTATCTTGGCAGTTCGCATCCACTTTGCCGCTGGCGAGCAACAGTTTTACAACTGCTTGGTGCCCCTCCCCGGCCGCTATATGTAGTGGTGTCTTACCATTATGATCTTGCAAGTTCGCATCCGCTTGGCCACTGGCGAGTAAAAGTTTCACAGTCGCTTCGTTCCCAGATTTTGCCGCGAGGTGTAGCGGCGTCTTACCATCATTACATCGCGAGCTCACGGCCACTCGCCCAGTATCGAGTAACATCTTCACGATTTCTTCGTGCCCATTCTCTGCCGCATATGACAGTGGTGTAATCCCAGCGTCATCTTTGGAATCTACTTCCACATCACCAGTGCCGAGTAATATCTTCACGATTTCTTCGTGCCCATTCTCTGCCGCATATGACAGTGGTGTAATCCCAGCGTCATCTTTGGAATCTACTTCCACATCACCA